GGAGTGGGACGAGATAAACCAAAGAACTTATATGCATATATGCATAACCAATGGACACAGACAACAGTGTGGGGAAAGGCAGGAGGGGGGCAGGAGTGGGGACGAGGGGGTCACTAGGGGAAAAATGAGGAACATCTGTAATACACTCAACAATAAAGATAAATTTAAAAACAAAAACAAAAACTGACCACAACAGATCACAACATATTGCACTTGATTTTCACTCCCTTCCTCTCACTCTTTTCCTCCTCCTGTCCTTGCCACTCTTTCTGAATGACCAGTGTCAAAAGTAGAGTTATATGTGCTTACCACAATAGTTGACTTTCAGTAGTTACTTAATTACATTTCCCTAGCCCTGGCCAGTTTGGCTCAACAGTTAGAGCATCACCCCAAGTATCAATGAGTCGAGGGTTTGATTCTGGTCAAGGGCACGTACCTGGGTTGCGGTTCCCCAGCCCTGGTCGGGTCGTGAGGGAAGCAACCAGTTGATGTGTCTCTCTCATGTCAATGTTCCTCTCTCCTCCTCCCTCCCACTCTATCTGATGATAAATGGAAATAAATATCCTCAGGTGAGGATTAAAAATAAATGAATGAATGAATGAATAAATAAATAAAATAAAAACATTTCCCTCAAAGTACGATGCAGATGCGAAATTACCTATGAATATACAAAATGGCTAAGAGGGCAACGATAAAAACATTGGTACATTGCAGAAATTTTTAGTATGGCATTAAATCTGAAACATCAGAATTTTCCCAGATTTTTTTACTTCTTTCATTAACATACTTGTGAACTGGCAAGCTTGGTAAGAAAGCCACTGGATCTCCTTCAAGATCTCTCACCTAACCAGTAGGCAAAAAGAGACTTACTGCTTTGGCAAACGGTCTCTCAGCAGATTCCCTGCCAGTCTACAACCCCACAATGTCTCCAGACCCTGCCTGGCTGAGGAAAGCAGCACAGGATGGTGGACTCAATCCCAGCAAGGGAGCTGAGAGATGTATGGGATTCTAGTGGGCACCCTCACACCATCCCCTCCAAACTCTTCAGTTTACAACTGAGGAAACTGAATTTACCCAGGGTGAATATTCCAGGTCTCACATATTTTTGTTGCCAGAACCACAAGATCCCAGGTCTTCTAGCTCTCAAACCTAGAGCTTCTTTTTGGACAGCCACTCCAAATGTCGAGTAGAGTGGCTTCTAAAAGCACCCCTGGGGTGTGCTCAGCAACTAGCCTTAAAGTGGCATGAAAGGGGGATCTGCCACATTCTCACGGAAGGGTGTGACATCCAAATCCAAAAAAATTTCCAACTGTTGAAAAATTTCAATGGTGGCAATTGATACCTTTTATCCTTTCATTCTGTCCCTTTTTTCTTTGCTACTCAATTAATCTGAGCACCCCAAAGTGTTGATGTGTACAAGAAGTGGGACAAAAAGTAGGAGAGAGTAATGATAACCTTTAGAAAAGCAAGATTTAAAATTTTAGTAGCGTAAAATAATTCTCACTTTCCAAACTGTACTTTGGAAATTCACAGCTTTTCTCTTTCACACACCTAAAAACGGTCCTGAGAAAAAGTCTTGTTCTAAAGAACCTGGTTTTGGTGTCCTCTAGATACATGCGTTTACCACCAACTGCTCCTCCCTGGCTCAGTCATTTGCATTTTATCTGCTTCCTGTTGCTTGAGTTTCCTCACTGTGCCCAAAGACCTTTAGCCAAGCTGGTCAGGCTCACTTATGCTTTCTCGTCTCTTACCTATTTACAAATGTACTATTTGGATCATCTTCCTCACTGCATTTTTCATGTCATAAATTTGAGTTGCAGAGTGGCACTAAACCCCCAAAATGAATCTGAAGAATCATTAGGGTAAATTGGAATCACCTTCTTTCGTTAGCTATTCAATTTTTAGTATCTCCTCAGGACACATACTTCTGACAACTGGATGCCCTTATCCTTGAAGACATAATTTTAGCAACAAGCAGGGCTCTAAAGACCAGAATGTCCGGGCTGAAAAGATTTTAAACATCAACCCAAACCCCTACTCTTACAAAACAATATACTGAGCCTAAGAGAGGGAAGGCTTCTGCCTAAGACCCTTCCACATGATTTCTCATCTAGCAACAGTTTAACATGTTATCTTTTCTCTCCATTTATAGTCTACTTGTTACCACCTGAATTACTCCTTTACCAACTCTTTTTAAAAGGAAAGTAATCAATGGCTCAGATGGTGACATACTTCCATAGAGTATCTTTAGGAAGCAGTCTTTTATTATTGTAATTTCAAACTCCATATTATGCATGCATGACTAACTTCACACTATGAATATATAAGCAAGGGTTTTCCATAAATCTATATTTGTACTAGAGATGACGAAGTAGTTTATTTAGCAGTGTGGGTCTTAATCCTATTTATGCTACTATTTAGCTGTGACCCCATGAGCAAGTCACTTCAGATCACTTTTTCATATGGAAGATAAGGACGATGACTCTCTACCTTCCTTGGAGTCCTCTGAGTTCTGAAATGGGATCCAAAGGTCTAATGGGAACCATGGGTTTGTTTCTTCTAACAAAGCTGCACGGCTAAAATACTGAGTTCACTTTTGGGGCCACACTGGGTAACAAATACTGATCAGAAGTTCTAATTAGAAAATATGCACATCTTTAGCTAAAAATGACAAAATAAATTACTTTTAAATAGCCTGTTTGAAAGAAAAAACTTCAAAGTAAAATTGGTCCAATGGGGCCTTGGCCAGTTTAGAGCGTCAACGGTTACAGCGTCGACCCGTGGACCAGAGAGTCCCAGGTTCGGTTTCTGCTAAGGGCATGTACCTCGGTTGCGGTTTGTCCCCAGCCCGAGTTGGGGTCGTATCGGTGGCATCCAGTCGATGTGTCTCTCTCACATGGATGTTTCTCTCTCTCTTTCCCTCTCTCTCTCTCCCGTTCTATCTGAAGATAAATACAAAAGTGTCTTCGGGTGAGGATAAAAAAAAAAAAATTGGTCCAATGGGAAAATAAAAAAAAGAAAGAAGCTTTTAAAAGCACAAAGTGGGAGTACAGGGTGGAGAAAGTAGGTTTTACATCAAGAAATAAAAACCAATTCACATAAATATGAAATTCGATTTTGTTCCACACCAGGGCATTTCTGTCCTTCCTGTGTTTGTCTGCTAACCCTGAAAGGGCCCAGAAGCAAAGCACTCACTCTATGTCAAATCTCAGTTCTTGAAAACAGCACTTGTTCAAACACAAATTAAGCTTTAGAGTTGGATTATAAAGCATTTTTTCTTTACATTCAAATTAAGTCTCCACCTAGGTTATATTGCACAGACAATTTAAAGTGAGGTCCTTCAAGGAGTTTAAATCCCTTGGTACAAAATACAATAGTTCATTCAGCCACATTCAACCAGTACACTTAAAAGGGCATTAGCAGGGATTACATTTCATTTCCAGTCTACAGAGAATGAAATCCAAAAGCACCACCAATCACTGCCCCACAGTCGCACTATGTTTAACTAGCAAAGAGGGAAGCTGTGTGCCACCAAAAGGCCCTGTACCAGGCACAGTAGATGTGGGTTCTAATCCAGCTGGCCCCAGGAGCAATTTCCTGCACCCGGCACAGTACTTTGCTCAATGAATGCCAGTGAGTGGAACTGCAAAAATCTCCACCGTGTGCTACTTCATATTACACAGAGAATTTCAAGATATGTTCCTGCTCCCAAGAAACTGAAATCCAATTATGTAAATTATGGGAAGTTTGGTGAGAGGGAGTTAACATTTCCTGACTAGTATAATAAACCAAAGAATTCACAGTAGTTATCTCATAAAATCCATGCAAACTAAGTTAAATATTTCCATTTGATACATAGAAAACCAGGCTCAAAGAAAGTATGTAATCAGTTCAAGATCACAGTAAGAGGAGAAGCCCAGGAGGTCTGCAAAGCGCCACACTAGTTGCTGTACACAACCCTACACATCAAGGCAGCCTCAAACCAAGGCAGCTCCGGATAAATTGGGGACTTGGGTCTAAGTTTCACTTTCTGTCATTAAGTCGTTGCTATCACTTGGCAGAATACTCTTCAATTTTTGTACTTGCACAATTAAGGTGGAGGTAAGATGACCTAGGTCAGTGGTCTGTTTTGTTTGTTTTGTTTAGTAGGACAGTTATCAGAATCTTTTTGGGCCAGAACTTTTTTCTACTATAGATATTTCCTTTTCCTGCTCAAATGATGGAAGTTATTTGGGAGCGATACCCTTGGTTATTAACGGAAATGTATTATACCCCTCAAGCGGATCAGAGCAGAAAAGTTGTGTGGGCTCCGAGCCTCCTCCCCTTAAGTCGAGGCTGAGATCCTGACCCTGCTGGATCCTGGTGAGAGTTAAGAGACAACTCGTTCACGGATTCGTGTTTCCCTCCCAGCTTGGAGCTCTGTACCCAGCCTGTGCTCACGGTTTGACGGAAGAGATGGTGTTTGCGTCCCGCATTACCTTGAGCGGCCTGCATGGGCGGGTCCACACAGAGACGTCTGTGCCCCTGTGGAACTCAAAGATCCTGCTGTAAAATACGGGCGTTCGTGCAGCCCGGGGCTCCGGTATCCCTGGTTCCGGCTGCGGCCGCGGCCGGTCCCGCCGGTGCCGGGAACACTTCCTGGTCAGCACCTCCCGCCGCCGGTGCCCGCCGCGCACGCCCCTGCCCTGCGCTCGCAGCGCGCCGCGGTCCGTCCGACTGCGGGCGAGCGCCCAGCGCGGCCGGGGGCCGGGGGCCGGGGGCCGGGGGAGGAGTCCCGCCAGAGATTTAAAACGCAGCGCTCTGGAACTCCAACTCCCCGGCGCCCTGCCCGTTTCCGGGGGTCGGGACCGCCGCATCCCCTGCGGCTGCAGCGAAAGGCCCGTCCGGGTCTCGCCCGGGCCGCTGTCCCGCTGGAGACACAGGTGCGCCGCGCTGGCCCCAGACCGTGTCCGACTTCGCCCGGCACCTGTCGCGCCCCCGGCGACAGGACCTGCGCTCACCTCGTTCCGGGGTCCCACGGCCGGTCCCCGCGCCGCTGGACCCAGCTCCCGCCGCCGTCTCCGCCAGGGCCACAGCCGCGGCCGCCGCCCACTTTCGGTTTCCTCGCACCGCCCGAGCTGCCGCTGCGGCTCGGGAATCACCTCAAGCCCCGGCCCCGCCCCGCTCCGCCCCGCCCCGAGCGCGCCGGCCTCGGCTGTGCGCACGCGCGGGCTCCCCGGCCTCGGCGGCCCACGCCGGCGTCCGCGCGTGGGGAGGGAAACCGACGCCGCCTAGCGTTTTCTGCGCGTGCCCACGCACGGGCCGAGGGCGAGGACGACTGCGGGGTGCGCTCAGGAGCGCCTCCTCCTGGGCAACGCAAGGTCGGGCGGGCCGCGAGGGCCGGGACCCAGCTGATCTCCCGGCGCTGAAGCGCGCCTGCTGTGGATCCTCCCAACAGACGTTTCATTCAAATTCTTGCTCGTTTAATTTTTATTCCGCTAGACAGCCGCTCGGTCCGCGCGTTTCTTTTAGGTCTTTTTCAAGCATCACCCTTTCAAGGAGCGTGGCCACACTTTCAAAAACGTCAATCTCCATCCCTCATGCTCCCTGTCTCTGAGCTTCTCTGCTTTCTCTCTCCTTAGCATACTAAATGTGCTTTATTATCTTTTCAAGTCTACTATCCCCTTCAACTTAAAGATCTATAAGCACAGGGATCCAAGTTGTGTTCCCTAGGGGAGTGACTGGCACATGATAAGGGTGATATAAATATCTGTCAATTTCATTCATTCAAAGTTATGCACACTTAATATGTATTCACTTATTTCTTCTGCACATACATTCTACCAGCATTTACTGGGCATATTGGTATATATCTCTCAAACCAACATATAACCCAGCAATTCCATTCCCAGAGTTTACCCAAGAAAAATGAAAGCATTTGTCCATCTGAAGACCTGAACAAGAATATGCATTGCAGCTTTGTTCATAATAGCTAAAAATGGAAACACACAGATGTCTATGAGAAGGTGAATGGACAAACAGTATAGGATACTGAACACCTGCTGTTAAATAACAAATTTTCATGGAGTGCCAGTAGTTAAGGCACAGGCCTGTGCCTGAGGAGCTAGTGAAAAGATCTAGTGGGATATGAAAAGGTAGATTAGAAGTAGATCATGGAAGGCCTGATAGCCATGCTGAGGAGTTTGGGCTTTTCCCCAAAGACAATGGGGAACTGTTCAAGGTCTTCCTTGAAGACTGCTCTCTTTTATATTCCCGCGTCTAGTCCCTAAGTCTGCCCAATGCCTCCCTGGCACCTCTATTTCAGTCTGTTTCAGAGCTCTCTCTCCCTTCTCTCCCCTCCAATCTGCTCCAAACACCGAAGTGGATTTAATAGACCTAAAATACAACCAGGCCCAATTTGGACTCTGCAGTACTCCTAACATCCTCTGGCTCCATATTTAAGATGGGAAAGATGTAAAAAGCTACTCCCCGTTGAAAGAGTACCAGTTAGAGTAGGAAATTAGAAAGAACTCCAGAGTCCAATATACAAAATAAATGATTAAAGCAAGTGAATTAATCCCAAATCGGAGCTCCTTTATCCCTGCAAAGGGGTCCTGTGTTTGGACTGTCCTGTAGATTAAGTAAAAAGATGCTCTGCAGCTCATTTTTTAAAAATCAGCTTTACTAATAAATATATATAAAAATTTAAACATACAGTTTGCTGACTTTTGACAAATGTATTCAATCAATGTGTCCACTGCCACAATCAAGATACAGAACTAGTTGATCATTCCTAAAAGTTGTGCCCTGCCCTGGCTCAATTGGTCAGGTGTGGTCCCATGCACTGAAAGGTTGCTGGTTCGATTCCTGGTCAGGGCACATGCCCAGGTTGCAGGCTCAATCCCCAGAAGGGGGTGGTGCAGGAAAGGAGCCAGTGGATGTTCTGCTTTCACAAGGATGTTTCTCTCTCCCTCTCCCTTCCTCTCTCTCTAAAAACCAATTAACAAATCTTAAGAAAAAGTTGTGCCCTTTTATACTTCATTTCCTCCCTCCTATCTCCAGCCCCTTGCAACCACTGATCTTATTTCTGTCACTGTTGCTTTGCCTTTTCTAGAATGTCATATAAATGAAATGATACAGCATGTAGTCTTTTGTGTCTGGCTTCTTTCATATAATGCTTTTGAGAGTCACCCATGTAGTTAAAAAAATCAGTGGCCTGTCCCTTTTTATTGCCGATTAGTATGCCATCATATGCATGGATATATCACAATTTGTTTGTCACATTTGATACACACTTGTGTTGTTTCAAGGTTGGGTATACATTATGAATAAAGCTTCTATAAACAATTGCATGCAGATCTTTGTGTGGTCCTATATTTTCTTGCTAAAAGACTTGGGCGTAGAATTGCTGGTTGTGGGGTAAGTACGTGTCTAACTTTATAAGAACTATCAAACTGTGTTCTAAAGTGGCTGCCTCATTTTGGACTCCCCTTCGCCCACACCCCCCAGCAACGTATGAGAGGTCCAGTTGTTCCAAGTCCTCTCTAGTACTGTATTGTCTGTCTTTTTAATTGTAGCCATTCTAGTGGATATATAGAGATATCACATTGAAGTTTGAATTTGTGTATTCCCATGACTGATATTGAGCATCTTTTCATGTATATTGACCCTCCATAGATGTTCTTGGGTAAAGTATCCATTGTAGGTAGATTTTTGACTAAGACATATGAGATGGTTCTCAGAAGTCCCTGGGTAGCTGACATAGTTAGAACAGGTTAGAAGCTGTGTTTATTTTCTTGGGGAATGGTCCAAGGCCCAGGGAGTTCAAGAATTAACCCCCATACCCTGAATGTAATTGGATTTCAGGAGAATCAAGGGACATTGGAGAGAGATGACACAAATTGGTTACTCTTTAAGCACGATCGTTTTTACCTTTTAGTGGGGAAAGAGGTCAGAATATGCAACACATAGATACACATAAATACAATATTGGGCCCATGATTTTCAGAGGTTTTGCACTCCCTGTCCATGATAACCTCTCTTAAAGTGCAAATCAAGGCCCGCATGTGAGAAAGCAAGGTGAATTTGTTGTCAGATTATCCTGGGCTGAGAAAGGTGGACATATTTCAAGTATGAAACCTCCATTGAAAGCTTTTCATGCATTTTTGTCCACACCTGGGGAGTCTGTTCAATTGGAGAGAGCCACATTGGACATAAATACCAAAACACCTGTACAAGGCAGACAGGACCATAACTATGGTTGAGTTAAATTTCTGACCCCTCCTCCCTTATCTCAGTTCAGAAAGCATTATTTATAATGCAAGGGAGATAGCAACCATGGTCCAAGAACCGATCTGTCTTTCACTTTGTTTTTGTCTCACCTGATGGATTTTTGTGGGTGCTTGCAAAACAGCCCAAGAAAGAGGCATTCATCCTCCCTCTCAGAGTCTCAGCTTTACAGCTGCCACAGGCAGCTTTACCAATGTCTCTTCCCCACTCCAAACTTTAGAGAGACCTTGGGTTGCTCTCAGTTTGCTTCCCACTGAATTCATCTTTTTCTTCTATATATTGTCTTCAAAAAGGAAACCAAAGCCCAAACTCTCCTTTCTATCACCATATGTACCACCAGATGAGCCTCAGGGACTTGCTTGTAGCATCATTCAGTGTGTTGAGTTATTCTTGTCCTGGGAAACCTTCCCTGAAGGCCCCACCTGAAAGTGGTCCCTCCTTTAGCTGAGCTCCTAGAACCTCTGATGTGTTGCTCACACATGTTTACAGTGGAGGAGAATGTAGGAGGTGAGTCCATGTCTCACCTCCTTTGTGAACAACTTGAAGAGTTTAGATTTTATTAATATTTTTTTCTCTGAGTTATTTAATCACAAATAATTTTAGCAATAATCATTTTAACTCCTTTTTGAAGCTAAACAACGACACGTTCGAAGTTGTATATGTGGATGAAACCCAGCCTCACTGGTACTTGTTGCTTACACAAGGCCAGGAAAAACAGATCCCTGACAAAAGGGATATTTGGACAGATCTACTTTTGGTTAATTGTTAAACATCACAATCACTCCCTCTTCCATCAACTATTGCCTCACAAACAAATGCAGAGAAATTTCTAGACTATTGCATTCGTTTTAACTGAGTAAGGAGAAAAACAAAACAAGACAACAAACAAAAGGGAGAGGTTGCCAGAGCCCTGCTCAAATCCAGGCTGTGGTACAGCTAAGGCTCTGCTGACCAAGCAAAACTCCCTAATCTGCCCACAAAGGCCTCCAGGGTGAGTCAGCTGAAAGGGGCTAATCCCTAGGAGAGACTGATCTCTAAAACTGTAGAGGCCACACAGCTGCACGGCACTGGAAAACAGGGCTTAACAAAAACTGAAAGCGGTATAGAGAAAGGTCACAGAAGCGCAGGGGAGGGTCTTGGCGGTCTGGGATCGCCTCTGCCCCCTCTCGAGTTGTGGGTCATTTACACAGCTCAGCGTTGAACAAGGTCCAATATTAGGCTGATTCCAAGGATGGAGATATTGAGTTGTCAGCTGGCTAAGGGCCCAGTTGTGGGGTCAGGCATGGAGGTGGGGTAATTAATACTTTAAGCAAGGTGACCAACTACAACATTACTGATTCCATAACAGCCAATCAACTAGCTGGCACAAAATTTATACTGTGCTAGATGCTGGGGTGAGGAAAGGAAAAGGCGGTGGGAGGAAACCACAGTAGGTAGAGAGGAGCCTACCTCATGAGTCATTAAAAGAGAGAGAGCATGTGAGAAATGTAAACTGATGCAAAGTCAAATGCCAACCATGGAAAAGAAACAGGAGTGTATGGTGTCGAGATAGGAATGTGAGCAGCCTGTCCAAGTGACATAGAAAGCTACTGACAAGTGAGACCTGGCACGGTTAGGCCACTTAGCAACTGAAGAAGAGAAAGTTGACAAGGAAGACAGCAGGAAGGAGGTTTCCAGACAGAATGATATGAGGCTCGTGGGATTAAAGAGGCCCTCAGGAAAATTAAAGAGGCCTGGAAGATTTTTTTCCAAAACCTGTCATTTGGTCAGGCACGTTACCAGGCGGAGAGGTACCCAGTTGACACTGGATCAGTTCTTTGTTGATTCTAGATATCAATGCATGGTTGCAATTATAACCCACATTTTGTTAAATGTAAAATACAATTTTTTTTTTCTTTCATTTTCCAAGCGAATGCATCAAGCATGACTTTTGGAAATTATTTCCTATGGAGTACTGGTCTCTGTTTTAAGTGACCTATTCCTGTTTCCCACCATCCCTGCTAATCACGTGAAACTCTTCCTTTCACCTTAGTCTTCCTCATTGGAACTGATGCCCACATGGGCAGGGACCATATCACAGCCTGGTCACTTATGAAGCTACAGTGCTGGGCACAGATCAGGGATGGACGATGGATGGATGCATGGATGGATAGATGAGTGGATGGACACATGGATGCATGGGTGGACAGACAGATGGATGGGCAGAGAGCTGGACAGAGAGATTGAGGAGTCCATACAAAAGGAGCCTTTATTTGGGAAAAATTGAGGGTGTCACTGGTACAGGCCCTTGATGGTATCCACAGACCTCTTCCAGCAGTCCTTCCAGCGCTGGGCCTCCTTCATCTGCGCTGTGTTGTCGTCCTGGATTTTCTTCAGCTCCTCTTCAAACAAGGCTAAATATTTCTAGGAGCAAGGCAGCAGGAGGAGGCCACATGAGGAGGGGATTCTGGACTCTGTGCCCCAGAGGAACACTGCAAACTGCTGGCAGGTAGCTTTTACCCGCCCCAGGCATTGGCAAGAGTTCCACAAGTCATTTCTTATGTATCTGCCCAACAACCAATCAGGCAGGTCTGATTGTTTTCCTTGTTTTATAGACGGAGAAACGGAGGCTCAGACGGCACCTTGCCTGGGGTCGCCCAGCCAGAAAGAGGCTAAGCAGGACTAAGACCCCAGTCTACTAGACCGTGGACTCTGCACTTCTTCCTGACTGCTACCCGACACCGTAACCTCCCTGGAGTGTGGGGGTCCTGGCTTCCTCAGAAGGCTGGGCCCTCCAGGCTTCAAGCCCTCGCTGAACTCAGCAGGTGGAGCTATTCCCTCTGCCTGGGGCTTGGCACGGTGGCTGGGTAAGGGACAGCCCTGGTACTGTAGGCTTTCCCAATACCAGGGTCAGCGTATCTCCTGGCAGGAAAAGGATTCTCTCTGGGCACCGGGACCAAAGGTCCACACATTTTCAGAGCTGAGAGTTCCCACAGGTGGCATCTGAGTGCAGCCTCTTCTTCAGGTGGTCCCCACAAGTACCTAAGAGGCACCTGGGTTCTAACCCTACCTCTGCCACTCTGTAGTGGCATATGGGGGACACTTTCTTTAAACCTCAGTGCCCTCATCAGTAACATGGAGACAATTCTACCTTCCTCATGGGGTTGTTACCAGGATTCAACGAGACACCTCATGCTGGGAATAGAAACTGTCAGCCATTCCACCCACTGCTCCCAGGGCCTCCATGCCTCTGACTAACTCTGGCCCCTTGCTCTGACCCAACTGTTCCTCTGGAAAGCTTTCCTTCACCCCCCCACCCCGTCTGGGTGGGGGGTCCCTCTGCTGGGCTCCGCAGCACTGGGCCTCCCGCCATCAGACCCAGGCTATCACTAGGACTGGGCATGACTAGCAGCTCATGTCCTTGTGTCTGAGAACATCGACTGTCCTGAGTGTTGACACGCGCTCTGGGGCACCCTGAGGTGTGTCATCTGCTCCATGGCCAAATGTCAGGGCACCTGTGATGGGAAGCTTTCTCCTTCCCCAGCCAGCCACACTGGGCTGCCCTGCGCCCCTCACACACGCCTCCCCCTGCCGTCTCCCTGCTCACCACGTACACAGCATCCCGGGCTTCCACGGCTGCCAGATGGCCCAGGGTCGTTTTGGTGGTGGTGATCGATGGTGTTTTCCGGAGGAGAATCTTGTTTTGGATGGTGACTTCGGTGGGTTTGATTCCGGGCCACTTCCTACAAACACACATGCATGTAAAAGCCCCACAGGCTTGGCTTCATCATTCACAGTGCACCCACTGACCCTGGTGACCCACTGACCCTGGTGGGAAAGGTTAGCATTTCTTTAAATGTCTTAAAGACATTTCTTTTTTTCTTTATTGATTTTAGAAAGAGAGGGAGAGACAGATAGAAACATGAGACAGAACATTGATTGGCCTCCTCCTGCATGCCCCTCATTGGGGATCAGTCCCACAACCTGGGCAAGTGCCCTGACTTGGAATCGAACCAGCGACCTCTTGGTGCATGGGCTGACGCTCAACCACTGAGCCACACTGGCCGGGCTTAAAGACATTTCTTTAAATGTCTTAAATTAAATGTCTTCTGAGCATTTAATGTTAAGCTTCTTCAAGTTCTTTCTTGTATTTTCATACTGTTTAAATCCATGTGAATAGAGAGTCTTGGGTTCTGTGCACGGAAGGGGAACGTCACACTTCTAGCTGCTTCCTATTTCTGGGCCTTAGTTTCCCCGCCAGTTGGCCAGCCAGGCAGCAGTCACTGGCTCCTGGTCCCTTTATTCTACTGCTCTGTAAAAGTCACTGAACTTAGCTGGGCCAATCTCTGCCTTACTTCTTCCAGAGGCACAGGGACAAGCACTTTGACAGCTCTCATCGCACATTCACAGCAACCCAAGAATGCGCCTCACAGTGGGCCAGGCCTCCCTTCCTGTGTGGGTCCTAACAGCCACTGAGTTCTCAGTATGTGCCAGGGGCACTGCAATCTCATTGAACTTTCTCTTCATAATACCACGTAAGGTAGGCCGCCATGCCCATTCCACAGATGAGGAAACTGAGGCACAGAACATTATGCCTTTCCCAGGGTACCAGGTTTGTTTTCCAGCCCAATGCCCCCAGCAAATACAGCCCTTCATAGGATTCCTCCTAGTCGTGGCTCTCACCTGCTCCCCCGTTCAGTCAGGGGCTTCTCACTCTCTTCCTCCAGGGAGAGCCCGGCGAGTTTCCTCCGAATGAGAATTGATGTTTTCTGTTTGGGGGGCTCCATCTCTGCAGGTAAGAGATAGGTTACTGACTGTGGCCTCCTTCACAGCCTGCGATCAAGGGGGCCCACCCCCTGACCTTGCATTTAGGAAATGAGGGCTCACTCCCCTCCCGCAGAAGAGCTGAATGCACTAGATATGGCAGCTGTATTCTTACCTTTCCTTGTAATTCTCCTGAATTTCTTATTTTACTGTAATAAACATTTATTGTCTTTGTAATAAAAATTTTTAATAAAAATATATTTTGATTACTTAATAGGTTAGTGATAAATGGATAACATTTAAGATATGATTTGAGTCTTTCTATAGCTGTAAAAGTAATGTGCACATTATGAAAACTTGAACCATCACCTAACCTGGAAAAAGAAAAGATTTTAGAATTGTCTTGTCATCCCAGCCGCCAGAGGGGGTCATTGTCAGTAGTCTGGTACCGGCCTCTCAGGCTCTGTCTCTCATTCTCTCTCTCTCTCACACGAGCTCATTTACATATATGTGAGTATGGGTGTTTATATCACGTGTGTGGTTTTTTGAGTGGTATCATAGAGAAGTACTAACAGTCAACTTGTGTTCTCACACAACAGTATTCCTTTCTGCCTTTCCACGTGAGCACATTTTTGACCACCAAACTCACTTTAATAGCTGAACAGTATTCATTGTACATTTTGGCCATAATTTATTTATCCAATCCCCTATATCTGGATATTAGTATTGCTCCCAATTATTTGCAATGTTAGTGCTGCGATGAATATACTTTAAAATGTATCCTAGAAAAATTGTGCAAGTATTTCTGTAGGATAAATTCCTAAGGTAACAACTGCCAGGTCAAAGGTGTGCACATTAAGAATTTTGACAGGTACTGACGGAGGGTTCTCCATGAGCGGTATCAAGGTTACACTTCTCCAGGGGTCTCCTTGGCATTTGGGCCTCCTCACATTCTCACCAGGGCTGGTTGCCACTAAACTTAAAAGCCTTGCATGGCTGTTGGTGAAAACTGGTACCTTCATAATGTTCATATTTGCATTTTTCATCATCAGTAAAGTCAAGCATCTGCTACATTTCCTGGCTATATGAATTATTTCTTTTTTGAATTGCCTGTGTTTGTCTTTTATCTTTTTTACAAATTTGACCTGGTAGAGTTCTTTGTACTACAGGGATATTGGGCCTTTCTCTGACCTTTAGGATATTAGGAATATTTTTCCTGTGTGTGGTTTGTCTTTTCATCTATCGACATTTTCTCTTGCTTTTGTTTTGGCCACAGACAAGTGCCAGACATTTCCTTTATGGTTTCTGGCTGTCATCTCATACTTAGGAAAGCTGTCCCTAACCCAAGATTTGAAAATATTTACTAGTAGAGTTCCATTTTTTTACATGTAATTATTGACCTATTTGGTATTTGCTTTTTTAATTTTAAAAAAGTTACTTTTAATGAAAACAAATAACAATTCACAGTGGAGAACTTGTTTTCATTCTGGTGGAGTCGGGGAAACACAGAAATCCCCCAAGGCCCATCGATCTCTGCCTCACCAAGCCCCTTGGGCCAGGACACAAGGCGGTGGAGCCACTTACTTGCAACCTGGACATCATCGATGGTGACCACTTCATCCAACTGCAGCAGGAACTTCTCAGTGAAGGTGGCCAAGCTGACTATGAATAACCGGCCGAACTTCCTGGTACATTCCTGGAGGAAACGGAAGCCCGTGCTGGCAGTGGAGGACCTGGCCTCCGAAAGCAGGCTGAGGGAGGATCTGGGGGGCCAGCAGGTAACACAAGACCAAAGCCATGTGTGAAGTGTATCCAAGTTAACTGGCATTTGGTCCTCAGCTAGGAGGCTTCTCCTAAGAGGTGACTTGGCTTAAAGATAGAAAATGATTCAGAAACGGCCAAGGGACAATTTACCAAAGAAGAAATCAAACTAGACATGGATCTTGAAAAAAAAATCTCATTACTAATTTTGTAATTAATTTAGAAATTTAAAAATGCAAGTTAGAACAGCCAATAATGACCATCTCTACCTATGAAATCTGCCTGCTTTCATCCCCCAATATGGCCAGGGTGCCAGCAAAAAGCTGTGCTCAGTGCTGGTGGAGGGCTGTCAATTGGGGTCATCTCTCTGAGGGCAGGGCGACTCTTGGCCTTGGACTTGGAAATTGATGGCACCACTGACCTCCAGCTTCTCCTTGGTTGACATAATCATGGCGTCCGATTCTCCTTGTCTTTTCTCTTCCATTTGACATAGAGACTGCATTTGTCCAGAATGTATGGGGTGTCCAAGATTTGGGTGGAGACTTTGGGCATTTTTATCCTTCAATCAAAAAATCCAGAAATCAGCAGGAATTTCAACCACATTGTCTTGAGGTCAGAACCAAGGAGTCACTGGCCCATGTCCTCTGCCAATTATGGCAATGACTGGACTGACATGCGTGCTGACTAGGGTGTGTGAAGGGCCATGGTGGGCAGAAAGGCAAGATAGGGGCATGGCTGGAGCCGACTCTGAGGGTAGGGAGAGGGTGAGCTGAGCATCTGTCCAGCACAATCAGGGCTTTGGTCCAATGAAATGGACAGCATCCATATCCCATGGCTGCAAGGACCAGGTAAACAATCATTGTTGATCTCAGTGACAATGGCTGCACAGAACTCAGCTGACCCACCCATTAAATCCAACAAGGGAGAGAGAGACAGAAACATCAGAATTTACTGAATGCCTTCAATGAAGAAGCTGTTGGTTCCACTCTCACTTCTCCAGAGCCTTGTATCCCTCAGTCCCCATCTAACAATCCCGAGCCTAGCCCATCACCTTCCCTGGGACTCAGGTCTTCCTATGCCCTGCACCCATTTCTGAACTCCCAGGGCCCCTGGACCTGGAGAGGAAGGGCAGATCCTGGGGTCCCACCTTCCTTTTCTCCAGTTGCTTCTCATAACTCCAGAACTGTTTCCGGATCTCTTTGATGGAGGTGCAAAGTTTTTTCCAGTTATGCTCCTTGAAATTTTCCATCACCAGCCAACAAACCTGGGGCAGCAGCTCCTCAAATCTCCTCATCTGGGCTCGTAATTCTGTAGACATTGGGGGTGGGGGACCAAGGCAGAAGACAGAGCAAAGCCAAAGCAAAGCCAAATTGCTGACGTGATCTTTCCAACAAAGACCCAATGCAGTTTCCCGAAGAGAAAGACTTGGTCTTCAATGTAGTACTAGCTATTTCATTAAAAGGGGTCATGTGGTCAAACTAGTATAGAAAAAACTACTATAGTATAGAATTTCAAAGGATTTCTCTTATATACTCTGCAGGACTTTTCAGCTCATTCAAAATACATTGTATCTCCTTAGCTAATGTGGCTCAGTGGATAGAGTGTTGTCCCATGGACTGAAAGGTCCTGGTTCGATTCTTGGTCAGGGCACATGCTGGCGCCATGGGGTTGATCCCCAGTGGACGTGTGTGTGTGTGTGTGTGTGTGTGTGTGTAAGGCAGCCAGTTGATGTTTTTCTCTTACACTGATGTTTCTGTCTCTCTCTCCCTTCCTTTCTCTCTGAAAAATAAAAAAATATATACATATATGTAGATAAATAAAATACATGTATCTTTAAGCATTGTCTCATTCATCATCTCTTCAAATATTACCTTGACTCTAGACTCCTTTCTCTCCCTTTGGACCTCTAAATAGTTATATGTTAGATTTGCTCTTTCATCCACATCTCTTCACCTTTCTTCCCAATTTTCATTTGTTTTTCTGTGTTGCATTTTGGATATTTTCTTTGTATCTACCCTCCAGTTCACTGATTTCACCTCCACCAGTAAATAATGTGCTTGTAAAGCCATTTACAATTTTAAAATTTCAACTATTTATTTTTCCAATATAGGAGTTCTATTTGGTTCTCTTTCTTATCTATGTGGTCATTTTAATAATCTCTTGCGCCCTGGCCGGTTTGGCTCAGCGGTTAGAGCGTCAGCTTGCGGTCCAGAGAGACCTGGGTTCGGTCCCCGCTAAGGGCACGTACCTCGGTTGCAGTTTGTCCCCGGTCCTGAATGGGTCGTGCGGATGGCAGCCACTTGATGTGTCCCTTTCACGTCGACGTTTCTCTCTCTCTCTCTTCCTCTCTCTCCCTCCCACTCTATCTGAACAAAAAATGGAAAGATGTCCTCGGGTGAGGATAAAAAAAAATTAAAAATAATCTCTTGCTCCTTACTCATGTTTCCAATTTCCTCTTTTATTTAACTCTAATAAATATATTTGTTTATATTCTGTGTTTGATACGTTCTATATATAAAGTCTTTACTGGTCTTATCCTGCTGCCTACCTCATGCTCAAGATACATTTTATTCTTGGGTTTATGTGTGTGTTTTGTTTGTTTATTTTTACTGTGAGACCTTATTCTAGGCATTTTTTGGGGGGGGAATCCTTGGAGGCCTGAATTGAAGGTAGATTTTGCTACAGAAGATTTGTAGTGTCTCTACTAAAAAAGTATCTGGGCACAACTAACACATTCTCATTTTAAGCTAAAGTATTAGCGAGAGGGCTTTTGGATGCTCCACAGAAAGTTGAATTCGGGTTTATCTCATTGTGACTTAAGGTTTGAAAACCACTTAAGGGCTGGCTTATAGGTGTGGATTCTCATTAGAATTTTTCTTCTTATTTACCGAGCACCATGGTTTTTAATAAGACAGTTTCCTTTTTTATTTTTTTTTCTCCTCACCGGAGGACATTTTTCCATTTTTTTGTTCATATAGAATGGGAGGAAGAGAGAGAGAGAGAAACATCGACGTGAAAGGGACACGTCGAGTGGCTGCCACCGGCATAACCCAACCAGGGCCGGAGACAAACTGCAACCGAGGTACGTGCCCTTAGTGGGAACCGAACCCAGATCTCTCAGAACCGCAGGCCAACGCTCTAACCGCTGAGCCAAAGTGGCCAGGGGAAGACAGTTTCCTTTTAGTTGTGGGAATTGTGGGTGGTTTTTGTCTTATTCAACTTACTCTGCAGGTAAACACCCAGTTTTATGTGGCTGTGTCCTTTCAGACTTTCAACCTTGGAAGGTCCAGAGCTTTGTCTCCTGTTTCCAATGCTCTGAAGGCATGAAAACAGGCTTTAATTCACCTGGGAGTCAGCAAAGTTCTTAGGGCAATAGCCAAAATTACTGCTCAATTTATCTTTCAGAGCTCCTATTTTACTTCATTTGGGGGCCTTGTGTGTTTTTTACTTTGCAGTTAGCTCAATGCATTTAAAAGATTTCATCACAAACATGTTATATCCAGCATTTTTATCTGTTTTCATTGGGAGAGTTGGTCAGATTCCTGGACTCCCAAACAGTAAGAAACGGAAGTGTCCATTTAATGTGAACTGAGACTCTTCCAGAGCGGCACATCACCTGCAGCATTTCCCAGACCCATTCGAGCACGGAACCTTCATTCTGAGGAAGTTCACCCAGAATGGGATCCCACAGAGCGCGCCTGGGGAAATGCTGAGCCGGGGAAATGAGCTGCTGTCTGCAGTTTTCATCCCAGTCAGCGCATCAGCACAGTAACGAGAGCCAGGGCAGACCGCCTCTCTGCTTACTGCAGCTTGGCGAGGGCTTTGATCCTCAAAAAAAGCCTTGCATAATGGGTTTGGTCTTTATCTCCAGTTTACAAAGAAACTCAGGCTCACAGAGGTGAGCTGACTTGGTCAAGGCCATACAGCTGGGAGATGCCTGTGCTGGGTCTTGACCACCCCAGGTCTAACTATCCCCTAATCCTCTTCCTCTTCTATCCGTGCTGCCTCTCAACCAACACAGCAGACCTCTGATGGGCCCTCAGGTTCCCTGACTTACAAGAGGAATAATTAGGACTTACAACGACACAAAGCACACATGGCTGTGGACAAAGATGCAGAGGAACATGGAGAAGCAAGGGGGGCAATGGTCATGTTTTCACAGCTCCTTTATGTCATAATAATAAATGTAAATGGCAAGATGTATTCTCCCACCTGTTTTCATGGCCCTCCCTATTCTCTGGGGGGCTGGGTCTACTGAGTTCATCATAGCTCAGCACAGTAGGCAGTGTGGAAGGATACTTCAAATGATTAAACACAGAGTTACCATATGTCCCAGAAATTCCATTCCTAGTTGTACCCCCCAGAGAAATTAATACACATGTCCACACAAAAACATGTACATGAATGTTCATAGCAGCATTATTCACAAGACCCAAAAAGTAGAAACAAATGCCCATCAACGAATGAACAGACGAACAAAACGTGGTATATGCAGACAATGGGATATGATTCAGCCATTGAAAGGAATGAAGGGCTGATACACACTACAACGTGGATGAACCTTTAAAACATTATGCAAAAGGAAAGGACCCAGTCACAAAACACCGCATGCTATGTGATTCTATCCACATGAAAGTCCAGAATAGAAAATGTTTATAGAGACAGAAAGTAGATTAGTGGTTGTCCAGGGCTGGGGAAATGATGGAGAGACAGAGGTTTCTAAAGCTGCCAGCGGTGATGGTTGCACAATTCTGTGCTTATACTAAATCCACTGAACTGTACACTTTAAATGAACGAATTCTATGTATGTGAATATCTCATTAAAACTGTCAAATATATCTGTGCAATGAACAAAACATTTTTAGTTATACAAATCATCATATTTCTTCAGAAAAGGGGACCTTTTTGGGGGGCATTGTTATTTCCCCAAGTTAAATCTGATCAAGGTTTTTTTTTAATTTTTCAAATTGATTTTATTTATTTATTTATTTTTTAATTTTATTTTTGTTACAGATGTTTCTCCTTTTTTACCCCATTGACACCCTCCTCCCCATCCCCCCCACCCCATCCCCAGCTCTGTTGTCCATGTCCATTGGTCATGCATACATGCATATAAGTTCTGTGGTTTATCTCTTCCCACCCCCACCCCTTCTACCCCCTCTTCTGAGGGATGTCAGTCTGTGCCCTACTTCCATGTTTCTGGGTCTACCGTATTCCTCAGACTGTTATGTTCATTATATTCCGTATATAAGTGAGATCATGTGGTATTTGTCTTTTTCTGCTTGGCTTATTTCACTTAGGATAATACTTTTCAGGTCCCTCCATGTCGTCTCAAAGGATAAGAGATCATTCTTTCTTACAGCTGCATAGTACTCCATTGTGTATATGTACCACCGTTTTTTTATCCATTCATCTACTGATGGACACTTGGGCTGTTTCCAGATCTTAGCTATTGTAAACAGTGCTGCTATGAACATGGGGGTACATATATTCTTTCTGATTGGTGTTTCAGGCTTCTTAGGGTATATTCCTAGAAGCGGGATCACTGGGTCAAATGGAAGTTCATTTTTAATTTTTTGAGGTAACACCATATTGTTTTCCATAGTGGCTGCACCAGTCTGCATTCCCACCAGCAGTGCACCAGAGTCCCCTTTTCTCCACACCCTTGCTAACACTTGTTGTTTGATGATTTGTTGATGGCGGCCATTCTGACAGGTGTGAGGCGATACCTCATTGTTGTTTTAATTTGCATCTCTCTGATGTAAATCTGATCAAGGTTTTTACCTAATTCTAAGATGTTGACTTCTCATGGAGTGGCCCCTCTGCCTCACCTGGTGGCCTCCCGGGCAGAAGGATAACATGCAGACCGTTAGGCCCAGGTTGAGCTCAATCGGTGCCTTCATGCCACACCTGGGGGCCCGCCTGCCAGCTGCCCACACTCACCTATGAGGCAGGAGTTGTGGTACTCGTCCGTCTGGCCCTGGTACTCCAGGAGCTTCTTGTGGATGTTCTCCGCGCACTGCTCGAAGGTATCGTACATGCAGTCGGGCCTGGTGACTGCGCGCTTCTCTTTGCGGTAAAACTCCTGCAAGAGAAGGCTGATAGTGTGCGGGCAAGGCCCCTCACCGTGGGACTCTGGTCCATGCTCCTGGCATCCTCCACCCTGCTCTCTACCCCACCCAGCCTTCTCTCTTGCTGTCCCCTATGCCGATGAGGCTCTTCTTGCTTGTCCTTTTTAAAAATACATGTTTTTATTTATTTTTTTAGAGAGAGAGGGAGGGAGAGATAGAAACATCGATGTGAGAGAGAAACATCGATGGGCTGCCTCCTGCACGCCCCTTCCTAGGAATCAAGCCCGAAACCCGGGCATGTGCTCTGACAGGGAATCGAAGCAGGACCTCTCAGTCCATGGGACGACGCTCAATCCACTGAGCCACACTGGCCGGGGCTGCTTGTCCTTTTCAACATTGCCAGTGTCAAGGCTAAAAATTCTACCTATCCTTCAAGACCAAAATGGAATCTTTTTTCAATGACCAGTCTGAGCTTACTATGAAGCAGCAACCTAATTAGTAGGCTGTGGGCCACTAATTTGGATGATCCAAAGCTCCTACTCTGAAGGACTCACAGTTCAGTGGGAGGCAGACAGGAAAATGCACAGACTCCTCTGTGAGGAGTGTGCTGGACCAGGGTACCGAGTAGCTCCCATTGAAGGACCCCCAGGTGCCTGCTCACATCATCCCACCTGTCTCCCTGTGGTGCTGCCATGTCTGTCACCCTCCTGCTGGGCACCAGCCTCAGAGACAGAGAAGGGTTTGTTCCTCTGGGCACCCAGTGCCTGACATACAGTTAGTGTCCAAGAAATGTTTGGTGGTTGAATAAGTGGGTAAATGAATGAATGAGGTTTAGCTGGGTAGCTATGGTCATGGCGGCTGGAGTCCCTTTTCCTCAGTTTCACCCACAAGGCCATTATCAGCAGGAAGCAGAAGGCAGTGGCAGCTGGGGACATGTGGCCAGTGGCTGGCAGAGGGGCAGGCAGAGGCCAGTGGGCTGCAGCTCTCACCTCCACGACATTCATCAGATGCTCACTGCTCTCCCAGAGGAGGGTCAGGATGATCCCTTTAAAATCACTGCAACACACACAAGACAAATCCTTGAGAGGCCTGGTCTAATCACACTTAAATGGTGCAAACAAAACCAAATGAATAGAACATTCCGAGGAATCAGCAGCCCTGCCAGAACTGAAATTGGACAGTTCATGTGATGACCAAGCATATGCCCACCTGATATTTTTATTTCTCAAGTTTAATGCCTCTTGTGTGTGACAAGCTGGGTTTGGCCACTTCCAAGGGTCTCTTTTTTCTCTTGGCTTTATCACTCCTTGTAATCACTCCTGCCCCAGGACCTTTGCACAGACTGCTTCTTCTCCAGAGAACACTGCTAATTCCCTACTGGTCACATTTGTTGCTGCTCTTCCTCAGATCCCCGCTTGGTGGCAATTCCTAACTGCCTTATTCCAATGCTCCCAGAGTAGCCTCAACCCTATACCACTCCCCATAGAGGGATTTGGGATTGATTTGTGTGACTAGCTGATTAACCTCCAGCTCTCCCACCAGATGGGGGTTTCGAACTGTGTATCTATTTTTCTTCACCGTGGAATCCCCAGCTCCAGTGTAGTGCCTGCACCTGTCAGTGCCTCTTATAAATATTAATCAAATGAGCAGGACTTCCTGTAGGACCAAACATTTTCTTTCTAATGCCTCTGGCCTTTAGGCAACTGTGAGCACACTAGGGCTTTATTAGAAAAACATGCACAGATGCAGTGGCTAGTCCTGTTCAGTTACATCAACCATCTCAATAGTACGAGTGAAGTAAAGGACAGATGTATTATTGATAGAGGTGGGAGAGAATAACAGAATAATAGAGAACTAAAAATAGTGGGATACTAGCCATAGTTATAAGTAATGTTAAATATCCTTGCTCTGTTAATCGTGATTGCTTTGTTCTGATTAAAGAAAGCCCATTCTGCCCTGGCTGGTTTGGCTCAGTGGTTAGAGCATCGGCCCGCAGACCAGAGAGTCCTGGGTTCGGTTCCCACTAAAGGCACGTACCTCAGTCGCAGTTTGTCCCTGACCCTGGTTGGGATCGTGTGGGTGGCAACCAGTTGGTGTGATGTTACTTTGATGTTACTCTCTTTCTCTTTGTTTGTTTGTTTTTTATCCTCACCCGAGGACATTTTTGCATTTTTTGTTCAGACAGAGTGGGAGGGAGAGAGAGAGAAACATCGACGTGAAAGCGACACATCGAGTGGCTGCCACCCACACGACCCAACCAGGGCCGGGGACAAACTGCAACCGAGATACATGCCCTTAGCGGGAACCGAACCCGGGTCTCTCTGTACCGCAGGCCGACGCTCTAACCGCTGAGCCAAACCGGCCAGGGCGTTACTCTCTTTCTCTTCCTCCCTCTCTCCCTCCAGTTCTATCTGAAGATGAATGCAAAAATGTCCTCGGATAAGGATTTAAAAAAAAAAAAAAGCCCATTCTGACCTGGCTGGAAGCTGTACACCCTGGGAATTTATCTCGGGAACTGTCCATTCTCCTTACCCGAGAGGTGCCCCCTGCCCCCATCATGGAAAGACTAACAACGCTGAAGTCCTGGCAGTGGTGTACTGGAGACAAGCCTTCATAGCCCCTGGCCCACATCCCCCAGCCCGAACTACTACCCCATGCCTGTAAACTGTAACCATTTCACCCATTGTTATTCCCTTTGCCTACTTCCCCAGGTAATACCCAGTATAAGCAACTTGGTATATGGGGGGAGGAGAGCAGGTTTTTTCAGGGATGACCCACTGCTCCCCCATACTGTCAGCACTATTGGAATAAACACTCATATACGATTCAACCTTGTCTCTGCTTAATTGGCTCAAGTAGTGACAAGCAGCCTGGACCCATTTGCTCTCCGGTTTCATTAGAATTGCATGTAGCTGCAGGACACAGACTTTTTCACAGTTTTTATAAAATGGCACAGTGATTATCATACACAAACATGGTTGGCTCATTTCTAAAATATATGTATATGGGTAGGTCACTTGATCTTTCATTTTAAAATTCCTTCATCATAATTAAAGAAAATTAAAAACATACTGAAAAGCAAGAAGGACAAATGAATGCCAACATATTATTGTATTTCTTTTTGCTGATTTAAAAATAGGCTTTAAATTAGGTGCCTGAGTATTTTACATTCTGCTCTTCTTCTTGTGGACAAGAAGAGGGACTGACAAAGACTCTCTCCTTGACCAAACTTTAGACAGGCTTGGCTCTTCTGAGCCCGCTTTCCAACTAGGCCTCATCCTTGGGCATTGGGGTTGGCCTGCCGGGTTCTGTTTTAGCAAGAATCCTGCTAAGTCAGTTTAGAGACAACCCCTACCGGTGATGGCTGATCACCCCAACCTGCTTGCAGCAAGAATCCTGTAAGCAGGTTCAGCAAGAATCTCAGTCCCCTTGAACTTTCCATCTACTGACCACCCCCTCACTCTGCACATTGGCTATAAATCTCCGCTGTCCTTGTTATATTCTGAGTTGAGCCCCATCTCTCCCCTATTACAACAGTCTTGACACCTAAGTCTGGAATAAAATCTCTCTTACTGTTTTAACAAGTGTCAGAATAATTTATTCTTTGACACCTCCGATCTGCAGTGCCTGGGAGAGACCATCTCCACCCCCCTTAGTAAACTGGGAAGTTCCACTAAAATCTATTTATATATAGGTTAATCTCAGGCAAAATATGGAATGAACCTGTTCCCCTTTCACTTCTTTGCATTCTAGTGAGAGGGTTTTCACCATGGGTTTGCTCCTCATTTAATTTCCTCCTTTGGGCGTGGTCTCTTCAAATTCTCCTCTTACCCAACTGAGTCCTCAAGGTCTCCTTAGTAATTTGCTGGGGGGGGGGGGGGGGGGGGAGGAAGGAGGGAGCCAATTTTTAAAGGTCTTTTTCTTTGCTGTCCTTATTTACCGTAATTGTTTCTTGGCTGGTGGTTATCTAACTAATTGCATTTTAAATTTGTATTTGTCAAAATTTTCCATCTTTTTCATTGTGATTTCCTCCAGGCTTCTCAGTGTGACAATCCTATGTTACTAAAGGGAGGCCTGTGGGTAACACTAGAACTCTCTGAACCCTTTCCTCAGCTCTAAGAAGAGGGTTCTCTTCTACCCACTGTGCAGAGGGGAAGACTGAGGCTTAGGGAGAAGTCACTTAACCAAAGTCCCGATGCAGAGGTAAAAACATGATCAGTCTGAGTCTGTTTTATGAGCATTTAACCATTGTGTTATGCCAGGAAATTCTCCCCCCTTTCAGAGATTTAATAAATTCTCAATTTATTTATTTTTTTTCTGTTTAGCCTATGATTTTTTTTTTTTTTTATCACTAAAGAGCCGTGGTACCTCCATACCATGTTTATTATTCATACACTAAAACATGTGACAACTTGGATGGATCTCAAGAGCATTAAGTTGATCGCAAAAAGCCACTCTGAAAAGGTCATATACTCTATGAGAACATTTATACAACATTCCCAAAGTGACAAAATTATAGGAATAACAGACTAGTTGTTGCTCAGGGCTAGGAACAGAGAAGGAGGGGGTGGATGTGGCTACAAGGAGCACCAGGAGCAAGATGGTGGCGGTGATGAACAGTTCTGTTTAGGGATTGTGCTGATGGTTACATAAATCTACATGTGGGGTAAAATGACAGAACTATACAAAATTGAGAGAGTCAAGGTTTTAACAATGTGGAATGTCTCTGGGTGTGTGGGACAAGGGAGTGTCTAGCAGCTGATTTGGACACAATTTCTGGGCCACCTGACATTCACAAACCCAAGAGATGGGGCTAAAAGACTGGTATAGGGGGACACTGCGGTGGGGGCGTCTCTGATTAAGGGAAAGGGGACCACTTGCAGACTTTCAATTTTCTGAAATGTCAATTTCTCTGAGTGCTTTCAATTTTCTGAAGTTGAAATTTTGTTAGTTTGCTTGAAATGTAGCTATATTAAGTGGAACATATTTTGTTTTAATCACTGAAATTAAAATAAAGGAAAAGAGGAATGGGGTGGAGGGGAAGCATTTAAAAATAAAACAAAACTCAGACCTCAAAGGGGCATGCTGCCCTACTACCACAAAACGCTTAGTGTGAAAAATGTGAAATTTTGGTGAAAATCTCTCTTGACAAATTTAGGTGAAATGAGCTGAGACAAACTGACCTTGACCCTTACCTGTCTTTTCACCGACCCCTCCAGCTCCGTTCCCTACTTCTTATTTTCCCCTCAAGTACATCAGGGTTAGCCGCCCCCAGACAGAGACAACAGGTTAAAATGGACTTAAAGGAGAAGGTGTTGTCACTCACTCGGTCTGAGGAGGTGGTCGGTCCCAGAGCACCTGGTACTTTCTCTCCATTCTGTTGGTCTTGGAGACCCGTGTGATACTGTGGGACAAAGGTGGGTCAGTGCTCTGGAGACGGGACAGACACAGGCATATAGGGGGGACCCCACCTGAGTTGCTAGGGGAACTAGACCTGCCTGCAGGCTACTTGGTCCCCATGTTGGGGCTGAATCTTTCAAGATGCCTCCTTACTCGACAGTTCCAGAGACAACCTCACTGTGGGGATGAAGTTCTACCACTGAATCCTGCCAAGGCTGCTGAGGAGAGGGAGAGGTGCCTGGGCCTAGAAATTTGGATGCTTGCTACCCTGTGTGAACCCCCAAAGAAAAATAGGCTGAGCCACATACAGAGTTGCCAGATTTTCAAATAAAAATACAATACACCCAGTTCAACTTGAATTTCATATAAACGAGTAATTTTTTAGTTTCAGTATATGTCTCATGCAATATTTGGGACATACTCGTACTAAAAATATTATGTGTTGTTTATCTGAAATTCGCATTTTACTGGGCATCCTGAATTTTAACCCGGCAGCCCTGATAACACGGATTTCCTTTTGTAGCACTGAGAAACGGAACATACAAATGGACAATGGCTGGACCACATACCAGTACAGAAGTCTGACCCACAACCTGCAGCAACCTGCCTGAGAACCCGCTCCTTATTACAGCAAACAACGTGGGAAGTCAGCCTGTTGTAAGTCAGACATGCAGGAAGCTAGTGGTCATCCTAGTGACAATTCAGAAAGCTGACAATAATGTTGGTAACAATCGGTCCCCAAATGACCCGGAATTAATTACTAAGTGACAGCCTTCCAAAATTTTGTCCCTGCTTACAAGTTAGGAGCAATCGGAGAAAACCAAATATGCTCCCCTAACCAATCACACAGGCGGTCCCACTGCTGGCCTGCCTCCTGCTTCCTTTGCCAGCAGCCCCCAACCAGGCACGCCCAAAGCGCGCCCTTTGCTCCACTATAAAGCTTTCCCCCTCCTTTGCCTGCCCTTGAGTCTCCACCACAGTGTGGGATGCGGCTGACTCCCGAGTTATAGCAAGCGCTGAGTAAATAGCCTTCGATTTTCTCCTGTGGTTGGTCTTTGTCTACTTCCACACTGCAGATGGCATGAGTGTTTAGAAAGATCTTCTAGAGGTATGCAAAGCAGTCATTTCTCACCGCCACTTCCTCAAAACCAGGAATTAAATCACATCAACGAGGGCTCACAGAAAACCAAGAAAGTCTGTGGCTTCTGTTACCTACCCTCTGTAAAATGCACGTTGGGTGTTAGCCAGACATCATGCTCACTGAGTCATGAGTCTAATCACCCCAATGGGCATAGCGGGCAGAGCGCATGGCTGGAATACAGAGGCTCTAGACTCCTCTTAAGATTCTGTGATGTCACCCAAGCAAAGCCACCTCCAGGGTCCCCCTTTCTGATCGGGATGATATCTGTGGGAAGGTGGCAGGGCTTGGATCCACCAGCCATCACCGTGGGAATCCACTGAACTGTCACACGGGACCTCTCAGTGGGAGGCCCGTGGGAGCCCAGTCAGTCTGCAGGAATGAGTGCAGGTATGACCAAAGCTAGCATCAGAGCCGGACCCTCACTGGGTTCCCTGGAGTCTTGTAGCTGTGAGCACAGGAAGCCCATTCTGAGGACAAACTCTGGTAAAGGAACAGGGTGGTCTCTGGCTTCCAGTCAGGGAGACAAAGTAGGGGTTTGGGAAGGGGAGATCCTTGGGCAGCCCAGCATCCCTACCTCCCTATTGAGGCAGAATTGCCACCAAACATGGTCTTCGCGGAGTGTTCTCCCTGGTTCCGATGCCGCTTCAAGCCTTTGGGTGACAATTGTCCAGGACAAAAGCAGAGGACCCGAAGTGAGGATGGGCCAGGTAACACCACTGGACTTCCCACCACCAGTGCCCTGCGACCCATAGTCCCATTTGTCTCTACCTGTCTGCGATCGAGTTTTGTCACATGGGGGAACTGAACATTTTGAGTCATGAAGTCTGAAACCAAATAAAGGATGTGAGGTTTTCCCAGTGACCATGAGGACAGCTCAAGCCAGGCATTGGGCACCATCCCAGTTAGCACACAATATCACGTGACTCCATCCTATCCTAAGTGACATTTTAGAGGAGGAAACTGAGCCTCTGAGAGGAGAGGTCTCTTGCTCAAGATCACAGGCTTTCAGGGGTGGGGGGTCACATGAAAACCCAGTGTATGGGACCCCAAAGCCAGTTCCTAAAGGCTCAGGGCGTGGGCCATGGTGGCAGGGCCCACTGTGCACCCAGGGCCACTCACTGCAGGATCTTCTTGACCACCTCTACAGCCGGGTCTTCAATCATGGGCTTCCCCATGCGGCTCGGCACAGCAAAGGACTCGGGGGTGACTACATCTACCTTGGCCTCCTCTTCAAGGGCTTCTGAAGACACCAGGATGTCACTCTCAACCTCCAGGTCAGTCAAGATGTTGTCCTGCAGGCCAGAGAGAAGGGCCCAAGTGTGTGGGTCCAGCCCAGGTGCCAGGGAAGCATACAGGCTGGGTTCACATTCCAGCATCTCTCTGCTCAGGTGCTGTGGCCAAAGGCCAGCTGCTTGACCTCTCCGAGCCTCTATTTTGCCTTTTATAGAATGGTAATGGCCATATCTCTTTTAAAGGGCCATTCATTCACTCATGCATGCATGCCAACCTTCAGAATGTTTCCTGAGTGCCTGCTTTCTGCAAGGCTCTGCCTGGGCCCTGAGACATGGGGGGAAGAGGCCACATGTGACCCTTGTCCTCATGGACCTTAAAGTCTAGTCATAAAAAAAGACTCTTAATATGCACATTAAATAAATGTTTGGTCACAATGGGGACCAGTACTGGAAAGGAAAAGTTCCAGTGTCTTCTTCAACTTCTGAGAGTCACGGACCTATAAGGCTGGCCTGTGGATGTGCCTGGGCAGTGTTTTTGACCATTGGACAAGTGAATGAATAAATGTGTGGATGAGTGAGTGGCCAACTCCCCCTTGAGTTGAACCGTAGAGAAGGGGTCAGAGTGGCAGCCCACAATGAGAGCTCAGTTAGGCTGTTTCCTACTTTATGCTGAACTGCGCTCCACAATGGACTGTAAGAGGGAAGGATCTGGGCTGGACTCCGGAGTCCCGTGGTGCCAGGCGCAGTAGTGGCGGTGCAATGGAGGCTCAGTGTTGGTGGCATGGCAGGAAGAGCCTCCCCACAGAAGGAAGGGCTGGCTCAAAACATGGCAGTGAGGGGAGGGCCTGAGGGTGAGCAGAGCAGAACTTGAGGGGTGTCCACTTATGCTGCCATTGGTTCTCGGACCACCCCCTCCACCACTGGAAGTTGGCTGAGAGCCTCGAGTGCTCAAACCATGGTGTGAGGGGCTGAGTAAGGGGTGAGGAAGATACAGGCTCTTTTGCCCTCTTGGGGCATACAGTCAAGGGGAGATGGCCCCTAACATGCAGACCTCACTGCACAGTCTGTGAGCTCATGGGGAAAGCTGAGGCCAAGATACCCTGACCAGTCCAGGGATAAGAGACGGCTTAGGGCAAAGTGACATCTTGGGGGACCAGAAATGAAGAGGCCACGGAAAGTGGACTGCAGGGGCTGCTGAGCAGGTCTGATGAAAGAGTCTGGTTTCCCCAGAGGGCAGGAGAGTGACATGACCAGAATGGCCTTTTCTGGTGTTTGCTCTGGCTGCAGCTCAGGGAATGGATCATGGGAGGAAGTGAGAAGATAAGGACAGCCAAGTGGGCAAGAGAGCGGGGGTGGGTGGGTGAGGTGGTTGGGTGGGTGAGGAGAAGCTGGTGGCTGCTCATGGGTGTGGGTGGGAAGGAGAAGGCTGAGAGGTGAGGCTGCCCTAAGAGCTGGTGGACGGGGTGAGCTAAGGGCCCTGATGGGGGAGAGGAGCTAGTGCCAAGAGGTGAAGGGCTCTGACGAATGCAGAGAAGTATTCCATCTTGGATTTTTTTTTTTTTTTTTTTATCCTCACCCGAGGACATTTTTCCATTTTTGGTTCAGATAGAGCGGGAGGGAGAGAGAGGAAGAGAGAGAGAGAGAAACATCGATGTGAAGGGACACATCGAGTGGGTGCCACCCGCACGACCAACCAGGGCCGGGGACAAACTGCAACCGAGGTACGTGCCCCTAGCGGGAACCGAACCTGGGTCTCTCCGGACCACAGGCCGATGCTCTAACTGCTGAGCCAAACCAGCCAGGGCTCCATCTCGGATTTGAAACCAGATCTGACTCCACAGCCTTGGTCTTTCCAAGGCACCCCAGTAGGCCTGATGTCCAGCAGGGGCCTGGGAACCCCCTTTTCCCTTGGGCTTTGCTGAGCCCTGCAGGTCTCCTGGATGCCTAGACCCTTCCCACCACCCCATTCCGTTACTTACAGTAAAAACCACTTGAGTCACAGATACTCTCTCCAGCTTGCAGTTGAGGTACTGAATCCTCTGGCTCAGTTTTTCTTTCCAAGTTCGGATGAAGCTATGGAGGTTTTCTGTGATCACTTCCTATTGAGAACATGGAAGAAGAAAGCCACAGGAAGCAGGCTGCAGGAGGGTGGGCTGGTTCCATCTGAGTCTCAGGAATAAGAACTGGCTGGTGAGGATGCCTCTTGGTTGGATGGAGGCCCCTCACTTGCAGGGAGGGCCCTGGGGCAATGGGGAATACTGGGCTGACTCTCTTAGGCTGCTGCACTGGGACAGTGGATCCTTCCGTTGATGGGGCATCAGGAGTTCTATTCCTGGTTCTACAGGTTTGTTCTAGGCAAATGATTTAAACATACTTGACTCAGTCTCTCCATCTGTGTGATGGGGACAGAGAATGCTCCCTCGGATTTCTTCTAGCTCTAACACTCTACATTCAGAAGGAAATGTTTGGCCCACGATGGCAAGGGTGTGCAGGAATGAAATGACTGTGGTCGTTTTCTGGAGGGGGGATCTCCATGACACCGTCAAATACACACACAACCCTGGAGCAGCAATCCCACTGACCGTGCTCCACAGATGTGCAGGAAAGCACCATGAGGCTGTTCACCACACATCCCCTACCTCACTCAGCAGTCCTCACACATTGTTCCTGAATGGCTCACTGACCTATTAGATGACCCAGGCCAGGAGGCGCCTTGGCCTCTTCCACTTCCTTCATTTCCAATGCATTCTGAATCCTGCCCATTCTCCCCTCCACTCAGCTCTGGAATCAGAACATGTCCCTGCTGGCACCTCGCCCAGGCCACTATTCTCTCTGCCTCAGTCCCGGCACCCTGCCGCTCTCTGACCTCCCTCCCTGCCTTTCTACACCCAGCAGCCAGAAGGCCCTCCTCAAAGTGGCACTGAGCACACGGCCAGGCTGCAGCATCCCCGGTCCCCACAGCCTTCGCCGTGCACCTGATGCACCTCTCCTGTCTGCTTGGCACTGCTCTGAACAAGTGTGCAGCCGGTGCCTTCCACCAACACAGGACTGTCTGCTCTCCCAAGCTCATGCTGCCCCACCTGGCTAGGAGGCTGTGCAAACCCTGGCACCCTGTTTAACACCCTGACCCCACCAGGATGGGGGGAGGTTGGGAGGCAGGAAACGTGGGAGAGCAAGTGTCTCTGCCCTAGAGAGGTAGAGCTGTCCCTAAAGGGCCTGCTGAAGGGGTCACAGTGAATTAACCAGTTTTCCCTGCTCTGCAGGGGATGTGTAGAAACATCCGCACAGAGGTCATGAGGGGCTCTGCAGGAAATGAGAATAACATGAGTGATGTGTGTTCTCCACTCTGCTTTGGGGATGCTGGAACATTTCCCAAGGAGTTACTATGCAAGAAAAGGCAATCAAGACAGAAAACATAAATGACCTCTATTGCTAATAACAGTGAAACCTTAACTCAGTCATTGAAATGGGAGAGAAAAGACTCTCTCACTGGACTCCACCGGCCTGCCTGGGAGGCGCTGGGGGCTGGGGAAGTGGCTGGTTCCTCTTCTCTTCCTTAATTCCATGGAATAAAACAGGGCCTGAGTGGGAAGGCTCAGAGGCCCCTCACGCTAGAGAAATCTTGACTACCTATGTAAGTTTATTTCCAGGTTATGGTCCTAGCATGGTGCATTTTTACTGTTCACAGCTTGGCATCTATCTACTGAGCACTTACCTTTTCATCTTCCTTTGAGTTTTGATACATTTCTACTTTGCTTTGAAGCTGTTCCAAAGAAGAATTTAATCCATCTGCGTGTGAATTGGATTTTGCTACCTAGAAATAACAGAAATTCGAAGATTTGTTTCTAGAATACTTATTTTGATCAGGAAAATGTTCAGCGAACATTTTCATCTTATCTGAGAAATGAATTAAGTACTGAAAAAATGAAATGGGGGGGCGGGGCAGGGAATGCACAATCTTATCAGAAACTTGATCAATGTAAATTAAAAAAATTTTGTTTAAACTGTCAAATAGGTAAGATTTAAAAATAAAATTGTTGCCCTGGCCGGTTTGGTTCAGCGGTTAGAGTGTCAGCCTGCGGTCCACAGAGACCTGGGTTCGGTTCCCGCTAAGGGCATGTACCTTGGCTGCAGTTTGTTCCCGGCCCTGGTTGGGTCGTGTGGGTGGCGGCCACTCGATGTGTCCCTTTCACATCGATGTTTCTCCCTCTTCCTCTCTCTCCTTCCCGCTATATCTGAGTAAAAAATGGAAAAATGTCCTCGGGTGAGGATTAAAAAAAAATAATAATAAAAATAAAAATAAAAAAATAAAAAATAAAAATAAAATTGTTGACTCACAGAACTAGTTGATGGTGGAGATATGTCTCTAGGAATTTATCCATTTTTTATAGTTTATCCAGTTTGTTCACATATAACTGGCCATAGCTGTCTCTTACGATGCTTTGTATTTCTGTGGTATCAGTTGTAATGTCCTCTCTTTTATTTCTGATTTTATTTGAGTTTTGTCTCTTTTTTTCTTAGTCTGTCTAAAGGTTTGTCAATTTTATCTTCAAAAAAAATCAGTTCTTAGCTTCATTGATTCTTTCTATAATTTTTCAAGTCTTTTATTTATTTCTGATTTGACCTTTATTTCCTCCATTCTGCTAACTTTGAGTTTAGTTTGTTCTCCTTTTCTAAGTTCCTTGAGGTGTGCAGCTAGGTTTTCTTGAGATCGCTGACCTGGATTCACATTTCGGCTACAGCATTTAAAAGCTGTGTGTTTTTGACAAAGTCACTTACTCTTTGACCATTTCTTTATCTCTAAAACAGAGATTAAAAACAGTACTTGCTTCATACAGTTCTTGTGAGGACTAACATAGCCAATCAAAATAAGTTGGTTAGCAGGATGCATGGTGCATAAGAACTCAATGATGTTAGAAGCTATGACAATTTAATCTGCCTTCCTGGCTGGAGTGAAAGCCCCATGGGGCAGAGGCTACACCAGCATCCCTAGCTCCTAGGGCAGTGTTGACTTGCAGGTGTGTGTGATAAATACCCACCAGATGAAGAATTAATCTGTCCTACCTCACACTTGATGTTCACTTGCAGATTTGTTAGTAACCGCTGGATTTTCTCTATGAAAATAAGGTCCACAGACAGGTTATGAAATTTACTTTCAAACTTGTTGATGAAATCATTAGCCTGTAAAGAAATATGAAAAGTAAAGGAAGGGGAGAACAAAGTTGGAGGGATCATAATACTGGATATCAAACTATACCACAAAGCCATTGTAATCAAAACAGCCTGGTACTGGCACAAGAACAGGCATATAGATGAATGGAACAGGACAGAGAACCCAGAAATCGACCCCCACCTTTATGGTCAATTAATATTTGACAAAGGAGGCAAGAGTATATAGTGGCATAAAAATAGTCTTCTTCAATAAATGGTGCTGGAGAAATTGGACAGGTACACACACAAAAAAATTTAACTAGACCACCAACTTATACCATACACAAGAATAAACTCAAAATGGATAAAAGACTTCAATCTAAGTCGCAAAACCATAAAAATCCTAGAAGAAAACATAGGCAATAAAATCTCGAACATCTCACAGAGGAGTAGTTTTACTGATACATCACCTAGGCAAGGGAAACAAATGAAAACATTAACAAATGGGACTATATCAAACTAAAAAGCTTCTGCACAGCAAACAAAACTATCAACAAAATGCAAAGAGAACCTACTGTTTGGGAAAACATATTCACCAATGATACATCTGATAAGGGTTTAATTTCCAAAATATACAAAGAACTCATACACCTCAACACCAGGAAGACAAACAATCCAATTGAAAATGGGCAAAGGACCTGAATAGGCACTTCTCCAAAGAGGACATACAGAAGGGCAAGAGACACATGAAAAAATGGTCAACATCATTAATCATCAGAGAGATGCAAATTAAAACCACAATGAGATATCACCTCACACCTGCCAGAATGGCTGCCATCAACAGATCATCAAACAATAAGTGCTGGTGAGGGTGTGGAGAAAAGGGAACCCTAATACACTGCTGGTGGGAATGCAGACTGGTGCAGCCACTGTGGAAAAATTAAAAATGGATCAACTATTTGATCCAGCAATCCCACTTCTGGGAATACATCCTAAGAATCTTGAAACACTGATCAGAAAGGATATATGCACTCCTATGTTCATAGCAGCATTATTTATAATAGCTAAGATCTGGAAACAGCCCAAGTGCCCATCAACAGATGAGTCGATAAAAAAGCTGTGGTACATTTACACACTGGAATACCATGCAGCTGTGAAAAAGATGGCTCTCTTACTCTTTGAGACAGCATGGATGGACCCAGACAGTATTATGCTAAGTGAAATAAGCCAGTTAAAGAAAGACAAATATCACATGATTTCACTTATAGTGGAATCTAAAGAACAAAATAAACAGATGAAAAATAGGTCTAGAAGTATGGATGCATGGAATAGACTGACAGATCTCAGTGGGCAGGGGAGTGGGGAAGAGAAAGGAAGAGAATAACCAAAGAACATGTGTACATATATGTATAACCCAGGGACACAGACAACAGCATGGGGAAGGCCTGGGATGGGGATGGGGGTAGTGTACCACCTAGGCCTTCCCCATGCTGTTGTCTGCATCCAGGATGGGGTGGGGAGGGAGGCAAAAAGGGAGAAAATAGGAGACATTTGTAATACTGTTAATAATAAAAAGAATAACAATTTCAAGTAGCTACAAAAAAATATTACTACAAAAAAAGTAAAGGAGCGGGGTTTCATTGGGAATTTTTGGGCTTTGGAAGCAGAGGGGGACAGGCTCAATTAATGGTTAGAAAGGGGGTCTGACTGGCCCCGTGGACCTTGTAACCAGGTATCCTGGGAGCCTGGCTGGAGGTAAAGGGTGGGGCTCACCTACCTGGTCCAAGTACTCACTCTCCATCTTCTCCATGTTGATCATGATTGTGCTTTCAACAAACTCTATCCGGGCACTTTCCTTCTCCAGCCGATTACACAGTGACTCAATTTCTTCAGAAGAAAAGGTGCCTCCCTCTGAAAACAATCTGAAAATAATTTGGGAGAAATAAAAGCCACTGATCAGACCTGAAACTTTCCATCCATCCTGGATACTGTGATTTACAAGGCTTTCTATTAAAAGTACAAGATCAAGGTAAAATGAATGTAGGTAGGTCAAGGACAGAAGCAGGAAAACAGCCCAAATGTCCATCAAGGGATGAATGGATAAGCAAAATGTAGTATATGTGCACAATGGAATCGTGTTCAGCCTTAAGAAGGGATGAAGCTCAGACACATGCTACACCACGGGGGAAGGTTGAAGACGTTATACTATGTGAAATAAGCGAGACACACAAAAGGACAAATGTGTGATTCCAGATGTAATGAGGTACCTAGAGGAATCAAATTCATGGAGTCAGAGAATAGAATGGTGGTTACCAGTGGCTGGGGAAAAGGAGAGGGAGTTAGTATTTAACGGGCTCAGAGTCTCAATGGGCAAAGATGAAAACGTTCTAGAGGAGGATGGTGGCGATGACAACGCAACACTGTGAATGTGTATACTGCCACTGAACTGTACATCCCAAAACGGTGAAAGTGGACACCTACATTTTTAATGTTATGTACATTTTTTCACAATAGGAAATTAAGGGGGACATAACCGACTCTCAATAGAGAAAGCCTGCTGGCGCGCAGAGGCCCCGGATGCTGGCTCCCACCTGCAGCGCTTGATGTAGTCAATGTTGGTATAGCGAAGCTTGCCCAGGCTCTCCTCCAAGTACTGGCGGAAGCTGCGCAGGGACACCTGGATGACATCGACGTAGCTGAGCAGCTCCTGGTGCAGTGTGCTGCTGAGACTGGTCAGCCTGGGGACACGGGAGAGGCAGGGTGGTGACCTGGGCATGGGAGGGCAACCTGGAAGGCTGCTTGAGCTCCACCACCATGCCCAGCTGTGGGGCCACCAGAACCACTGCCCATCTCCTCTGGATAGAAAGAGAGGCATTAGAAGGAAGTTCAAAATGCCAGCATGTGCAGGGCACAGCGTGGAGCTCTCAGTGTGCGGGGCAGAGGGCACCTCTCTCCTCACTCCGGCTCCTGCCACCAAATTGGTAAAAGAATCCCCAGGTCCTACTGAATCTCGCCCATCCTCCAGCATGCTCGCTCTAACTCCCAGCAACGTGGCTCCTGCTCCCTGGTGTCTCCTGAGCGTACCCTGCAGGTTTCCTCTTCACACCCAAGTCCACCCTAACCAGCCCGTGTATCTGACCACTGCATGGACACCTGTGAGGCCTCCTCACCTGTCACCTGACAGAGGCCTCCTTGAACACGCAAGAGGCTCTATACATCCCTGATGGCCATCCTAGGACCCCTTGCTCGGTCCTGAGTGCATCCCTACCTCGAGCTGGGCCAGTGCTCCTTCCTGGTGGGAGGATTCTGACCCTTCCCACCATCCTCCATCCCAGGCCCAGGGGCCCGAAAAGAGAAGGTTGATCCAGGGCCTGGAAAGCCCAACTCTTTTATCCACCAGGGAGGGACCACTCCTTTGAGAGCAGCCAGCTGGCTGGGTTCTAGGCCCATGAGGCCAGGGTGGGGACTCCAGGCCCTTACTTCTGGCTCCTGGTGGCATTCAGGAAGACGTGTTCCATGTCGTAAATCCTGCTGCGGAAGTTTTTAGTCTTCGTGTTTTGCTCTTCTTGGAACTGGGAGAACATCAGCTGCTCCTTCCTCAGCGCCTCCGTCACCCCGGCACAGTGGCTGTCCAAACGCTCTTGATGAAGCAAGAGCTCGGCTAAAAGGATGAGGGGAGCTGAGGTCCCCTGGATCCTGAGTCACCTCGGGATGTTCCTTTCCTGGACAGTGCTGGCTGCCTTTCCCAGCTGCTGCAGAGCAGGGAGCACTCAGGCTATGGTCTCTCATTCTGCCCCGCTGCCCTCACCAGGGCTTGGCTGGGAGTGGGCGCAGATCCCAGGGAGGCCCATCCGAGACTGCCTCAAGGTCTCTAACTGGAGAGGGGGCTCTGCCCCGCTATGGGCAGGCTGGTCCTTGCTGGTGAGGACACCTGCCTGCAGCTGAAGGGAACAAGGCCTGGGAAATGGAGAGTCCAACCTGGGAGCAGGTGGGATGGGGCAAGGTAATGGAGAGACCAACCTGGGAGCAGGTGGGATGGGGCAAGGTATTGGGGAGGGCACAGATCTCGGTGAGAGGGCCCAGGAGACAACAGCTAGCCCACAGCTGGGCATTTGGGGGTTGTTCCTTTAGATCAGTGGCTACTCATTTCCAATGAGCCTGAATTCCAATGGACTTCTAAGGTGTAAGAAAAAGAACCAGGACTTTGGCTTCAAAAGCTCCATCATAGGCCTTAGAGCTGGCAGACAGCCCCAGACCACCCTATCTGACCTTCCTATTGCTGGGAGTGGTGAAAGTGCTGTGGTCCCAGCTCTATAAAAAATGAACAGTGTGCTCTGGGATGCTGCTTCTCTGGCCTTGACTTACACAGTGTGCATTGGCCAGGGAGCCAGGGAAGGGGAAGGAAACAAGGCTTCAGGAAGCATCTTTTTTCAGATGAAGACAATGAGGTTCCAAAAGTCAAGGAAGTTGCCTAAGGCCACGAACACTGGGACTCCAGGCCAGGTTGTCTGATTCCATAACCATTTCACTGCCCCAGCCGATAGGAGGTTGGGTGGGATCCTGTGGGGACTGTCTGCAAGCTCTAAAGGTCTATGATGGAGCCTGAAGTGTGACACAAGTGAAAACTTAACAGGTCACTGAAGGATCTGAAAGGGGCAGGGAAAATAATAGAATAATAGAGAACTAATGATAGTGGGGACTAGCCATAGTTATAAGAAATATTAATCATCCTTGCTCTGTTAATTGTGATTGCTTTGTTCTGATTAAAGAAAGCCCATTCTGACCTGACCGGGAGCTGTACCCCCTGGGTATTTACCTCGGAAATGCTATCCATTCTCCTTATCCAAGATCTGCCTCCTCATTATGGAAAGATTAAACAACCTTGGAGTCTTGGAGGGGGTGCATTGGAGACAACCCTCTATAGGCCCCGGACCACGTCCCCCAGCCCGAATTACTACCCCATGCCTGTAATTTGTAACCATTTCACCCATTGTTATTCCCTTTGCCTACTTCCCCAGGTATTACCCAGTATAAGCAGTTTGGTTTAAGGGGAGAAGGAGAGCATATTTTTCAGGGATACCCACTGCTCCCCCATACTGCCAACAATATTGGAATAAACACTCATATATGATTCAACCTTGTCTCTGCTTAATTGGCTCAAGTAGTGACAGGCAGCCCAGATCCACTGGTTGTCTGGTTTCAGGTCCAAATAAAAGTGTGCCTCCCACCCATTAATGGAGTTCTCTGCCTAAGAGGGAAAAGGTACCTCTTTTTAAGTGTTATAAATTATACACTGGAATTAATGGCTACCACTTTGGAGGCTGTGGCTTGCATGAGGCACTCAGGATTCCTCACTGTACCACTACCACCACCAACATCCCCTTCTGCAGGTCAGAGATGATCAGAGAAGTCAGGTAACCTGCCCAGAGTCACACAGCTGCAGTGGTTGAGCCTGATATCTCTGATCCCTGAGCTACAGGCTTGGCTCTAGAGCATCTTCCATGTAGGTACACATCTGACAGGCATATGGACAGATCTGGGATTACACAGTAAACACAGGATAATACTCTTCATTTCAGTAAATAATGTCCTTAAAAAAGAAAAAACAATGACAAAGTCCTGACTGAGTATTGTGAGTACTACCTTCTCTGCCAGCCCGGGAGGTGCAAACCCTCACAAACATCTCCCACAGTGTGATAATAAGATCAAGGCTGTGTGGTGCGCACTAGGGCAGCTAATGAACGTGGAGCTGTGGGGGCACAGACACCAGGGGCAGGGGCAGGCGGTCTTCCCAGGCAGGCACTGTACCTGCCCTGACATTGTGGATGTCCTTTTCAATGCGCTGGGCTCTTGGCTGGTGCAGGTGTAGGCGCAGCTCCAGTTCTGAATTCAGCTCATCAATCTTGGTGGCCACCGTGACCCGGGCTTTGAGAGCACATTGGTCAAACCACTTCTCTAAGTGCTCAAAAAAGCCAGCTCGAAGTCTGCGGGAGAGACAAGCGAGGGACACCACTGCCAGCAATCATGACCAGGGACAGATCTTTCCATATTGATAAAATGCTTTGCCCTTTCACTCTTTCGTCCTTATTTTATTTCCCAAATGCACTGTATGTTTTGATCTGGGCGGACCATCATTTTTTAACCATATCCCTGCTGGAGGACATTGGGTGGTTTTCAAACATTTGTTCTTACAAAGAAGGCCACAGTGTACATATGTCACGCGTAGAAGCATTTCTGTAGAGTAAATTCCCTGAACTGGAACTGCCAAATCAAAGGCTAAAATACATGTGATTCTTGAGGATACAACCAAAGTGCTCCCATTGCAAAGCAACTTGCACTCTCCTCCGCAGTGAGGAATAGTTCCCATGGCTCCATAGCCTCAGAGTACACTGCCAAATTTTTAAATCTGACAATTTTGTCATGTTATGGCTGAGACTGAGCATATTTTCATTTAAGACTATTTATTTTCTTTCTCTGCATACTATCCATCAGTATCTTTTGCCCATTTCTCTGTTGTGTAGCTGCTTTTTGTCTTATCAATCTCTTTATAGAGGAGCTCTTTATATATTGGGAACATGAGATCCTTTGACTGTGATGTTAGTTACAAATATTTTCCCAGCTTATCACTTCTTCCTCTTTAGAATTTATGTATTGTTAAGATAGCTATGTATAGCCCTGGCCGGTTTGGCTCAGGGGTTTGTGTGTTGGCCCGTGGACCCGAGTCTCGGGTTTGGTTCCCGCTAAGGGCACGTACCTCGGTTGCAGTTTGTCCCCAGCCTTGGTTGGGGTCGTGTGGGTGGCAGCCAGTTGATGTGTCTCTCTCACTCGATGTCTCTCCCCCCCACCCCCCTCCTTCCCATTCTGTCTGAAGATAAATGAAAAAATGTCCTTGGGTGAGGATAAAAAAAAAAAAGATAGCTATGTATTGTTTAGATGTCCATTCTCCCCAAATTTATCTATAGATTCAATGAGATAACAAAAAGTAATCTCAGCAGACGTCCTCTTATGGAAACTGAGGAACTGATTTCAAACGCATATAGAAATACCAATGGTCAAGGATAGACAAGACAATCTTGGAGAAGACCAGATTTGGGGGACTGACGCTCTGGAATAGTAAGACTCAGAATAAAGAAACAGTAACCAAGCAAGGTGGTGGTGATGCAGGGACAGACACACAGAGCAGTAGGAAGAGGCACAGCAGAGCAGTGCTGAGAGGGGAATTTTCTCAAACGGCCTGGGGTCAGCTGGTTATCCACATGGGGAAGAAATTAATGTTGATTCCTCCCTCACACCATAAAAAAAAATCAATTCCTTGCCCTGGCTGGTTTGGCTCAGCGGTGAGAGCGTCGGCCCGCAGACCAGAGAGACCCGGGTTCAGTTCCCGCTAAGGGCATGTACCTCGGTTGCAGTTTGCCCCTGGCCCTGGTTGGTCATGCGGGTGGCAGCCACTCGATGTGACCCTTTCACGTCGATGTTTCTCTCTCTCTCTCTCCCTCCCACTCTATCTGAACAAAAAATGGATAAATGTCCTCGGGTGAGGATTAAAAAAAAAAAAATCAATTCCAGATAGATTTTACACCTAACTGTGGAAGTTTAAAACAATAACATTTGTAGCACATAACAGAGGAGAATACTTTCATGACCTTGGGGCAAGCAAAGATTTCTTAGGACACAAATTATACTAACCCTAATGAAAAAAATGGAAGATTAGGACCTTACTACAAAATAGAAGTGCTGTTCATCAAAAGATACCTTTAAGAGAGTAAACGAGGTAAGCACAGAGAGGGAACGAATATTTACCATGTATTTTACCTGACAAAAACCTTATATCTAGGGGAGGTAACTAACTCATATGATTCAATGAGAAAAAAAGATAGACAATCCACCAGAAAAAAAAAAGATTTGAAGATAAAATGACCAAATGGCCAATGAGTGTATAGAGAGGTGCACAACATCATTGCTCATCAGAAAAATAAATATAAAACCACAATAAAGCACCACTACACAGATACCAGAATGGCTAAAATAAAAACCATGGACAATACCGAGGATCGGCAAGCATTTGGAGCAAGCGGAACTCTCACACGCTGTTGTTAAAAACTCTTCTGAAAACTCTTGATAGTATCTTTTGGATGTATCACCTCAAGATGGACACACATATAACTCTACGTCCCAGCAATTCCACTCTTAGTTATATATCTAACAGAAGTATATACACGTATGCTAACCAAAAGACTTGTACATATAAGAATGTTCAGAGTGGCATTGTTGATATATCCCCAAATGGGAAACAACCCAAATGTTCATCAGCAGTAGACTAGACAAATACAATGGGCTATATTTTTGTAATGGAATACTATATGGAAATAAAATATGAGCAACAGCCACATAAATAATACATATGAATCTTACAAATATAATTTTAAAAAACTGACATAAAACAGTACATTCTGTATGATTCCGTTTAAATAAAGTTCAAATACAAGAAAACTAATTCAGAAATTAGAATACTTGTTGTCGTTGGGGAATAGAGGGCAGTGATTTGGGACAGGTACCTGAGGGGGACCCCTGGAGAGTTGATAAGTTACACTTCTTGTGGGTACTGGTTGCCAATTATCTTTGAATAATTCATTGCACTATACCTTCATGGTTTCTATACTTTTTGGTATGTAGGCTATCTTGCAACATGCAAACCTAATCATTTAAACACAGAATTATTTTTCTAGCCCTGGCCAGTTTGGCTCAGCGGTTAGAGCGTCGGCCTGCGGTCCGGAGAGACCCGGGTTCGGTTCCCGCTAAGGGCACGTACTTCGGTTGCAGTTTGTCCCCGGCCCTGGTTGGTCGTGCGGGTGGCAGCCACTCGATGTGTCCCTTCACGTCGATGTTTCTCTCTCTCTCTCCCTTCCTCTCTCTCCCTCCCACTCTATCTGTACAAAAAATGGAAAAATATCCTCGGGTGAGGATAAAAAAAAAAAAAAAAGAATTATTTTTCTAGTTAGTTCCAAGGCCAAATGGCATAGTGTTTGGTTCAAGACTCTGGAATTACAGGGTCTAAATTCATACCATGGATATAACCACTTCCTCTCTCAGAGATCTTATTCAAGTCACTAACTCTCTAAGCCTCAGTTTCTTCATTGTTAAAATGGGCTAATTCTCATACCCCTCTTATAGTTATTGAAAGTATTAAATCTTCTCAATAAATATTGGCTCTTATGCTGGTCCTTGCTTCTCTTTGTTTATGGGCTATGGAGAGGACAGCCTAAGGCCTGTGACAGAGGAAGGAGGGGTGAGGTCAAGGAGAAAATACTACAAAGGCCAGACTTTATTCCTTCTATTCCCTGCCCATGTATAAACATGGCAGGTGGACTAACCAGGTGCTCTATAGCTGGTTAGTCCTAGCGAGGGCAGTATAGAGCCAGGAGGGTAGTGGAAATACTATCCTAAAGCCAAATGCTAATTTCCATATTTGGTCCAAATTCAAACATGAAGGCCCAGAAACTTGGGGGTTAAGAGAGGTAAATTCTCAGTGATAGAATTGTGGGTCATTTCTATATTCTTCATTGTACGTTTTTCAATTTTCTAATTTTCTGTATTAAATGTGTCACAAAATCAGAGCCAAATACCACACTGATATACTCACACCTATGGTCTATATCTATAAATTATTTTTTAAAAGTAAGAAACCCTAAGATTACCAATGGGCAATGATCTAGAACCCAGAAACATCTTACAGACAAAACACTGCCTTAAGTACAAGGCCCAAGACAGCAAGGCATTCTGGGACAGGTGGAAGAGTCATTCTCACAGAGGATACCTGTGACTGCAAATAATTCCTGTGCATCTGCTATTTTTTATTATGTTTCTCATTCCTACCCTCAGTTACGCATTGACTTTTTCTAGCTGCAATTAGTCTATTTTTTTGTTAAAATAATTCACCTTGTTAATAAAACTCAGGACAAGAGAATGAGAATAAAAGAGTTGCCTACTCACTGTTTCTTAATTTCTGAAACTAGTGCGGATGAAATTATTACTCGTTCTAGGAACTTGGTGTTGGAAGTGCCGTCTATGAAAATGGAAGAAAGGTTGGTGTAGGGCCTCTGGCAATCCTCCTCTTCTTGTTCCAGGGGTATGAAGACAAAATAAGTGTTCCCACTGGAGACTGTGAAGGACTCCATGTCCTCAGGGGATTCAGCCCCTAGACTCTCTTCCTGGGCTTCGGACTAAGCAGAAAACAAAACTTTAGATGTGATATCATCAAACAGACTTGGGGACCCCAACCACAGGTTCCTTGACATCTGAGGTTGTAACCCTGTGAGCCGAATCTGGCCTGTAGCTGGTTTTTGACCACATAGTGCTTTTAAAATCAGGAAATTCCACATATAGTCTAGATTTGGGGATTCTCTTAAAAATCAGAAAATCTGCCAATTCTGAGCCTACTTCCCACTTAGCATTGTTGTCTGGAACTGAGTAATGATTGCATGGTTGCCATAGGCTGGATGTTGGATGTCCTCGCAGAACTTATATCCCCAATGTGGGCCTTTAGAAGGTGATAAGGTCATGAGGGCAGAGCACTCATGAATTGGATTAGTGTCCTTATAAAATAGACCCCCAGAGAGCTCCCTTGCCCCTTCCACCATGTGAGGACACAGTGAGAAGATGACAGTCCATGAACCAGGAGGCGGGCTCTCACCAGACACCAGATCTGCTGGTGCCTTATCTTGGACTCCCAGCCTCCAGAACTGTGAGAACATTTTGTGTGTTGTTTATAAGCCTCCCTGTCTATGCTGTTCTGTTACAGCAACCTGAATGGACAAGACAAGACTCTTTACCACTTGTTACCTTTTACCCTTGGTCTCCAGCTCTTTTCTATTACATACCTGGGGCATTTGAGTTTGAGATCCCTCCTCAGAAAGAAGTTTCATGTGCCATTTCTTCCACAGAAATACAGAAAAAGAGTCTTTTGCAAGTTCATGATTATGAAACTCAAGTTACTGTTCTGTGAGCTTGAATGTGTTGGACAAGATTTAATAAGATGAGAGTTACTTCCTTGTACTCTGTGGAGAGCTCTGTCTGCCAACCTGGAGATGGGTCTTTTGTTTTATACAACCAGAGAATGAGAAGAGAAGGGATAGAGAGGCTAAGTTGATCTGTACAATAAAGAGGAGCTAGGAAATAGGGGATACCAGGGCAAAAGGAGGAAGGCTATCTGACTTCAGAGTAGGTTGTAGGATGGGATGTGAGGAGAGGAAGGTGAGTTTTAAAAACCATTGATGAGAGATAAGAATTAGATCCCTGTTGACAAAAATAAAAGGTGTGCAAACCTTTGTGATTCTTTATAGGTACCCCAGGGAGACTGTGACTGGGGACTCAAGCTTTCATAACACAGCAAACATAACACACTTTCCCCATGCAAAAGCATAAATCCACTGCTTACTTACCTCAATCATAGATAAACTCTCTTGTTCTTCCTCTTCCTCTTCCTCTTCCTCCTCCTCTTCCTCTTCTTCCTTCATCTTCCTCTTCTCTTCCTCCTCATCCTCCTCTTCCTTCTCCTTTTCTTGAACCATCACATTTTCCTGGTTCGGGGATGGTTTTAAGGAGCTGTATCCTTCAACTTGCATTTCTTCTAATTCCTGAATAGAGCCATCTCTCATCCCATCCAGCTCTTCACTCAGTGTGAATTTTCCCTGCTGGTTCACTGCCACCTCTTCATTTATGAAGGGCTCAGTGTCTTGATAGCTTTCCTCTTCCATCTCTTCTGCTGGCCAGGGGGAACTTGTGTCTCTACTTCTGCTTTCCTCACTTTTGCTCATTTCCTCTTTACTCTTTTGCCTCCCCCTCAGTTTTGTCATTCTCTCCTGGAAACACTTTTCATGTGCGTCTGTTGAGAACCAACCCCAAAGCACAAGGAAAGACAGGTTATCAAAGTAGCCTGAATTGAGTATCCCCAGCCCAAAAATATACAAGAATGGAATCAGGGAAAATCAGGCTTGACTTGGAAATGGTTTACCTGGTTCCCTGAGTTTGAGAATGACTTCCCCATCCAAGTTCTACAGGGGAAAAAACACAGGACATGGAGTGAGCAGTGCTGTCTTCCTCTGGATGTCCACCTCTAAGGACATCTCTTTTCTTTTAAGTGAAAGGACCTGCCTCCCACCCCAACACCTAATGCAGGCATTTCATGGAGGTTTGTCAGGGTGTTCCCAATACAGGGAATCCATTTTCCTTAATCCTGAACAGACCAGCAAACCCTTTCATTACAAAGTGGGCATCAATAGAATCAAATCTCATTCTGACACAGCTTTAGTAGTGCCCTGGAACAAAGAGCCAGAAAGTATAAATTGAAAGATTAAAACAAAGGGGCAGAAATCCGCTGCACCCAGTTCATTCTGGGCTCAAACATACAGAATAAACATGACTTACAAGATCTGGGAGCCTTCTAGTTAATGCTACCAATCCCTTGGGTGAAGTTATAGATACAGCGTACCATAGATAAGTGTGCTCTGTGGAGTTTGCAGGTCTGGATTTGAATCCCAGCTCCTTATATATTGGGTCACCTTGGGCAAGCCCATTTAACCTTGTGGGGCTCAACAACTATGAGGTATCACCTCACACCTGTCAGAATAGCCGCCATCAACAAATCATCAAACAGTAAGTGTTGGCGAGGGTGTGGAGAAAAGGGGACTCTAGTACACTGCTGGTGGGAATGCAGACTGGTGCAGCCACTGTGGAAAACAATATGGTGTTTCCTCAAAAAGTTAAAAACTGAACTGCCATTTGACCCAGTGATCTCACTTCTAGGAATATACCCTAAGAAACCTGAAACACCAATCAGAAAGAATATATGTACCCCTGTGTTCATAGCAGCACTATTTACAAGACCTAGGATCTGGAAACAGCCCAAGTGTCCATCAGTAGATGAGTGGATAAAAAATCTATGGTACATGTACACAATGGAGTACTATGCAGCTGTAAGAAAGAAAGATCTCTTATCCTTTGAGATGGCATGGAAGGATCTGGAGAGTATTATGTCAAGCAAAACAGGCCAAGCAGAGAAAGACAAATATCACATGATCTCACTTATTTGTGGAATATAATGAACTAAACAAACTGCTGAACAAAACTGACCCAGGGACATAGAGGTGGGGTACAGACTGAAAAGCCTCACAGGAGGTGGGGGTGGGGGAGAGATAAACCACAGACCTTATATGCATGTATGCATGACCAATGGACATAGACAACAAAGCTGGGGAAGGGGTTGGGAGATGGAGAGGAGGGTGTCAATGGGGGAAAAAGAATAAACATCTGTAACAAAAACAAATTAATAAAACATAAAAAAAAAAGCCCTGACCGTTTTGCTCAGTGGTTAGAGCATCGACCTGCCGTCCAGAGAGACCCGGGTTCGGTTCCTGCTAAGGGCGCATACCGCAGTTGCAGTTTGTCCTCGGCCCTGGTTGGGTCATGTGGGTGGCAGCCACTCGATGTGTCCCTTTCACATCGATGTTTCCCTCTCTCTCTCTTCCTCTCTCTCCCTCCCACTCTACCTGAACAATAAATGGAAAAATGTCCTCGGATGAGGATTAAAAAAAAAAAAAAGTGTCCTCAGGTGAGGATAAAATAAATAAATAAATAAATAAATAATAAAATAAAATCCTGAAAATAAAATCATAAGAAAAAGAAAAAAATAAAACAGAAAAGCCTTGTTGGGCTCAGAGTCCTCCCTCGTGACATGGAGACCATGACAGGGCCTATCCTTTAAGCCAAGCAACCAGACTGATCTCACCCTCCTATTGCTTAAGCTTTGCCTCACCCCAGGTGCCACAGGGGGCATTTGTGAGCAATTGGAACGGAGATCCCTGCCTAGAGGAGGGATTCCCTGAGGGGCCAGGGATCCCAGGTACACAGGAAAGCCTCGGCCAGTGTCAACCACACTCAGTTACAGCTCTCGCCAAGCAGGACTCTGGCTTGGTGTGTGGGAAAGAGCCAGACTCTGGGAGAGTCAGACCAGGACCTTCCAGGTATTCATGCGTTACCCAGGGGCAGTCACTGTGTCTGAATTACGTGCAAGACACTGTGCTGAGGGCACAGCAGAAGTATGGCTTCCTGAGGACAGGTCCCTGCTGAGGGCAATCCAAGTTGGATCAAAGTTAGGCACACCTGCCCTTCAGGAGATACCTTCAGCACATGCTCCCAACTCCTGTGTTGGACAGCAACCAAGGTGCAAGCACTCTCAGAGAGAGGCGAGGAAGGTGACATGGGAGGTAAGGATGAGAGAGTGGATGGGGCACTTGTCTCTGGTAGTGGACTGGAAGTATGGGCGGGTTTGGGATGTGTGGGGACAGGCAGGTGCCTGGGGAGGAGCAGAATGAGGAAGGGCGGGGCAGGGGCAGGGGCAGGAAGACTGAGGAGTTAGCTGAAGCAGGGACAGTAAGGGGGGAACCGGGTGTGGGCCTCTGCGGCGATTGGGGGCTGTGGGTTGGGATTGGGGGCTGTGGGTTGGGTTCGGTAGAGGCTGCAGAGTTGGTGAGGCCCTTGTGGGCAGGGCAGTGGGTGGGTCAGAGCTGTGTTTTGGGGGTTATGTGGCAGTGGTGGGTTGGGTGAATGAACTCAGAATCATCCAAATTTGCCTTTTTATGATCACTCCATTCAAGCCTGAAAGCCTGTGTTCTGAGCCCTTCAACCTTTCTTAGTCAGAGAAAGAGAAAGTCTATTTTAGAGATGCGTTCAGCTTTTTACTCCGTGATGTCCTGACATAGATTCTAACTCCACACGGGTTAGGGGAGGTGTTCAGAATGGAAGCAAATCAGAACCTGAGTCCTCCTTTGCTTCTTGATGAGTGGCCGGGCTTTTTCTATCCCTCTGTACCTGTTCAAAGATTTCCCGCACGAAGAAGTGTCGGCTGAGGTTGGAGCTGTAGGTGTTGAGTTCTTTCAGTATGATCCCTGAATACTCCATTGCTTCTTTTGTCAAGAGGACATGAAAACGTTCATACCTGGGAGGTAGGCAGGTGAGACCGTCATCTAAGAAGGGCTCAGCTGAGTGTGAAAAAGCCCGTGACCCCATGGAGGTGGGCTGGAATTTGGCATTTAGCTCTGCACAGAGCTGTATAAGTTTCTTTTACAAGAAGAGTCCTTGGTTTGTTTTAATATTTTTCTGATCATATAAGGAATACACACTCCTTGTAGAACATTTAGAAAACACACAGGAGAGTGTTCTCTGCTTCTTGTAACGGAAGTTCCCACTTCCTGCCCACAGTCCTAACCCTGTCCTTGAACTTCACCTACATTATCCCATCAAACCCTCCAGTGCCTTAAGACTCAGACGTTCACCTGTTTCCCAGGTAAGGAGACTTCCCAGGGCGTTACTCATTTGTCTCAAGACAAACTTCTAAGTACTGCAAACCATCAGCAGTGCAATTCGTGCTCTGTGAAGGGTCCTCACAGAATTAGCTGTACAAAGGCACAAATTCACAAGATGGTTCACAGACAACTGTTTTTAACTTTGAAAAACTGGAACCAATCTCAAAAAGCTGATCAACTGGGAGATGGTTAAATCATTATGAAGCAATCATAATGAATTCTACATGGTGATTTAAAAACGGAAATACATTTGTAGTTATAGAACAATTTGCATAGTATGATCAAACCTTCATTTTAAAAACACTATATATGTGTATGTATCCACATATACACATGCCCATAAAAACAAGAAGTTGGGCGGGAAAGAGGGGCATTATTCTGCATGTTTATATTGGTTAACTTTTTTTCTTTAACAAAGACCATGTATGGCCCGGCCGGTGTGGCTCAGTGGTTGTGTTGACCCACACACCAAGAGGTCACTGGTTCGATTCCCAGTCGAGGCACATGCCCAGGTTGTGGGCCCGATTCCCTGTGGGGGCCATGCAGGAGGCAGCCAATCGATGTTTTCTCTCATCGATGTCTCTATCTCTCTCTCCCTCTTCCTTCCTCTCTCTCTAAAGTCAATAAAGAAAAAAATCATTAAAAAAAAAACAAGAACAAAAAACAAAGAGCATGTATGTTTTAAAATGTTAAAGGAAGGGGAGGGCCTGTGCTCTTCGTGTTTAAACTACAGGGCCTTGAGCCCTCCCTCCACAGACTCTCAGATCGGAGTTCTCTCTGGAGGTCTGTGTTGATGAAGCAGTGCTACCAAAGACCACAGCCTTCTCTAAAGTTGGGGTCAACCTCTTAATCTTGAGTTTGTTGGGCGTACCCCTGGGCTCCAAAGCAGGCAGTTTCTGACCTTGAGTATGAATACCAGGTCATCCCCTTCTGTCTTTTGGGGTCTGGTTTGCCTACCTGCATTTCATATCCTTCAGAAAATCTTTGGTCTTTTCCAGGTGAGACTTCAGTGTTCCCTCACTGCTTTGCTGCCTCAGTTGGTCCAACAGCTCATCAAGGTGGGCCTCCTGGGCCTGGCAGCCATCCCCGAAACAGGAGGAAGCAGACAGGAGTTACCAGAGCTTGCGGAGTATAAGTGACATGCAGAGACCCTGCCACTGGAACTGAGATCCAGGCACCAGGGAAGGCCCAGGACTCTCTTCTCGACAAAAAGGGCACTGCTCCAGGCCTTGGGGCTCTTCTCTCTGCCTGGCATATTCTTCTCTGTCCACCTTACAGCCCTGGAGACACAGCTCAGATGGGACTCCTCAGGGACACATCCCTCACATCCACCTAGCCTGGTCTGCCACACCTTCCCAGGGCACCTGCTCTTTGCCCTCACCAGTCGTACTTGAAATCAGATGCTGAGCAGACCCCCTCCACCCCCTAGACTGTGTACAGGCAGGCGGGGTGGGAGCCAGCTCCCTGCCAGAGGCAGATGCTCTGTACCCTCAGTCTGTCTGTCTTTCATGCTCACTCTCTTACAGACACATTTGGATCCAGGGACCCACTGCATCGCCCAGACCAGACTCAGGTGAATATTTTCTACTCCCATCTGGTCCCATGACCAAGGTGAGCCTCAATCTCCCATCGGCTTAAGTTTTATAGCTAACTTGAGGTTTTACATTTAAAATGAATTTTTGTTTATGGTGTGAAGCATGGGTCAAAGTTGTTTGTGTTTCTTTTTTTGCATCTGAGTGCTGGCTGAGTTCACAGGCTACCAAGCAAAACCATCTGGGCATGGCCTTCCCTCCTCCCCCGTGGGGCTCCCCTGAGTGCTGGGACCACACCTGGTTCTCCAGGCTGTGCTTCTGGTGCTTCTCCTCCATCCGCTTCCCAAGCTCCAGCTTTTGCACAGACAGCTTGCTCTGATGTGCCTCCCACAGCTGCACGGCCTCCTGGAAGTAGCGGAAGATGTCCAAGCTCTGCTGCTCTGTCTGCTTCGCTAGGGTCTCAAAGGATTTCTGCAGTGATAGAACCCAGAGAAGGGGCCCTGAGTGCCAACTGCCCCAGAGGATTCATACCTCCAAAGACTGACCATTACTCCCTGGGCACCACCCCTCAAGGTCTTCTTCTGGGCCTCACCTTAGATCATAGCCCTCCCTCCTCTGGGACAGCATTTCTAGTCTGCCCAAGGCTAGAAATGTGGTCTGGCTGACCCTGCAGTCCCATGTCTAGACCTGTCCGTGTCCACTGAAGTCACTGACAGGAAGAAGATGGAGTTTGGGGCCTGGGCACCAGCATGGGCATCCAGGTGGCTATACCCATCTCGGTCCGGGCATCTTTCCTTCTTTGGAGTTCTCTGACTCAGCATCACAGCTAAACACCACACTCTGCTGTTAAATCCTCACTTCTACCTCTTTAAAAAATCTATGTGTCTTGTGCTGTCATCAGTGTCAGGAGTCAGCAAATGTGGCCTGTGGGCTAAATGTGGCCCTCCATTCTTTTCTGTTGACCCTGGGAGCTAAGCACAGAGTTTAAATTTTTGAATTGGAAAAAGTAAAAAAGATATTTAATGATGTACATATTATATAAAATATAAATTTCGGTGTCCATGAATAAACTTGTATTGAAACACAGCTACACTCACTCGTTTCCACATTGCCTTGGGCTGTTCTGTGAGATGACAGCAGAGTGAGAATTTGTCAGAGGTATGACAGCCCACAGAGCCTACAGTGTGTACTCTCTGGTCCTTACAGAAAACGTCTGTTGACCCCACTCCAGATTCTCAGCGTCGTGGGGCAGGGGCTTATTGCTCCCGTGGCCCTTCAGCACCCAGACCGAGCAAGGGCTCGGGAGCCTTCAGTGTGGTGCACAGGCATCTGGGAGTCAGGGGTGAGAGCCTGGAGTGCCCGGGGGAGAGGGCCTGCTCTGAGGGGGGCCATGATGAGGGAACTGGACTCAGGCCCCCAGAATCCTGTTCTCCTCACAGCCCAGGGCCCCGGTGACCCTCCCTTCTCCCCAGCAGCACGGGCCCCAGCTACGCACATCCAAGGACTCCAGATCCTCCTCCACCTTGCTCTGGAACTCTCCCACCACCTGGAAGAAGGACGGGCTCACCACGCTCTCTGCCTCCTCCTCGGTGAAGGCTTTCCAGTCCAGCAGCTGCTCCTGGAGGGGGCCAGGCGGAGTCTGGCTTAGGGCTGGTGGGGGCTTCACCTCGGGCCCTGAGGTCTGCCTCCCACCAGTCCCTGAGAACCTCGGGGAACCCTCACAGCAGCGGAGATCCGTCTGTGCGGTCCGCCCACTGTGTCCAGGTGCTTTGTGCTGCCCTCCTCGTCTCACTGAGTCCCTCGGAAATGGTCTCGCTAGCCCCATTTTGACAGATGAGGAAACCGAGGTTCAGAGGAGGAAGTTTCTGGAGGCATATACCTGGCACATGGTGGGGCCCGACCCCGAACTCAGACCTGTCCTACTGCAGAACCTACGGGCACGGCGACCATCCCACATGGCCTCAGCATGGCTGCAGGTCAGCCAGGGCTCCCATTTCCTGTGACTGGCTTATGCCAACTGGAAAGGGCTCTCTGCATTAATAAAGCCTTGGTTTATGCCTAAAATCTAAAATAAACAAACCTCCCCCAAATTAAAAATCTGTCTGCGGTTGAGTATTTCCAGTGCTGCTGAGGAGGAATGCGGTGCGGCCTGCAGGCTCCGTGCTCACGGGGTACAGGTGACTTCACACTCGATCCTGCACTGCGGACAAGGCACCGGGAGGAGGGTCAGGCCCAGCGCTCAGGGCCAAAGGGGAAGTCCTGGCCAGGCAGGGAGGCGAGTGCCGGGTGGGGGGCTCTCAGAGGACACAAGGTTTTCCTCCTCCTCTCCCTCCAGCCTATATTTCTGAGGTCTGATGCCCCTAAGAGCTGACTGGGAGGCACGTGGCTGTCCTGAAGGCCACAGAGCAAATGGGCAGAGCCCTGTGGGCTTGGGCAGCCCCTGGGCCTGTCCCACACTTGGACTTCTCATCTCCACGTGGGGCTGGTGACACCCACTCTGCAGAACCTTGTAGGATTCAAGGACAGCATGTGCCAGTGGGTGGCACGGCCCACAGAAGCCACAGCACCTGGGCGTGCAGCACACTGCACAGCGCTCCGCTCCCCTCAGAGCCGTGGTGGCCGAGCAACGCTGGGCAGACAGGAGGGGGTGGAGTGGCAGGGGCTTCTTGGGGCAGCAGGTGGGCCCTCAGAGCCTGGGACTCCGACGGCCACAGCTGCCGAGTGAGACCAGCAGACTGATTGGGCTTTTTTGTTTGTTTTTTCACCTAAAAAATATTACTGCGGAGGCAGGGAGAGGGCATTTGACAAAATGTTTCCTTGTACCCCAGAAAACCAGGCATCGTCACTGAGAGGTCTGTGGGTGAACTCACTGCCCCCCCCCCTCCCAGAGAGGTGGGTTAGGGTGAAGAGAACGGCTGGGTGTGGTGGCAGTGACAGTCCTGTTCATGAGAGGGAAGCACTGGACACAACCCCATGGTGTGACCTCCGCTGACAACAATGTCAAGTGCTGTGTGGTGCCGAGTGTCAAGGGTGAAGTCTGAGCGCTCAGAGACTGTATAACTTTGTGAGGTCATGGAGGGCTTCCTGGGGGTGTCATTCGTGCTGGGCTACACCTGAGGCGTAGGTGGGAATAACAGGGGGCCCGGGGCCCAGGCAGAGGGCAGAGCTTCCGAACACCCATAGCCAGTGAGGGCCTTGGGCGCGTGAGCAAGGAGAGCAGGCGCCCAGGGCAGAGCAGGGGCGGGCCGGGGGGACGCCCACCTTGCAGTGCTGCGCCTGCGCCAGGCACTCCTGCCAGGTCGTCTCATACTGCAGGCGGAGCCGCATCATGCAGTCCAGGTGGTAGGTGTCTCCACGGGGAAGAAACAGAACATGTCAGCTGCTCTTCCACAGGGAAGAGGGGAGATCAGAAAGAGGAGCTTCCCCTTCACTAAGGGCAGTGTTTTCTCCCCAGTAAAGTGCCCGAATCAGGACCGCAGGTCTCACCAGAAGTATCCTCCCCATCCTGGCTCTGCCAGGCAAGGCTGGTGGTCTGATAAGAGCCCTCAGAACTTCTGCTTCCATCCACACCCCATGCCGTTTCCCCCAGGAGGGACATGCCACCCACTCCTGAGTTTATAAGAAACTCAGACAACTGATTGACCCACAGGCTGCAGCTGCTATGAAGCTACTACTTGAATAGAGTTCTGGCGAGAGGAGTGAAATCCGCAAACCTCACTCACCGAGGTCCTTATTCAGGGAGTTGAAAGAAGAATACCATTCATCCAGCTGAGCTTTGTTGTAATTGGGGGGCAGAAGGTCACTGGGGGAGGAAGATATGACAAGTAAGCCATGCATGAATCAAACCTTCACTTGTGGAAATTGGTAGCATCTGCAGGGAGCATGCTCCAGTTACTAGCTGTGTAAATAATGGAGAAACCAAGCGACTTCCCGGGGGTCTCCTGCGGCCAAGTGCACACCTTATGAAAAGGTAATTCATATTAATGAATTTGTTACTTAGAAAATAAAACTGATTTCCCTAATGGGGAAAAAAACAGCTTACATCACTTGAAGAAGGAAGCCACTTCTAGGACCCTGATCTAAGATAACAATATAAAATGCGCACAAAGGTATGCAAAAAGACAGTCGCTGAACATGACTGTTTATAAATACAAGAAAATCACAACCTTCATATCCTACAATCGGGAATTGTCTAAATAAAGTACAGTGACTCTTCTTGTGAAGTCATTAAAAAAGGGTGGCAGATTGAAAAATGGCCTAGTATCATTAGCTCCTCCCATGAGGAAGTAGAGTCTATTTCTTCACCCGTGGGTCTGGGCTCAGCCAATGGGACCTTAGCAAACAGGACACAGCAGAGGTGGGAAGGCCCTGAGCATTTCCCTGCCCTCCCTTGTTGCAGGGATGTCTTGTTCCACCATCACCGTGCCTACAAGCCTGGACCAAGCCTCCTGGCTGCTGAGAGAACAAGCGGAGAGAGGCCTCGGCTGTCCCAACTGAGGCTCTGGACATGGGAGTGAGGCCGTCCGAGGGCATCCAGCCCCAGCCAAGCCAGCCCAGACCAGAGGAACTGCTTAACCGATCCACAGAGTCATGAGAAATGAGAAATAGTGGTTGTTTTAAACCACTACGTTTAGGTGGTGTTTAATGATATGAAATAATGCATATGGCTAGAGGGACCACACAATTTATTGTTCAAACTAGGACATTTTTGACAGTGAAAGGAGGGATGCTATTAATGATTATGCCAGGACAAGACATGCAACCCAGGATGGTCTTGGCACCCTATTATGGTGGGGCAGTAAAGAGAAAAAGGACGGTATGAGAGTGTAAACCACATAAGCTGAAGCCTAAACATGACACTAAGTGCAATGTGGTATCCTAGACTGGGTCCTGGAACAGAAAAAGGACATTAGTGGGAAAACTGGTAAATCCAAATAAGTCTAATGTTTACTTAATGGGAATGCATCAAAGTTAATTGCTTAGTTTTGACAGATGTCCAGTGGTAACATAAGATCACATTAGAGAAAACTGGGTGATAGATAAACAGGAATTCTGTGTGCTATCTTTGGAACTTTTCTGTAAACTTAACATTATTCCAAAATACAAATTAATTTAAAATTTATTTCTAGCCCTGGCCAATGTGGCTCCATTGGTTGAGCATCATCCCTGCATCGAAAGGTCACCAGTTCAATTCTCGATCGGGGCACATACCCAGGTTTCAGGTTCAATCCCCGGCCAGGGTGCATGTGGGAGGCAACTGATTGATGCTTCTCTCTCTCCTCCTCTCCCTTCCTCTCTCTCTAAAATCAACAAAAAACATATTTTAAAAAGTTACTTTTAAATCACATGCACACATGCTTATTGTGAATAAGACCATCCCTGAGGATCCCCCATGGACTTTGCATGGGGTCCTGGAAACCTTAACAACACCCACAGCCCTCTCCCCACCTCACTGCCCAGGAGCCTGCAGAGGGCCTGTGCATGAGCAGCTGGGGGATGTGCAGACCCAGCAGGGTCCTGGGTGCCGGCACTGAGTTTTGCACAGTTGAACAAACAGGGGCTCTGAGTCAGAAATAAGCGGTCATGGAAAACAACAAAAGCACTTCTCCTTGCTTTGAGATTAATTTTACACCTGCATGAAAATGAGGTTGCACATGGAGCAGGAAGTACCAGCCAGGGGGAGGCCATGTGGGGCTCTCATGGTCATTTACATCCTGGGAGATCGTAGGCTCTGTGGTGGGGAGACAAGAACCTGAGTCCTGGGGTTACCAGGATGGGAGGGACCAAGGAAGACATCAAGTGTCTCAGCTTGCAGGACCACACAGGCTCCATCCTGCTGCTGAGAGTGGATGCTACAGGCTCCCGGGGCAGTGGGCTCCCAGGGTTAGAACATTCAGTGTATCTCCCGCCAAACAGGTTATTATGGGATAAGAGCTGGGTGAACCGGGTCTGAGGGGGTGTCCACAGCCTCTACCAGGTCCCTTGTCTGACAGCAGTAGTCTCCTCACTGACCTCTGGGCCTCCAGCCTCAGACCACTCCAAATTACCCTCCAAACTGCAAAGCTGATGGGGCCACTCTGCTCCCCACTATCCTCAGGAAAAAGTCCAACCCCTTAACCTGCTCCCGCCCTCTGCCCTTCCTTCCAATCGATTCCTCCCAAGCTCTCTGGCAGTCAGGCTAAACTTCTTTCTGCAGTAAATGCATCATGGTCATTGTGGCCCCCGGGGTTGGAACACCTTAGAATGTGGGCCCAGGAGGCCAGCCCAGGGCCAGAGAACCAGGAGGTGATGGCCTGGCCTAGAGGAAGCCTCGGGAAGAAGCTCAGTGCTGGGGACTGTGCCCGCCTCCCCTGTGGACCCCGGAGGCGCCCCTCCCCAGCGACCCGTCCCGCTGTACCAGATGGAACAGAGATGCTTCAGCCGCTTTCCTTGCAGGGCTTTCTGGTTCTTCAGCATGCTCTCCAGCTCCTTCCTCACAGCCGGAGGAGTCTGGATCCGCTCACTGGCCATGAAGTCACTGGGTGTCCAGACACATCGGCACCATGGAGAGGAGAGGCATGGTGGGTGGGAGGGCTGAGACGCATGGTAAGAACACCCCAGTACCCTTACACCGCCCCAGCCCCCCGCCCCACCTTAGGCCTCTGGGACCCTGAGGAAAGGAAGGAAGGGGAAAGGAAGAACAACTGAGGGGCTGCCAGCGAGGCTCTGGCACTAAGAGCACGGGACCAACAGGCGCAGATGCGGGCGAGGGTGCTGACTGCTGCCTGTCGGCTCCGTGACCTTGGGCGAATCACTGCCCCTGGCTCTGAAGCTCAGTTTCCTCTTCTGGAACAGAGCTAATGATGATAAAGACCCAGCAAGATATTGCAGGCAAAGCCCTTAGCACAGTGCCCGACTCATGGGAAATTCCCAGTAAATGTCAGCTCCTGCCATCATTGTTGATGATCACTGACATTTGTGAACAACATCTCAAGCCCAGAGCAGACACTTTTCATGTGGCATCTTGCTGACCGTCACTGAACCCTGTCACCAGCCCACCATGGTGCCCTCTTTGCATGAGACAAAGGCTCCAAGAGTTCAAGTGTTAGATCAAGGTCACAGGAAAAGTACAGGCAGAGTCAGGTCTCAGCAGCTTCCTTCATCTACAGACCCTGGTGCTCTCCACCTGGAAATGCAGATGTACAGACGGACCCCTCACCCCTAGACCCGCAGCACAGATGGACACTCTTTGGTGCCCTCCGACATCTTGGCCCAAGGCATCCCTTTCTTAGCAAAAGAAAGCCTTGTTTGTTGGCCAAAAGGTCCAAGACCGTTTTGTTAACAAAAATGCCACATGGCAGAGGACACGTGGAGATGGGTCCTCACTTCACCTCCCCTCCCGTGGCGAAATTTGCCACCAGAGGGTGGGATGCATCCAAGCCTGAGGGACAGCCACTCTTCTTGGCCCAGTAATGCAGGGCTATGTGCAACTGTGAAGAGTGGAAATTGGGCATAAAAGACAAACGCTTCCAAACAGTACTGCTCTCAGAAAATGCTTATGACAGAAATAAGATACAAATCTACATGTGCAGTGTGGGTCTAAGAAAGCCTGGGAGAAAATACACCAACATATCAGCTGTGCTTCCTACTGTGGTGAGGCATTAGTGGTGATTTTAAAGTTCTTCTTTGTTCTTTTATCTGTTTTAACTTTTTAAAAAATGAGCACATATTACTTTTACCACTGAAAAACAACAGCACTTTAAAGCAACAGCAAAAACGAGGATCATGCCGCCCCGTTGCCCGGGCAGGTGAGCTGGGCAGCCACTGACCTAAAACTCCGCACCAGGGCCTCCTTCTTGAGAGACTTCCAGGCGTCCAGCAGGCTCTGCCAGCGGCGGCGGCTCTCAAGCTCCTGCTTCAGGGTGGCCTCCATCAGGTTGACAAACAGCTGCGCGAGGGCCCTCCGGTTGCCCAGCAGGGCGTGGTTTATGACCTGTGGTCACAGGCAGGCAGGCTCTTGATGGGTGGGGGGGCTCATGAAGGTCAGAACAAGGCTCAATTGGATAGGGTGGTGAGAGGCTGGAGAGGATCTAGGTGAGGTGTAGGCTAAGGGCCTGGGGCCCAGCGCGGCCATGGCCAAGCAACGTGGCGGCAGTGTCCGAGGAGTTCTGAGGGGTCACTGGACATTCAAAGAAGCTGCCTGGGGCTCAGTGGCTATGGACAGTGGCCAAGGTTATTCCTGAAGGCTTAACCATGAACTGTGACCACATGAGCTTCAACCCAGCTCCAAAGCCTCCTCAGGTGGTTAGACACTGACTTGGGGTCACTGGAGTTAAGCCCTCCAGTGGGCTCTCAGTGTTCAACTGTATTTTGTTTTTCAATTTATTTGTTTCAAAAGCAGAGCGCTCAAGCCATCAGGGACCAGCGCATCTGGCTGTGATGAGGACCGGGACCCAACTGCCAAGGAGGCCAGAACTAGAACATCCATTGGCAGTCACCCCAGTGGTTCCCTCCTGGGCACCCTGGGCACGGCAGTGGGAACCTTCTTCATTGTGTGGGACTGTTCTGCACTTAGCATCCCTGCCCCCATCACTGAGAGCAGCCTCTCCCCTCGGCCCAGGGACTGCAACATCCCCAGATGCCTCCACACATTTCCTAAAACCCCACAGACATTTCCCTGAGGCAGGGGGGGAAGCTGCCCAGCGCAGTGATGAGAACTTCCTGTAGCACTTGTCACTAGAACCTGAGGTGTGATTCCAGCGGCACCTCCTAGCATTGGTAAGCATCTCCTGAACCTCCATTTCTGCAGCCACAGGATGAAGATATGTACAGCACAGGGAATTTGTGAAATTAAATGAGATAAATGCACCCAGAGCAAGTAGCAGGTGCCAGTGTTAGAGCAAGTAAAAGAAACAGGCAAGCCAGACAGTGAAGCAAAAGCAGGGCACTGCTAGCTCTCCCTTCCCTACTGGATCAGACGGACAGAAGTTAGGATTCCTGTTCATCTCAACACGAGAGCTGCCAGCCCTGCCAGTGTGGCCCAGTGGTCAGTCCAAGCACCGAAGGGTTATGGGTTTGATTCTTGGTTAAGGGCACGTACCTGGGCTGTAGGTTCAATCCTGGTCCACCGGGCATATGTGGGAGGCAACTGATCAATGTGTCTCTTTCACATCGATGTTTCTCTCTCTCTCTCTCTCTCTCTCTGTCTCTCTCTCTCTGTCTCTCTCTCTCTGTCTCTCTCTCTCTCTTTCCCCCTCCATCCCTCCCTCCCTTCCACTCTCTCTAAAAATCAATGGGAAAAAAATCCTCTGATGAGGATTAGCCAGAGAGAGAGAGAGAGAGAGAGAGAGAGCGCGCTGCCATTGCTGAGCCCTCTCTTATCATCCTCTAAACAAGTGCTGGGGGTTAAGTATTATTATCCCCATTTCATGGATAGGGAGTTCCAGGTATAGGCGCTGAGTTATTTGGGGAGCTCTCACGTCTGGGGGATGTGAAGAGGGATGTCTGCGCTCGCTCCCTGTCCTTGCTTTGTGCTGGACCCCAAGGCACAGACCTGTGCTGCAGCCCATCTGTGATTCTGAACGCTGTACTCCCTTCACCATCATCTGTCCTGGCTTTCTGCACAGGACCTGGAAACCCATGCAGGCAAAATGCACCTCCGAGTAGCCAGAAGAAGCATCCTTTCATGCAGCAGAGGAGTCAGACTTAACTGACTCTGGAGACATCCAGAACAGCCTTGACTTTCTTGTTTTGTTTTTTTTTATTCTGAAAGCAGCAGCTAGGGGAGGCTGGGGTTGTGGACGGGGAAGCAGTAGGGACAGCCACGGGCAGGCATGGTTCAGCAACAGGCAGACAGCCAGCAGGAAGAGAGACAAGAACCACCAGGAAAACTAGACAAACAGAGCAGGCTGGGGTCAATCATGAGGACGCAAACCACCCCGAGACTGACAGCTGCAAGACGATGCCTCCACAGGGTAGCACTGCGTACCGCACACGGCAGCTGAGGCATGGCCCAGTAGGTGCTTATAAGGTGGTCAGTGCTCAAAATGATGACGCTGTGTTGGGTATACTGGGATTAAGACAGCAAGGAAGCATAAAATGTACTTCAGAAAGATTTCTATTGGAAATACTTACAAAGATTCTGGTTCTGAACCTAAGTGGCCAACCTGAGTTGCTTGGAAATGCTGTCTATAAGAAGCCCGTCATTCCTGAGACCCCAGGCTCTGGAGCACCCTGGGGTCCTGGCTCCTTCTGCACATGATCCCCTCTGCACATGAAAACCACTTACCATGGCTTCTTTATTTATCAGCCGGTACACGTCGGGCTGCATCAGGTAGGATGTTTTCTCTATGATTTCCACATATTTCTTCAATACGTTTTTTAGCTAGAAATGACAAGGTGTCATAGTTAGTGACTCTCTCTTTTCCTGGATAACTGAAAGGAAACAGATGATGCCTCATAAATCCCACAAGTGGAAATCACCAAGAGCCCATCTGTGGGCCAGCTCACTTTATCTGCCCGGGAGAACTCGAGTGAGTGCAGTGTCTCGTCCAGCTCCTTAATCCTCTGCTTCTGGAGTAGGAACTCCTCGGCTACCCGATCCCACAGCTCCAACAGGGTCTGTGCCAAGAAGCTCGGGTCAGGCTGGGAGGACAGAGGGCAGGGAGGGAAGGAGGACTGGCATGGGGCTGGCCAGCCCACGAGGGGGCCCTACTTGGATGTTGTAGTCTTCCAGGTTGTTGTCATTTTCCACCGTTTTGAAGAGATGGTTGATGCTTTCGTCACACTCAGCCAGTTTTTGCAAAAGGAGTACTCCTGGCTCCAAGATGAGCGGTTCCATTTCCTAAGACAGGCCAGGAAGGCGAAGGCTATGGCATCAACCACTTGGTGCCGGAGGACGCCCCCCACCCATAGTGGGAAGCAGCAGCCATGGTCCTGTCTCAACAATAAGAATCATTACCTAGACCTAAGGAGTGAAGAGTCACTTATTAGTTCGCAACTAGAGCAGAGGGGCAGGCACTATTCAAGGTACGTGCCGTGAGCCAGACACTGCTATGTGCTGAGCTGAGCACTTGTCCTCAGACTCTCTTCATCCTCATCCCAGACTCAAGAAATATTCATTAAAGAAATGGTCCATAAGAAATTCCAGGTTGCCTGGCTAGTGTGGTTTAGTGAATTGAGTGTCATCCCGTGGACTGAGAGGTCCTGGTTCCATTCTCAGCCAGGGCACATGCCCGGGTTGCAGGCTGACCCCCAGTAGGGGGCGTGCAGGAGGTAGCTGATGTTTCTCATCGATGTTTCTATCTCTCTCTCTAAAAAATCAATAAAAACATATTGAAGAAAAAAAAAATTCCAGGTTTTCTTCAGGTGAAACTAAGGCTCAGTTATGTTGTGTGACCAAAGCCGCAGAGCTCATGTCCAGCTGGGGTGTACTGGAAAAGGGGTGGGCTGGCTAGGGGAGCACCTCATTGGTACACTGGGAGCAGAGCCAGCTCCTGGAGTCCAGGGGAATGACATGAGTCAGAGAGGACTCAGGAAGAAAGTGGTGACTGCAATCTGCGGCCCAGAGAGGACCCGGAAGGGCCAAGGAGCGTCCCAATGTGGCTAGGGATGAGGTCTCTGGAGAGGAACAGGGTGCTGAGCGAGGGTGGTGTCTAAGGGCCAAGCAGCATCAGGCTGTCAATGGGGGGTCAGCCTGTTTGGCCCCTGTGAACAGGCTGAAGCAGGGAGATCAAAGGCTGGGCTTTGGTGTCAGACCTGGAGTCCAGTTCCCACTTGGCCCCTTCCGTGCCAAGCCAGATAAGACTCCCTGGGCTCACCTGTAAAATGGGAGCGAGGACAGAACTTGACAAAGTACTACATTATAACAGCACTGGTAACGAGCCACTCAGACTTGGCTCCTATGGTTCTGTCACCACTGTGTTGGGCCACTTAGACCCTCGCAGCAGGGGGAAAGGAAGCATTGGGGCAGTGACAAACCAGCTTCGGAATGGCCCAGGATCAGAGGGGAGCAAAAGCAAGGATTCTCACCATCCCAATCTGAGCGATCTCCTCCTTAAAGCCCCTCAGAGCGTTCTCGTAGCCCGTCCTCTTATAGTCTCCTTGCAGGGTGAGCTTGCTGACCCTCTCAGGAACTGGAGGAGAACAACAGAGGTGAGGAATCCATCCAGAGCTCCAAGGCAAGGGGCACGTACCCAGGAAAAGGCAGCAAGGCAGAAGTGCCCTGGTTCAGGAGACGGATCCTGAAACCAGGCCAGCAGTGTCAGGGGCTTGAGGGAAAAGAGAAAGGATGAAGGTGATCCGTAAGTACTACAGGAAATGAAGTCTTGTATGCACAGTAAAGCACTGGTAAAACGTTCCAGAATGCTATGTGCCAATGGGACACGTATAGTGGTTTTCTAAAATAGTTTTATAGAAGGAAATACATGCACAAATAAGAATAACCAATACTTAATAGCATTTAATGCGTACCGGGTATAATTTTACCTCAATTACTTACTGGTCGTCTTCTTATTTTTTTAATTCTCACCTGAGGATGTGTTTAGAGAGCGGAAGGGAGAGGAAGAAAGAGAGCGTGAGAGAAACATTGATATAAGAAACATCCATCAGTTGCCTCCCATATGTGCCACAAGCAGGGATCGAACCCAAAACCTAGGTATGACTTACTGGTCTTATTTTACAAGTGAGGACACTCAGACATGGGGGTTAAAAAACAAAGGCAGCTCTGGTCAGTTTGGCTCAGCGGTTAGAGCGACGGCCTGCAGTCCAGAGAGACCAGGGTTCGGTTCTTGCTAAGGGCACGTACCTTGGTTGCAGTTTGTCCCCGGCCCTGGTTGGGTCATGTGGGTGGCAACCAGTTGATGTATTTCTCTCACATCTATGTTTCTCTCTTTCTCTCTCTTTACCCTCTCTCCCTCTCACTCTATCTGAACAAAAAAATAGAAAAATGTCCTCGGGTGAGGATAAAAATCAAAGGCAGCCCGGCTGGTGTGGCTCATTGGTTGATTGTTGACCCATTAATCAATAGGTTGCTGGTTTGATTCCAAGTCAAGGCACATGCCCAGGTTGTGGGCCCAATCCCCAGTGTGGGGTGTGCAGAAGGCCACCAGTTGATGTTCTCTCTCATCAATGTTTCTCTCACTCTCTCCCTCTCCCTTCCTGTCTCTCTAAAAAAATCAATAAAGAAAAAAAATTTTTTAAAGGACAAAGGCAGTGAGTGGTTGAGTGGGGATTGGACATGGGCCCTTTGCTCTGGGGTCTGCCATCTCATTATGCTCTGCTGTCCCTTGAACCGATGTAGGAAGCTGGATACCACATGGTTTCATGGGATGTGTGCACTCTTGGGAGGAGAAGGGATGCTATTGTAGAGGGGGAGTTTTTACTTTCTGCTTATCTTCTTCCTTCATTTTTCTATAGTGAGCATATATTACTATTTTCTAATCATAAAGAAAAAGAGCCCTCATATTGGGATAAAGTCAACTAAGAATGTGGTATGAGGGAAGAAAATGTGGACTGAGAAATTCTCTTGTGAAATCACCATTTACCAACTAGTTTTCATCAGTAAATACTGATAGTGCAGGCAGTTCCTTTGTCCTCCACCAGCTCCCTGCACTGGGAAAGGCCCAGGGGAGAGGGCCCGGGGGAGAGGGCCCAGGGGAGAGGGCCCAGGGGAGAGGGTCCAGGGGAGAGGGCCCAGGGGAGAGGGCCCGGGGGAAAGAGCCCAGGGGAGAGGGCCCGGGGGAGAGGGCCCAGGGGAGAGGGCCCAGGGGAGAGGGCCCAGAGGAGAGGGCCCGGGGGAGAGGGCCCGGGGGAGAGAGCCCGGGGGAGAGGGCCCGGGGAGAGGGCCCGGGGAGAGGGCCCGGGGGAGAGGGCCCGGGGGAGAGGGCCCGGGGGAGAGGGCCCGGGGGACAGGGCCCGGGGGAGAGGGCCCGGGGGAGAGGGCCCGGGCAGAGGGCCCAGGGAGAGGGCCCAGGGAGAGGGCCCAGGGAGAAGGCTAAGTGAGAGCTCCACACAATGGGAGCTTTGGGTGCTTCCACATTCGAGCTCCTGGGAGACCCCTAAGGGCTCTTTGCGCCCTGGCCCGGCCTGCCTTGTGCGAGGCTCACCAATGGTGTCCGTGAGGCCTCGGACCTCTCGGGCAGCGATGGTGCTCTCACTCTCTTCAGCTTCTTTCTTCTTGGCTGTTTTCTTTTCCCTGAGGAAGAAGCAGAAGAGAACAATCAAACCCCAACCCCTCACCCTCAGGGCAGCTCTGGCACATGAGGGAATCTCTAGAGGGACCCTGGGCATTGCCAACAGCCTGGCCCACTGATTTCGGAGTGCCCTGAGGTTGTGCCGGCCTCCCAACGAACTGCCTGGGCCTCTTTTGCCAGCGGACACCATGGATACTGGGATGAGAGTCTGGGGCCAGCCCTCAGGGCGCTTGCTTCCAATCTGGCTGCAAACCACGTGGGGGTGGTGGCAGGAACCATTTTCCATGTGTGTAAACGGAAGAGCAGAAGGGGTGTGACCTGCCTGGGAAAGCCAGGTCGGTGCTAAGCATTCAGCATGCTCCTCATTGGCTCCTTTAGCATATCTCTGTTTCTCCCACAGGCCACAGGGAGTTGTGCTCTGGATCCGTGTCTAGGGCAGAGCTGGCTTTGCCTCTCTCTCGGGAAGCCAGCACAGCACAATGCCAGAGGCTTTCATGGGAAGTGCCTTTCCACAGCGCTGTCCTGTGGGTGCCAAGAACTCCTGACTGATACTTTATCGCGTTATCAGGATGATGGGTGGTCCTAGGCTAAAGCCTGGGGTAAAGGGGACCCTTGGCAGGCACAAGGAGATATTGGTAGAGCCTGGACCTGAAAGAGAACAGGTCAGCTGGGATCCTGGTGGGAGCCAGTGTCAGCCAGGCTGCGAGACCAACCTCCTGGGAGGCGAGTGGAGCATGGACAGGCCCCAGCTGTCTGTGCCTCTGGGTCCTGGCATCAGGCATCAGGACATGGGCTGGAGAATGCTGACCTTCAGTCTGGGCTTGGGTAGCCATGGGTTTGCCCAGCTGTAGGCAATTAAGGGCGCCGGGAGTCAGAGGCCTCAGGGGAGATTTCCCTGGGAAAAGCTGGAAGTCAGATCAGGGCGGAGATCTTTATGCAGCACTGGGCCAACACCTGCTCTAAAGGGGGCGAAGGGGAAAGCAAAGGCTCGTAGAGGAGGACTGACTCTGCCCCGGAGTCCCAGACCTGGCAGGATTTATGACGTGCCCAGAACTTGAGCAGAAGGGAAGCCCAGCTTCTGCTACATTCTCCTAAGTGCCCCAAGAGGAACCCCAGCTTTCCTTTCCCTTCCTTTCCCCCTACATAAGGAGTCTGAGCTCAGGGAGCTGTGCTCAGGAATCTCAAGTTCAGCTTCTGAACTTGGAAGTGCTGATCTCCCTGCTTCAAACCCATCTTCTCCCATCTCAGGATATGGCGCCTCTGCCGTCCATCCAAGAGCTTAGGCCAGAAACCTAGGACTCGCAGGGCATCTCTCCTCAAATCCAATCCATCAGCTGGTTCATGGGTTCTGCCTCCAAAATATACCTGACAGGCCCTACTCTCCCTCTCGCAGTCCCACCAAGCTTAGAGGGACTGCTGTGGCCTCCTGCCAGCCTCGTCTTGCAGCTCCCCAGATTCTGCACATGGCACCCTGAAGTCCTTAGAATGAGTCAGCTGCTCACTTTAGTAATGTCCAAAATACTGACTGTGGCCTGCAAGCCTCTCTTAGCTTCATCTTCCTCTCCCCAGACCACTGACTTCTTCATCCTTCTGAAGTGGACCAAGCCCATCCTGCCTCAGGGCCTGCCCCATGCTTCCCTTTCCCATCCCCTGGTCTCAGCAGAGACTCCTCCTTAGAGAGCTTTCTGGACCCCTGTCCCAGCACCCCCTCCTGTGTGTCAGAGTCTTCCCACCTTTAGGGAGACCAGTTTATTTATTTACTGTAGAGGCCTCAAATTCCAGGAAGGTGGGATCCCTATGCCCAGGGCCTGGCCCCAGTCACTCAGTCAGTAACTACTGAGGGGTGGGGGTGGAAGGAAGAAAAGGAGAAGCAAATGATCCTGCATAGCAGGTGCTATTACCTCCCTGGGATTTCATTCCTACCTGGCACTCGTCTCATGTGAGCTCTTTTTGGGTTTTTGAAGGCTCCGAACCACCCGCAGTGTGCGGGCGTGTGGCCTGGATGGCAGGACCTACCTGTAGAGGACGGGGTTTTCCGTGACCCAGTCATTGGGCAGGCTGTGCATCCACCTGTGCTGCCGAGGAGACAGCATCTCCCCTTCAGGAATATCCTTCTTCATCAAGGGCTTGCTGCCATCTTTCTGGACCATGGAATGCTCTGCACACCGTTTCCGGGAGGCTGCCAGGGAGCGGATCAGCTGCACCTGAAACCACAAAGGGTCCAGCTGGGGGAAAGGGTCAGAGCGCAGACTTCCCAGCACCCTCAGGCTGACTTAGAAGATCCAGTGGGAACCCGCCAGCTGGAAGGCACTTTGCAGGGAGCCTTCAACCCCACGCCTCCTACAGAAGGGTTCTTCACTCTCTATATCAGTCACTCAGCCTCTTACAAGAAGACATCCTTTAAGAAATTTGAATTAAGTCCTGCCGGTGTGGTTAAGTGATTGAGCATCGACCATGCACCAAGAGGTCACCGGTTTGATTCCCAGTCAGGGCACATGCCCAGGTTGTGGGGCAAATCCCCATTGGGGGACATGAAGGAGGCGGCCAATCGATGTTCTCTCTCATCGATGTTTCTATCTCTCTCTCCCTCTCCCTTTCTCTCTCTCTAATATCAATAAAGAAAATAAATAAATAAATGAATGAATAAATAAATAAATTTTAATGAAGACCAAGATGTTCATCCCAGCATTTTTTACAATCACAAGGAGTTGGAAAAATGGAACTGTCCAATAATAGGGGATTGGTTGAGGGAACATTGTAGGTCCCTACAATGGAATGTTAGGCATTTATTAAAAACGAGACTTAGAAAGTGTTTTTTGTGACATGGGGAAATGCTTATGATATGATATGTCATAAAATATATCAATCAAAAACATAAATTAAAATTATAACCAAAATTATACAGCATGATCTCAAAATTTTAAATGCATAGAAAAATGACCAAACATTCTGGTGGGCCAGGAGTCAGGAAAGCTCTCTGAAATGCACAGAAAATATGCCAAACATTAAGAATGTTGTACTGCTTCCAGGCAGTGGGGTCATGACAATAATTTGTTTCTTTGGTCTCTTTATCCAAGCCTTCTATAGTGAATATTTTTTAGGGTTCAAAGTAGGAACGCAAATCCCTTTTAAATAAGCAATACAGAACTTCAAAGGAAGTGTTCAAGTCTGAGTATTTCTTTTAAGATATCATTTTGTCTGTGCAGTTTTTTATAGATGACAAGGCAATTTCATCACTAAATGGTTGTCAAGAAGGTGTTAACATTAATACATTACAGGAAGTCCTAAATCAACTATGCAGCCACTAAATGTCACGAAGTACATGAATGCCCACTGACATGGGAAAGGTCTGTGAGATACTGCTGACAGGGAAAAGCAGGCTTCAAAACACTAGTATAGAATCAAAACCAGTTTTCAAACAGAAAAATTAGAATTGCTTTTATGCATTGGAAAAAGACCCAGGGCATCCAGTGGATAATTGTGGCTATTTCTGAGTAATTTAAAGCTTTTAATTTAAATTTTCTAATTTTCAAAATAGACATTCTGCCCTGGCCCATGTGGCTTAGTTGGTTGATAGTCACCCAATGCACCGAGAGGTGGAGAGGTGGTGGGTTCCATTCCTATCAGGGCATAAGCCTGGGCTGCAGGCTGGATCCCCAGTAGGGGGCGTGCAGGAGGCAGCCAATTGATGTTTCTCTCTCATGGATGTTTCTCCCTCTTCCTTCCTATCTAAAATCAATAAATACATAATTTTTTGAAAAAAAGAATAGACATTCTAATTTTATAGTCTTACATTTTAAGAACTAATAAGAATTATTTTTTAAATTAAGGCAATTTTCTAAGCCCTTATTTCATTAGATTCCCAGACAAAGAAGACTTCAGAGGGAGGGAAGTTTGGAGGGGAGGGGAGGAAAGTTTGGGGAACAGAGGAGAGTTCGGGCATCAGGAAGAGGGGGCACAAAAAGACAGGCCTACCTCAGCCTCGAAGATCTGCTGGTAGACTTTCCCGCTGGGAACCTCCGTCGCCTTCCCCACTGAGGACATCTTGGCCACTGGCTGGACGAACCTGGGGAAGCAGATGTCCGAGAATCCTGTCTGGGGTTTGCTCTCATTAAGAGCTGCGGTTGAGAGACGCTGGCACCCCTCCCAAGGACAAGTTTTTTCCAGAAGACATGATCCCGCAGGTGGGGGCCTCCGCCCACTTGCTTTGGGAGAAAGCATGGCCCCCTCTCCAGCCTCAGCGTTTTTAAACGAAAAGAAGGAAGGGGGCGAAGAAGCAAAAAGATAAACCTCAGGCAAGAACTGAACTTGCAGAGAAGGCTAATTCTCCCAATAGCACAGGACGCAAATCCTAGAGGGACTTTGGGGTGAAGACTAATAAATGATTTTTGTTTTATGCTTCACTCTCCCGGGCTCTTTTAGGAATAGTCAACGTGCCGGATCTTGAAACCCCACCCCCCACCCCACCCCCGATCTGGCACTGAACACGCCCCCCGCCCAGCCCACACGCACCCGCCAGTGGACACAGGGAGGGGAAGTCCAGGGAGGGTGCAGCCTGACGGAGCCATGCTACGGAGGTGCCTGCTGTGTGCTAACATGACCCGGCAGGCTCTGCTCAAGTCCCATCCCACCCACCCCTCCCCAGCCCACCGAGGAGAGGGGGCAGCCCCAGGCCAACCCTTCTGAGCCCGGTGAGTGGAGAGAGACCTAGAGACCAGGGACATGGCCTCACCCCAACTTCAGAAAGCACCACTCAAGTCAGCCTCCACTTCAGCGGACACACTCGTCTCCAAGGCGACGGAGGCGGGGAGTACCGCTGGCCCCGCCCTCACTTCCTTTCCTTGTTGGGAGGGGGTTGCTATTAGCAACGGGCGCCCAGTATGTAGTAAACTCCAGTTTCTCCTCTGTACAGAGGGTACCTCGGGGCTGGCAGGAGGGTCCAGTGCAGCACACTAAATGTTCTGAAATCTAGTGGGAGACAGGAGATGTAGCTCTGAGCCCTTAATTGTGGTCCAGAAAATCCGACCTATCTTCTTTACCTCCGTTAAAATTATCCTCTGCTGGGTAGTGCTTGGCTTAGGTTAGAAATGGAAAGCATCTCTAAAAGAACCTCAGTGTAGAAGAGGTTGACCGGCTCAAAATTTAGGCCTCAGGGCTTGAATGGAGTGATAATAAAAAGGCGAATTTGGATGATTCTGAGTTCATTCACCCAACCCACCACTGTCACATAACCCCCCAAACACAGCTCTGACCCACCCACCGCCCTGCCCACAAGGGCCTCACCAACTCTGCAGCCTCTACCGAACCCAACCCACAGCCCCCAATCCCAACCCACAGCCCCCAATCGCCGCAAAGGCCCACACCCGGTTCGCCCCTTACTGTCCCTGCTTCAGCTAACTCCTCAGTCTTCCAGCATCTGCCCCTGCCCCGCCCTTCCTCATTCTGCTCCTCCCCAGGCACCTGCCTGTCCCCACACATCCCAAACCCGCCCATACTTCCAGTCCACTACCAGAGACAAGTGCCCCATCCACCATCCTTACATCCCATGTCACCTTCCTTGCCCTCGCCTCTCTCTCTGAGAGCTCTTGCACCTTGGTTGCTGTCCAACACAGGAGTTGAGAGCACGCCCTGAGGGTATCTCCTGAAGGGCAGGTGTGCCTGTCTAACTCTGATCCAACTTGGATTGCCCTCAGCAGGGACCTGTCCTCAGGACGCCATTCTTCTGCTATTCTTCCTGTCTTCACTGCATCTCTGTGGGAGGGGCACCCTGCCTGCACCTGGGATGGATACTGCAGAGGAATCCCACTGGCCAGGGGGGCAAACGAGCTGCCTAGCCTTGGGTCTAAGTGGCTGGACCAGGTGACAGTTGTAATTAATTAGGTATGAACACTAGGAAAGGCGCAAAGGCATGACACTTGTGCAGCTTTGCCAGGAAGCTGCAGAACAGATGGATGTCCAGTAAAGTCTGGGAGAAATAGGGAAGGTAGCTGCCTGTCAGTCACACGAGGGAACAAGTCATTGCCAGAGTGGCCATTGCAACATGGGAAGATTTGACATACATAAGTTCCTAAACAAAGGAGTTCTCTCCCTTGTTCTTGTTTGCTCACACTTGACTCCTGGCTGCAGGACTCTTATACTCCTGCATCCGCCCACATGGCCCATGGCCATGTGGACCCCACACACAGTAGACTAATGGACTATAACTAGCTTAATACTAAACTGGATGCAGTCCACCACGAAATGGAAACTCTGGAAACTGGCTTTGCTTCTAACTCTGCTGAATTCCCAGCTGCACATTTTCCAGGACTGGATTAGGGAAATGGGACTTTGGAAACCGAAGGATATAATCCCAAGCAAATAAAGATCACTCATTCCCCACTTCCAATGGTGGATACTCCACTTTCACCGATAACACAGGGACAGGTATGTGTGCATTCTTCGACTCCCCCCTCTACCCCTACAGCCATCACTACTAATCACTCGCAGGATTTCCACCTGGGTGTCTAGTTGGCAATGACATATGCCCTAGGTGGCTTTTAAGAGTCTGGGGAACTGATGGATTCCTATTGGATCCTTTCTGAATAGAAGTCAGAAGCTTTATGTAAAAGAGGAAACAAAGTATTTCTACTCTGTGCCCTGGTCATCTCTGACCCTGTCAGTCAGACACCTCGGGAGGCCCCTTCCTGAGTGGATAAAGAAAGAAAGATTGCTGTTCAGGGCAACGTCCTAAGGAGGTGAAGCCTTTGGTATGGCCCCAATCAGGCTCCTGAGACACCCCACCCCTTTCCATTCATGGCTCAGCCTGGCTGGGGGCCCAGAGGACTCGGGTTAGTGGCGGGGCTGGGGTGGGGTGAAGGTAGCTGGGACAGGCCTCTGGCTGGACAGGGCAGCTGCGTCTTCTCAGTGGGCCTCTGAGAAAGTCACTGCCCCTCTTTGCACCTCTGACTCCTCATCTGAAAAATGGAGGGTGTGTGAAGGACAGACAATAGGGCAGTAAAACAAAAGAACATACAGCTAAAGTACTGTGAAAACTTGTAGTTAAAAATTTCCCACTTGGTAGACCTTGCCCTGGACCCAAAGAGGATCACAGGAACTAAGTAGGAGGGAGATGGGCATCAGCCGGAGCTGACCACTACACTGTGCAAATAGAACTGCTCACCCCTCAGACATAATGGCTAACCGCAGATACCCGCTTCTGTACGTGCTTGCTCGCTCACAGACCCTTAGCCCAATTCCTTAACAGGGGCTAAGAGAACTATATAAGCAACCCACCCCCTGAGCTCGGGGCTGCTCTCTCTTCTGCGTAGGATGGGACAGTCGCCGCACGGCTAATAAAGCTCTCTTAATTTGAACCCAGTTCGGAGTCTGAGTCTGGTCTGTCTCGTTGGTCTACAACAGGTGAAGGTCCTGGGGTGCAGACCTCACAGGGTGGTAAAGAGGTTCAGGGAGGAAAGGAATGTGCTGGAACTTGTGCCCCACTCTGCCTGGAGGTGTGAGGGGAGAACAATGATAGGAATATGACATTAAGTCCTCAGGAGACCCTGTGATGTTGGTGGAAGTCTCCTCACACTTTCTAGATGAGAAAATAGGCTCAAAGAGGTCAGGCCATAGCCCAAGGCCATACACTGGGTGAGTGTGAGCTGGGATTGTTCTAGAATCAGAACACGCTGGAGGATGGAGTAGCATTGGTACCAGCTGACTTGGGTCGGATGCCCAGGGTCTGAGATTAGGAGTTCTAGGGGGAAATGGGGTGGAATATGGCCTCAATGACCCTGTCCTGGATCCTGGCAGGAGAAGTCTTCCTAGTCTGTTATCCTGGAGATGATCCCCAGAGAGCCCAGAAGAGGCAGCAGCAGCAGGGGAGTGTGCCTGTGGGGAGGGGCTCCAGGGTCAGAGGAGAGGGGGCTCCTCCCTCCCAGCCAAGGGGCCCTCCTCCTGCAGCCCTGCCTCCCTCTGCCATGGTGCCTGAACCCTCCCTGAGAAGTGAATGGCAGGAGCGCCTGGAGAGCGGGGTGCAGGATCCCCTTGGGGGCGGGAGGAGGCACCTGGGACCACAAATCCTGTGATTTGCCAGAAGCAGGCCCTGGGTGGAGATTAGGAGCAATCTGGTATTCTTGGAAGGGGAGGGGAGGGGAAATTGAGGGGAGGCTGCTTAAGGGTCCTAGGCTGCTCTACATGGGAACCCTGGGGTGGGCCAGGAGGCTGAGGGTGAGGAGTTTTCAGAGGAGGTTGTGAGGGCAGCACCTGAGAGTTAGGGCTCATCACCATTTCCACCCCGACGGCACAAGGTGTCGTCCTCTTCCTTGGCATGTTCCTCACTGACCTGGTGATGCTGGACACTGACGGAGAATTATCTGGAGGTGAGTGAGTCTGGGGGCAGGAGAGCGAGCACCAGGATTCTGAGACTTGGTAGAAGAGAGCACCCCGCCCCCATCCCTCCCCTGTACTGAGCCCTGAGTTCTCGGCCCTGAGTTCTCGGCACTTGGCTCTCTCAGGAGAGCCTTTCAGCCACCCCTGTGATCTAGGGGGTCACGCCACCTTGAGGACAAATGAACAAAGGCTCTCATAAGATACCCATCCCAGTTCCCCAGGCTGGTGAAGCAGCAGAACTGCCTGAATGCAAAGGTGCAGGAGGTTTTGTCGAAGCTGGTCTCACCCTCTCCCTCAGGCGGAGCCCCACCGAAGGGACAGTTGTCATGTTCCTCCATGTCAGGAGGCGTAGTCCCTTGGCTGAGTAGTCCCTTCTTGTCTGAGGCCTTAGTCTCCCCACCTGTCATCAGAAGGTGGGCTAGAAGGTCCCAGAGCCTCTTGCCCAGAGTCTGGCCTAGATCCCAGAGCTGTTTTCTGCATGTGCCCTGCCCCCTCGAGGGCTCTGGTGGTAGTGCAACATGATAAAGGGTGAAGATGGGGGACATTACAGGCTAGTGAGGGGGCTTTCTGATGGACTTTGGCTGTCTACTTCCCAGGGCAATCCAATCAACGTCCAGAAAAAGAATAAGACGAGCAGCTGTGGCACACACTGTGGAGGAGGGGCGGGTTCTCCTTGCTCATCGCCTGCGTCTTACATTTATTGGGAGAGTTTGATCACAGAGAAGTAGGGACTGGCATCAGGAACAGTTTGCTGAAGGAGGGGCTCTTTACATTCATCTCTGAGAACAGTTAGGACCTGGATGGAATTGGAGGGAAGGAGGGTTCCCATGTGTACAGAGGCCCAGGACTGGCCCCTGCCTCACTCCTCACCCCTCAAAAGGCCCTGCAACACCCCCCACCAATGCCCCATCCCCTTCCTGCTGTCCCAGAACACAGAGTACACAGAGAGATCCTGCTGCTCCAGGAGGCTGCAATCCACTGCAACCCTGAGCACTAGGAGCATTTGGGGCCTGGTTCCAGGATATGGAACAGCTCAGCCAATGGCTGGACAGGAGCTGGCCGAGGGCAAGGACAGACCTCCCTGATGGCTGGCTCGAGAGTTTATGGCCATGACTCCCTTGTCAGCTCCAGACCTTACTGCATGGCCACCCCTGGGACACCTGCTCCAGCTACTGGGCAGGCACTGGAAGGGACGCCTGAGGTGTGACTCCTGGTGGGTTCACAGGTACTGCTCTATCCTGTAGCTAGAACCTGTCTTGCCAGCTGGAGCCTCCATCCTAATTGGCCCACGGAACACTCAAGGCCAAGAGGAACTGACCATCATCCAGCCGAGGGGCAAGTGTCCAGGCTGGCAGAGGCTGAACCCTAAGGGCTCCATAAAGTTTTGGGCCAAACGTGGTCATGAGGAGTCAGATCCCAACTCCACTGTTGACCAATCCTGTGCCTGAGGTGATTCACCTCCGCTTTCCGGGACTCACTTTTCTTCTCTGTGAAATGGGTAATGCTAAATGATCACTCACCTGGCAGAGACAAATGGCGTATTGACTGACCAAGCACTCAGCATAGTGCCTGGATCAGAGTATAGTGAGGATGGTGTGCAGAGGGTGGGCCATGACCCTGGGGGAGGCCTCCCAAGATAACCCCTCTGTTTTATCCAGCTGCCAGGCCCCCAACACAGAGCCCAGACCACACCCCGAAGGCGAGTGCTATTTTGCACTCCGAAGACCAGCTCAAGCGCGACCTCTTCTTCAGCAGCAGGGACCAAGCTGAGGCACTCGGGGTACACTAGACCAGCTCCTCCCTCTCTAAGGTGAAGAAGAATATTGGTAGCCTCTTCCTGGGGTTTCCACGAAGGTCAGAAGACGGGATGACCCTGCCTATCTCCCTGCCTGCTTTACCTCAAGGCCAATTTACGTGTTGGGGAGGGGCGATCTTTATTTGTTGAAAATAGTAAATGCTAGATTTGAATGTTATTAAATCCATTTTCTTTGATAGCCTGAGAGTTGAGGTTTGCTTCTTTTATTTCCTATGCTAATTTAAATGAGATGCAGACCTTCACATTCTTCCTTGAACTAAAAAATCTTGCAAGGCCATTAGCACATTGTTTATGAGGGATGGAAGGAGGGCCAGCCCCTTCCCTGGCTATAAAGGAGACCCTCAAGTCCCCCTTCCTCAGAGGACACCTTCATTTAATTACTGTGGACCTGGGCAAGGAGCAGACACAGACCCTCAGAACTCCTGCGATTCAGAGGTTGAATGTACTTTACAGGCATGGCAACAACCGCTGAAATTTGGGTGTCTTTATTTATTTATTTATTTATTTATTTATTTATTTATTTATTTTTTGGTACAGATAGAGTGGGAGGGAGAGAGAGAGAGAGAAACATCGACGTGAAGGGACACATCGAGTGGCTGCCACCCGCACGACCAACCAGGGTTGGGGACAAACTGCAACCGAAGTACGTGCCCTTAGCGGGAACCGAACCCGGGTCTCTCCGGACCGCAGGCCGACGCTCTAACCGCTGAGCCAAACTGGCCAGGGCGGGTGTCTTTAAAAGTAACACTTGCCTGGACTATTTCCTGCCCCAGGACAGTGGCTTCCTTCCTACAGCTTTGAAGGAAGAGGGAGCATGTTCTGCTTCTCTTGCTGAGGCGTCTTTTGGCCAAATATTAGGAACTTGCAGTTTTCTAGTTCAATCTCTGGAATTGCATCAGCAGTAAGTCGGGAAGAAACTGTAAAGAGATTCAACATCGCATGTGGAAAGGACAAGCCAGAGGGAGATAATCTGCAAATGGACTGAGGGCAGGCAGGCTTTCCATCCTGAGTCCCCCCTAGGGACCCAATGATCACCCTTTACCTAGATTTGAATCCTTCTGGGATCCTTGTCCATGACCTCTGAATTTTTTTTCCTGCTTGTTTCATATCCTGGAGAAAGATTTGTGATGCACACTTTAAAGTGGGGTCCTGTTCCATTTGTGCTATGAACTAAGATGTCCGGCATCCCTGCACATCTTAGAAATTCCCTAGAGGCTCCCAACCTCTTTCTTTTGGGGACATCAAGGCCACTCCTCCCTGGCTGGGACCTGATGGATCACAAATGAGTTCTGCTTTGCCAGGATAAGGGCCCATGTACTTGGCCATGGAAAGACCCTCACACTCTCCCTTGCTGGCCAAGGTGACTTCCGGGGACAAGTCTACTGATAGGTCTAGAAACACATAGGGCTGGTAGGGGTCGGTCCTGAGGGGAATCAGCAGTGGTCTGCAAGGCAACTACATCAGGGGAGACCACTGCAGGCCCCTTTCTTCACGGAGCTGAGCATAGTGAGGTGGGTGGACATTAATCAGATCACCACAAAGTGCAACATTACAGATAACAAGAACTGATATTTATTGAGAGTTTAGGATACATCAGGCACTTGTATTTTTTTAGAGAGAAGGAAACATGGATGTGAGAGAGGCACATTGAGTAGCTGCCACCCACACGACCCCAACTGGGGCCAGGGACAATAACCAACATACATGCCCTTAGCAGGAACTGAACCCAGAACTCTGGTCCGCTGGCCGACGCTCTAACCGCTGAGCCAAACCGGCCAGGGCAGTGTTACTCATTTTTATGTGTGAGAAAAAGGAAGCACAGAAAGGCCAATGTCACACAACTAAAAAGTGGTGGTGTGGGGTCCCAACACCCAGGGTGTCAGCCTTCTCAGTTTCTAAAAGCAGAATGACAAAGCTTTGTTGTAGAGATTAAGTTAAGAGATAGGTCTGCAAACACCTAGGAACAGGATTGGGGTCACAGTAGGTGCTCAATGATTACTGAAATCCTCTGGCTCTGTGAGATGGACAGGGACTTCCCTCCCCATTGGTGGGTCTTTTTGGCCTTGCACTTTGAATGGTCAGACTTTGTACAGATCCCGGGCCATCAGAGACCTCATGCCTGGTATAAAAATGTGGGTAAGACTGGGCCTTATACACAGAGAGGAATGTCCAGGTTTTTCAGCCTGGCACCTGGGCCTTCTTGGATGGTCTAACCAGCCCCCCACGCCCTGCATGGAAGACATCAGAGGGCTCACCCTCCTCAAACATGCCCGGGCATTTCCTGCTTCTGTGTCTTTACTCTTATTGTCCCCTACCTAGAACATCTGGACCCCCATCTCTGCCTCCTCAGTCAGGTGGCTTTCCCAGGGGATCCCCTTGCCCGAGATAACTGGTACATCTTCTCTGTGACCAAGGCCCAGTGGTCGGGGCAAAGAGAGCTCATTGTGTGCCTGCTCACCCTACCAGATCGGGGGCTAGACCACGGATTTCCTCCTCTCTTACCCCACAAAGCCTGGAAAGGTGGATGCAATGAGGACCCTGTTGAATTCAGGCCATACTTTCTTCCAGAGAAAAAGTGTATCAGGCGGTTAAACTTTCCTGATATAGAAATTTTACCACCTTCTTCAATGACACAACGTTCTGCCCTGTGGTCACACTAAGTGCTTCTCAACACGGAACTCCCCAAGGTTGCCTCCTAACCGTGGAGAACAGAAATCATGATTAAGCAAAGCTTGTTCAACAAAAATTTCTCTTCAGTTCTTGATCTTTTTACCAGGGAGTGAACGAGACCCTAGACTTCGTTGTTCAGCTCGGACGCTGTCCCGAGGGGCCAGTACTGTGCGCCATCTCCGTGGACAGTGGCTGTGCATCCCGTCATGCTCAGAGGCAGCTGCGGGCAGCCTGGGCCTCTCAGGGCCAGTCATCCTGGAACGGCCTTGAAGCGGTGCTGGAGGTCGGGGTCAGCTCTCCGAGCACGTCAGCAGAATCTGGGTAAACTCCTGGGAGCCATGATCTGCTTTTGGTTTTCTGAGTGTGACTAGGCTGGGGTTGTTGATCAGGGTCTGAAGCAGAAGCCACCTGGTCCTGGACCTAGCTGAGGTGCGGGGACCTAGGACAGAATCAGAGCAGGTGGACTCGGGCGAGGGGCAGCTGTCTCTGTCCTTCCCAGAGGCTGTAAGAGAAGCTGCCTGGGAGGCGTGAGGTGTAGGATAAAAGCGGGGGAAGGAGCTGGACAAAGCCTCCTGGGGACACGAGATGAGCTTGTCCCACAGAGCCAGGTGTCGCAGTGTTGGGAGCAGTGATGGACACAGTCAGATCCGTGCTGACAAGACATGACTAGCTGGGGGCTTCCCAGCAGAAGGCAGGGGAGGAAGGAGGGTTGGGAGCAGACAGTGTAGAGCCTGGAGGGGCAGGAGATGCTGCTGAGCTGTGGTACGCACAACCGAGTGCCCTCGTGGAGGGCGTCTGCTGAAGCCTGGGAGATGCATGGGGCCTCAAACATGGAGGGATGGAGGACTCAGCAGAACTCGAGATTGTTTTTAGGAACAAGGGAGGAGCCAGTTAGAAGGACAAGGACACAAGGCCTCGGGGGCCCACAGCTGACTGCGGGCTAACCCTCCTGATCTCCTGAGTAGATTTCCCAGGGCATGGAGAGTAGAGGAAGGAAGGCAGGGAAGAGGGAACCTGGGACAACTCAGGGATCCCAGAAAACCCTTAGGGTACTTGTTTCCTGGTAGCCAAGCACAGGGAAGGTTCGAACAGGAGACTTACCTGCTGACTGATTTAGGTACCCGTGCTTGATGGCCTGCGGTAGCTTCCTCTCCCTGTGGCCTATCATCAGGATGTGACAAAAGCTGACGAGCACGGGGTTGGTGTGATAATGGTCCACAAAGAGCATGCCAACCCATGCACGGAACCCTGAGATCCAGAGGGCAAGTCAGGCCATGTGGCATGTCCCAGGTGGCCTGGCGTGCACCGTTTATGACCTGACTGCAGTCTCGCTTCGTGCCTAAATGGTGCCCGTGTCTGTGCTGAGACTCTAGAGTTAGGTAGAAAGAGCTAGAAGGGTCCTTACAGGTCACATTCTAATCCATCCATTTTATGGAGAACCTGAAGCTCAAAGGAGCTTGGAGCTCCTTTAATGAACGGATGAGTGAATGAATGGACACAGGCCAGATATAGAACAAAAACTATTTTTGCTCCACAGAAGTGGTTTTGACTTTGGAGTATTTCAATTGAACAGACCATTTTCTTATCTAAGTACATTTCCCACTAACACCAGTAATTCTGAGATGTAATAAATCACTCCCTAACCACTTAGAGAGAATTGTGCTACCTCTCAGTGCCTGCCACTATGCGTCAAAGGTCTGCAAACTAAATGGGTACCTAATAGCCTGGATTCCCTTCTGAGCATCGGGCTGAATGATTTTTTCCTATTCAGCTTTACAGCCTCCCTGGGAAGATAAGCTCTAAACAGAAGTGAAGGGTGAACTCTAGGCGTCTGGCCCCCGATTTCCCAGCAGCTTCTACACAGGTGTGAGTCCAGCCCTCCCCTGCTGCGTGGCCCCGGGGACTGGCCACTCACCCATGTCTGCTCCCTCGTAGCCATTCTGCATGATGGTCCTGTCAATGCGGGCAACCAGCCACGTGCCCAGGGTGCAGCTGATGAGCAGCCTGGAGAGGCAGGCGCCCAGGCCCAGCAGCACATTGTAGAAGAACAGGAAGTAGCTGAAGTTGTGGAAGGCTTTCCTGCAAATGGAAGCAGGTGGAGAGGCAGCACCCTCCCGGTATGAGAAGGTAGCCAGGCAGGCGAGCTCAGGGCCCCCCAGACCATTGGTCAAATTCTACATTCCCTGGCTCCAAGCTGTGTGACTTTGTGCTGTAAGTGGGAGCTGACTGTCCCCACCTCACAGTTCTGGTGTGAGGACTGGCCAGATATAGTGTAGAGCAGTGGTTCTCAACCTGTGGATTGCAACCCCTTTGGGGGTCGAACGACCTTTCCACAGGGGTCGCCTAAGACCATGGGAAAACACATATTTCCGATGGTCTTAGGAACCGAGACACCGCTCCTCTGTCCGCCTCCAGGCAGGTCCGCCCACATGCAGATACACCCACAGACAACACGAGGAACTGGATTAAAGGGTCGGCATTAGGAGGGTTGAGAACCGCTGGTGTAGTGGGCTCTGAGCACAGTGCAAGATGGCTGTTGGCAGCGACTGTAAGGTGTGAAGGGATCCTTGGGTTCTGAGGTTTCCTGAACAGTAAGAAATCTCCTGTGGCCACAGCTGGTTCTGTGGTTATAGCAGAGGCTGCCGCCTTCCCACTGTCTGTTGTAACAGTGACCTGCCCCCAGCAGGAACTGTTCCAAGTCCTCCAGATGAAATTGCCCAGATGACCACTTGATCGCATGGTTACCTGCTGCCTAGGGGATGAGACCTAACTTTGCACGTTGAATTTCTGGGCCATCCTTGAAAAGAACCTTCCTGGCACTGGCACTTTGTGCCCCTTCCCTGCCCTCACCACCCAAGGCCACCACATTGGATTCTTACTGTTCTCCTAACACGTCCTGCCCTCTCACGGATTCCAGCCTCCACTGGTGCAGTGGGAGATGCCGGCCGTGCCTCCCTCAGCTCTGTCTGCAGAAAGCCCCCATCCTGCCGACCTCAGTGCACACGCCCCACCCACAGTGGAATTCACCACCCTGCCTCTCCTCCACTGCTCGTGTTTCCCCTGTGCCCTGTCACGCCCTGTCTGGGGTCTGCTGCCCTCCATGTCTGTGTCTGTCGGCCCCAGTGGACCACAAGCTTCTCACAGGCAGGTCCCGTGGGGATATCTCCCTTCCTCAGGGCCCATGTTGCTTCCTCCATCAGTGAATGGCTTTGAATAAGTAAATTAGAAAGGATTACTAGGTGCCCAGCACCATTGCTCTAGTTCATATTTGAACACAGTCATCCTCAAAACACCTCTTTGGGGTATGCACAATTATTTGTAAAATGAGGAAACCGACATTCATAGACACTTAGTAAAGTCATGCAAGGTCACACAGCACATAAGGGCTGGGTCCAAGATTTGGACCCACTCCTCAACCACTGCCCCTCACCCCATAAGTGAGAGTGGTCTGCCCAGGAACCTGCCAATGATGAAGAGAAAGGAATGAGAGACCGCTGAGACCAAAGTCCTACAGTCACCGTTCCCTTCTTTGCCCTCACCTGTTGTTGAGTGCCAAGGGCTTCTGCTGGTCAGCTGGGCCCATCTTTGGTTGGAGGAAGAAGCTAGCGGCAATCCATACCTGCAGGATCATGAGACCCAGGACGATGGATATGGTGAGGCTGAAACACAGGGTGAGACCATCCTGAGGAGGCCTTGTCCACTCTTCTCCAGCCCTTCTCAAATGCCCCGTAATAACGAGGAGTGAGATGCTGGCAGCCCACCAGGCCAACTGTAGCAATGAGCTCTGTGCTTTATGCCTACAGAGCATGCCCACAGCGCAGCTGAGAAAACTGAGGCTCCCAAGGGGGCAGTGACTTTCTCAAAGCCACATGGTCAGGTCTTCCAGCTCGAGACCAGAACTCTAGGATCCAGAGGTGGCAACTGGAATGAGTGGTTGAAGAGCATGGGATTAAAGGAGTGAGGTTTTTAGAAGAAGTTACAAAGGCCATGGAGAGGTGGACAGGGCAGGCTCTGCACCAGACTCACGGGTGTATCGAGGTGAGTATGGAAGCAAGGAGCTCAGTGTGGGGCCTGGGTTGTGGATGACGGGCAACACCAGGCTGTACATGATCGCCATGCCAAATGGGCTCTACACCACATGGACGATGAGGTAGCCTGTGGGCCACGGGAGCAGTGGTCACTCAAGGCCCTGCGTGATCTGTCACACACAGCCTGTCTGCAGCCCTGGAGTAGTGGTTAAAGGAAGCTATGGTTGCAGATTGCCCACTCCCAGTCCTGCCTCTTCCCTGTCCCTAGACAAGTTGTGTCACCTCTCTGTGCCTGTTTCCTCGTCTGAAAAAGAGGGAGCTAATATAAGTCCCAACCTCTTAGGAGCAAAGGCCCGTTGTGAATTCTCAATGTGAGCATTCACTTTTATCTTCCATGTGGGGAAAGTGAGGCCTAGAGAAGCAACTTACCCAAGTCATACAGCCGATCTAAAGCCTGAGTTGATTCCCTCTCCTTCCACTACACTGTCGTGTCTCTCATTTCACTTTCCCAAACTCAATCTTCTCAGCTAGAAAATGGACATATCGGCCAAGGATACAACTGTGAGGGCCCCGCTGAACAATGAGAGTGGAAATATTCTGTAAATTGTGAGGTTCCTACTGTGATGCATTGCTATATTGGCCCGTGTTTGAATGGGAGCTAAGAGCGCAGGTCCAGGGAAGGGTGGGAGCTTAGCAGGAAAGAGGCATCTTGAAGAGCAGCTGCGAGGGCCCAGCAGCTCGCAGGCCTGGGCAATGCCAGGAAGCTCACCGAGCACTTACATCCCGATGCCCAGTCCTTGGAGCACCCCCAGGCTCTGGTTGTGGATGACGGGCAACACCAGACTGTACATGATCGCCATGCCAAATAGGCTCTGCACCACATGGATGATGAGGTAGCCTGTGGGCCAAGGAAGCCAGTGGTCACTCAAGGCCCTGTGTGATTTGTCGCACCCAGCCTGTCTGCAGCCCTGATCTATCCTGCTCCCACCAAAGGTCCTGGCACTTTTGTGTGTGCTGTTTCTTCTGCCTGGCAGGCCCTCCCTTCTCTTCCTGTCGACCTCCGACTCACCCAGCCAGGTGTGGTTCAAATGTCAACTCCACTAGGCATTCAAACCCTGCCCTGGGTGTGGACAGTCACTTCCTCCTCTGGGTCACCACTGCCCTCGGCATATGCACCTTGTGGGTGCAGGACAGGTGGTGATGATGGTCTACAGGACTATGTGATTCCCTCTCCTTCCTGAAGGTCCCTCAAAGGCAGGAACTAGGGTTGCTTCTGCCTCGCCTCTCTCCTCCCTACCCACACCAGGACTCTGCAGGGCCCGGGTCACATGATGGCACTTACCCCACAAAATGTAGGCTATTTGCCAGCCAGAGTACCTCGCAATGGCCACCTGAGATTTAAAAATAAAAAGGGTCCCAGAGGGGAGAAAACCCTGATCACCTCTGACACACGTGCCTGGCATCCCTGTTCTTATCAAAGATTCACCCACCAACCCAGCAAGGCAAGTGACTGTCCTCATTTTACAGCAGAGGAAACCTGCCGAGGACCACATGAGGACAGTGAGTGTCCTGTCACCCAGCAGCTCAGCGTCCAAGAACCGAGGACCCTGGACCGCCAGCCGGGGCTCCTCCCCACCACGCTGCCCGTCTGAGGTGCCGGGGAGCAGGTTCTGGTCAATCGCTTAGTCTCAGAGCAGACAGGTCCCCGTAGACTTACCACACTCCCTGACGAGGAAGGGTTCTGGAACTTCAGAGGGAGGAAGTGTCTATTTCCTGCCCACAACCTCTTGATGTGCTTTCTAGAGAGAAGGTGGGAAAGGAGTAATGTTCACAACCACCGCTCCTCGTGCACTGAGAGCCTAGTAGGTATGAACAGAAAGGGAGGGGGAGGGCGGGCCGCTTAGCCCCTGCTGTCGACCAGAGCTCACGGGATGGTTCTGATTAATCTTAACACTCTTGAATTTAATATATTTTGTAAAAATAATATCTAGTTATCTAGTCTTAATGATGACTAAATGTGATATTTGAGACTGCATTTTTCGTTTTCTTCATTTTTCTGTTTTATATTTTTCCTACAGTGACTATAAATTATCTCCCACCTTATGACAACATAAAGGGAAATGAAAAAAGGGACCATGACCCCTCACAACCCCAGCACCCTAAGAAATCACTGCGTGCTTTTCCCACGTGCTAGTCTTGGCCCAGACCTTTGCGTAAAGATGAGGTTGGCTTAGTCAAGCTCAAGGTCCGAATTCACATCTGGGCCCTGCTTTTTCTTAACATTCTATCTCCAGCATTTCCCAGGTTGTTGTGTAATTTCATGACCAATAAATGGGGAAGACTTGGTATGAAGTAAAGAGTATAAACATCTCATTAATAGTTTGTATATTTATGACATGTGGAAGTGATGGTATTTGGGTTATGTTAGGGTAAATATATCATTAAATTATTTTCACCTCCCTTTTTACTTTTTCAATAGTGTCTACTAGAAAATTAAAAATTGCATCTGTGGCCCTGGCCCATTTGGCTCAGTGGTTCAAGCATCAGCCCACGGACCAAAGGGTTGCAAGTTCAATCCACAGCCCCAGTTGGAGTCAGGTGGGAGGCAACCAATCAATATGTTTCTCTCATATAGATCTCTCTCTCTCTCTCTCTCTCTCTCGCTCTCGCTCTCGCTCTCTCTCTTTCTCCCTTCCTTCCTCCTACTGTCTCTAAAAATCAATGAAAAAATATCCTCAGGTGAGAATTAACAACAACAAAAAAATTATACCTGTGGCTTCTGCTGTGTTTTTTGGCGGCACTGGAGCACAGTGTCACCCAGGAACACACACACACACACACACACACACACACAGATGTGTTAGCACAGAGCATCTCTGGAAGGAGGCTCAGAAAATGAATTAACAATGCTTAGCTCAGGGCAACAGACTGAGGTCTGAATGGAAGACTTACTTTACACTAAATGTTTTTTGTAACATTTTTTGTTTTAAATAGTGTGTATGTAAGTTGGAATAATTCTGAGAAAAATACACACACTAACACGGTACGCGTGCTTCCCAGGTTGAAGGTGCTTTCTCACCCACTATTTCCTCTGCCCCGTCGCTCGTGGTGACAGGTATGGGAGGGAGGAGCCCGCCTGGGCAGGAATGAGGCCTCCCCAGTACAGGTGACTTCTCTTCCCTGTGCTCTCGGTTGCCCTTTGCCCATGTCCATGCAGCCTGCTCTGCACAGTGGTTGTCCCTGGTTGTGGCCAAATGCTCCAGTGAAAGTTTTCCAGGCACATAAAGACTAATCAAGAAAGGAACAGATATCTCCCTTCATCAGACCGGGCAGGATACAACATCGGTGTCCAGTCCACCCACCGGGTCCAGGGAGAAAAGGTGAAGAGAGGGAGCAAGGCAGGGTGGAGGTAAAGAACTGGGGGCCTCTTCGTGCCAGGAGAGTTTTTCTCTTGGATGCCACTGGCAAGAGACCCACCCTGCGGGCAGCCAGATGGTAAGGATGCAAAGGCAGGATGTTTGGGGCCTGGTGGAGGATTGGCCCTAAGCTTCTGGGGATCAGTGAGGATGAGTTAGAGACTGAGACAGAAAGGAGACAGAGAGAGGCAGAGACAAGCAGAGAGCCTGAGAGAGATGGGAGCTGTAGACACCTAAAATCCAACAGCCATCTGCAAGCAAAAGCAAACGCTTGCTAGGTGCTGCAGACCATCCCCTCCTGCCACACTGACTGCTGTTCTTGAGATTGAGGCCCCTGGTCCCCTTGACCCAATACCCTCTGATGTCCCCTTGATCCACACTCATCTTCTGATAGCCCAGTGTGATGAGTCCTGGAGAGCGGGGCAGGTCTGACACCCAGGGGAGATGCTACAGTGTATAGGAAATGTCAAGGTCTGGGGTCAGAAGACATGATCAGCTGTTAATTGTTTGGGTAAACTATTTTGTTGAGTCTCAGCTTTCTCAGCTACAAACATGGAGATGAAAGTACCCCTCAGGGTCATGGTGCAAACTGAAAGATTGTAGCACAATCTAGATTATAGTAGAAGCTCAAGTCAACAGTTCTTATTTGTTTGTTTACTAACCATAGATGTGACTGTCCCTGGACCTTGCGTACACTCCTGCTTCCACTCTGGGCACTGTTTGGGAATTCCTAGAAAATTGTGTCACATGCTTTCCTGGCTGAAGACACACCAGTGACTCCCTGAGCCCTCTTACCTGTAACAAGCCAACACGTGGAATAGATAACTCACACACGTGAGGGAGGCAGGCAAGATGGTAGCCACCCAGACTCCTGAAACAGAAAGGGTGACAGGAGAGACCTCTGAAGATGAACCCGGAACAGTATTTTCAAAATGCAGAAACTCACATCAGAAAGGTAAGGGCAAAATATACTATATTGCTTTAACACATTTCTTGTGTAAATACACTTTTGTTCATATATTTGTTTCATTTTTAGCCACACACAACCTTGAAATACTTTATTTCCTGCATAATTCTCTCCTTTGGTATTAATATTTTTTTTTTGCTTTCAAATATGTTTTTATTGATTTTCTTTTTTTAGAAAGTGAGGAAGTGAGAGAGAGAGAGAAACCTAGATGTGAGAGAAAAACATCTATCGGCTGCCTCCTGCACGCCCCCTACTGGGGATCAAGCCTGAAACCCAGGCATGTGCCCTGACCAGGAATCGAACCAGGACCTCTCAGTCCATGGGACAACGCTCAGTCTACCGAACCACACCAACCGGGTGGTATTAATATTTTCAATCCCGTAAATAATGTGAAGACAAAATTATGGTGTATATACATTGTAGGTAGCTTCCATCCTTGTAAAACTCCGCTGAACTTCTAATGGCCACTTTTGGAGGGTGGTGACCACCTCCAGTTAAACAGCAACCATTTGGAAGGATGATTTTACCTTTGGAGACATTTATCAGCTCTTTCACCCGCAGGATGACTGGGGTCAGGGGCCCGGTCTTGTTCACGGAGGCAATGTAGCTCTCCAACTCGCCTTTGAACACATCCAGCTCTTCTCTCACATACATGAACACGCAGAACTCAATGTCAATGAACTGGGGATACAGAGCAAACATTACAAGGTCTCACCGGATTCCAGCTTTTGCCCAGGATGTGAATAACATATGGGTCTCTCTTTGGTTTTGAGGTAAAAACTCTCTGAAGTTCAACACTCATCTGAAATAGACTCTAGATGCTGGCTATACTGAGATGAATAGGATTGTGGCTTTTTTTTTGTAGATGGGAGACACCCCAAACTCTGGTCTTCACCCTCATCACGGAATACAAGATGAGGTCCCACAAGGGCTCAAGGAATTCTTCAAACATTAAATTAGAGTGAGATGAATGCCTAATGTTGAATAAGAGGTGACCTTGGGGATAATTCCAGTTGTATCTCTCACTGCTCCCCTTCTTGCATCTTAAGTGATAACTAAAGTGAAGAAGGTACTGTTTCCTGTACATATTATGCTTGCTCATCTGTATCATCCTGTCATCATGCCATCATGCCCCACCATCATGCCCCTACCATCATGCCATCATGCCCCCATCATCATGCCATCATGCCCCATCATCATACCATCATGCCCCCATCATCATGCTACCGTGATCCCCAGCATCATGCTATTACTTCTAGAGTTCTTGCTGCCATTTTACTTCACCAACTGAATCTTGTTTATCTCTGAATGTGGAGCGCAAATGCTATCATCTTCAGGCAGCTTCTGAATCTAGAATAATTCATTAAACTTCCAGAGCACGTCCACTTTTCTTTTTCTCACTTTAGATGGCAAGTACTTCATACCATATCTTATTTCCTTCTCTTAAACCATGGGCTTCTCCCAGGCCAAGACTCTGCTAAATCAGCTGTCTGCTCTTCTAGGTCCTAGCAAAGGGCTTTGCATACAGTAGATAACCAATAAAGACTTAAGAAACACAATAACTCCAAGTGAGTTATTCACTGTCGCAGAGAACTCTAGTTGTCCATTGAAATCTATTCTCCTCTTCTTTGGGCAGAAAGCTGGACTACATTTCCCAGATTCCCTTGAGTTAGATGTGGCCACATGACAATGTTCTTGCCAATGGAAAAGGAGTGTGTTCCTTCCACAAGGGCCTTTGCAAATCTCCCACGTGCATTTCTCCATGCGCTTTCCCCTTCTACTGACTGGATGTAGATGGTGAGGTTCTTGGGGATGATGAGGCACAGGATAGAAGGATCTGGGTTACAGTATAACACACAGAGGACTGCTGCCTCCCAAACCTGAACACCCACCCACTCAACATTGTTACATGGGTAAAATTAGATATAGTGTGAAGTCACTAAAATGTAGAGGTTTATGTGGTACTTCAGCATAACCTAACTAATACAGTCACTGAAAATGTAACCATAGGATATGTATACAGGTATCATTTAAAATGAGCAGAAGACAATTTGGCCTTGCCATTTTTAACCCTGCTTTTGACCCAGACAATTTACCTTGGATAACTTTGACCACATGAAATGTTTTTATTCTGTACTTAATAAAAAATAAAAAAAATTGAATATTGAAGTCTAGATTATGACATTTAAAATGTTTTTTTTGAGAAAGCAAACTTAAATAAGAGCAAAATGAAACAAGACATTTTAATTTTTGACTCTTTTTAAATATAGTACAGCAAGTCTATCCACTTTTATTTTTGATTCACTGAAATTATTTGTCAAGATCAATTATTTTATATTTAAATAGCATGATTTTTATTTGGCTAAGGACTGAACATAGCCATTTTCCTTAGCTCTGCTGAAATAAACGTTTCCTAGAACTCACCAGTGAACCCATCTGGGCCTGGTGCTTTCTGTTTTAAAGATCATTACTCATTGATTCAACCTCTTTAATAGCTTTAAGCCTATTCAGATTGTCTACTTCTTCTTGTGTGAGTTGTGGCAGATTCTATCTATCAAGGAATTAGTCAGTTTCACCTAGGTTATCAGATTTGGGTGCACAGAGTCGTTCATACTATTCCTTTATTATTCCTTTAATGCTCATGGAGCCTGACCAGTGTGGTTCAGTGATTGAGCATCGACCCATGACCCAAGAAGTTGCCAGTTTGATTCCTGGTCAGGGCACATGCTCAGGTTGTGGGCCTAGTCCCCAGTGAGGGGCATGCAGGAGGCGGCCAATTGTTGTTCTCTCTCATTGATGTTTCTATCTCTTTCTCCCTCTCCCCTTCTCTCTCTCTTAAATAAATAAAAAGATTTTTTTTCAAAATTCTCATGGAATATGTAATGATGTTCCCTCTTTCATTTCTGACATGAGTCATTTGTGTCCTCCCTTCTTTTTTCTTAGTTTGGCTAGAGGTTTATTGATTTTATTGTTTCAAAGATCCAGCTTTCGGTTTCACTGATCTTCTTTATTAATTTCCTGTTTTCAACTTCACACGTTTCTGCTCTAATTTTTATTATATCTACCCCCCTGCTTACTTTGTATTAATTTGCTCCTCTTTCTTAGTTTCCTAAGGTAGGAGATTAGAGATTGATGTAAATCTTTCTTCATTTCTAATATATTCATTTGATGCTATAAATTTCCCTTTAAGCACTGCTTTTGCTGCCTCCCACAAATTTTGATAAGTGTGTTTTCGTTTTCACTTAGTTCATTCCATTTTTATTTAGTTTAATTTTAATTTCCCTTGAGATTTTTTCTTGGACCCACAGTCACTCAGAAGTATGTTGCTTAATTTCCACTGTTTTGGGATTTTCCAGTTCTCTTTCACTTATTTCTAGTCTAATTTCATGATAGTCTGAAAGCAGACATTGTGTAATTTAAGACTATTCTTTTAAATTTGTTAAGGTATGTTTTATGGTCCAGAATTTGGTCTAACTTGTTGAATTTTCCATGTTGTCTTCAGAAAAATGTGTATTCCACTGTTGTTAAGTATTCAACGAATGTTCAAAATTCCAATTGACTGATGTCGATCACAGTTCAGATTTTCCTATCTCAGCACTAATTCTGGGGTTTCTGCTTCATTCCATTGTGATTCTCTATATCCACCTGTCTCTCTCTTCAATTTAGGGGCAATGATTTGCCCCATAACCTCACTTCTCTTATGAATCTAAAATGAGTTTTTTATTTTTTTTCAGTTTGTTTAGATTTTCATTTGTTGTTAGAATGGAATGGCATTTTGCAAGCTCTTTACATGTGGAATTGGCAACCAGAAGTCTCCATAAATAATTTTATAGTATTAGTAATATTCACCATTTAGGTAAAAGTGTCCTTGAAGTCAAAATTGTTAGGTCAAAGAATTGTACTTCTTTGACTTACAAACATTAAATTTTGAGCCAGTTTTTCAAGAACAACCCCTATCCTAGCCCCGCCCTATTTTTAAACAGAAAAAGATTCGCCCAGATCTACTTACAAGGTACAGGCAGATGAAAGCCAATGTAGTGGTTCCGATCATTCTGCTTGGGAACTGAAAGCAAGGGTCCCACTCGTATATCCTGGTTTGGAACCAAGACTTTTTTTTCTCTCTGTTAATTAGTAAACACCAAGAAAAGACAGGTTGTGATTGGTAAACAAATGCCTGATTCTTCTGAAAATAACCTCATTGCCTCCTCTTCATCTTAGATTTTAGTGAAGAAAAAGAACACTGATAGATTATACAGTTTTCATTATCTCCTTATTCTTAAGAACAGATACTCAGTTTTGTTTAGTGCTGCAATTCACTAAACTGAAAGGCTAGTTTCTGACCTCTCTTATAATTAAGAGTGTCCAAACATAAGTTCAGGGTGCCCTGGCCAGTTTGGTTCAGTGGTTAGAGCATTGGCCCACGGACCAGAGAGTCCCGGGTTTGGTTCCCACTAAGGGCATGTACCTCGGTTGCAGTTTGTCCCCAGCCTTGGTTGGGGTCGTGTGGGTGGCGACCAGTCGATGTGTCTCTCTCACCTCGATGTTTCCCTCTCCCCTCCCCCCTGCTCTGTCTGAAGATAAATGCAAAAATGTCCTCAGGTGAGGATAAAAATAAAATAAAAAAGTAATCACTTTACTCCAACCTCCACCCCTAACCACAGTAACTAGTTCTGGAATGGTATTTGGTCCAACTTGATCTAATGAAACACATTCATGGGACTCTGGTTTGAATTACTAGATAGATAAAAAAGTAAGTACAGGGCAATTAGATGTGACCAGAGGGGTGGTGTGGACTTTGGGGAAAGTGCTTAGATAGAATCAACACAGCTGGAAGGAACCCACTGCCCTTCCTTCTTCTCTCCTGCCTGCCCTCTGAAATGCTGACATATTGGCTGATCCACACCGGAGCCCCGGAATCCACCTTGGACCACGGACAGCCTTCATGATGGAAACCACTAAAATACTGAACACAGATGATTGGTCAGCTGCCACAGTGAGCAGTCCGGGGTCAGTATGGACTGCAGTCTCCAGAATTCTTTTACATGAGAAATAAATCTCTCTCATTTGTACCATTATTCTTTTGTGTTGTTTGCTACGTGTAGCCAAGTGTAGCTCTAACACAAGTACCAACTTTGCCACTGTGTGACCTTGAATTAGACATGTCCCTTCTCTGGGCATATTCTCGTGTACACAGTGGCAGAGACAGGGGTAGGGTGACCACTATGATCACTGAAGATCATGTGCTTTTTCCTGGCAAGAGCTACGTCCTCTTTTATTGGTGATAGCATATGAGTTTTCCTCTGAGAATCTCCTTCTAGCCAGCAGGTGCAGCTGAACCACTTCCTGGTTCCACCGGTCTTAGCAATCACTTTACTCCAACCTCCACCCCTAGCCACAGTAACTAGTTCTGGAATGGTATTTGGTCCAACTTGATCTAATGAAACACATTCATGGGACTCTGGTTTGAATTACTAGATAGGAAAGTTTCTCTTTCCTGTGAGCTCAAACAGGGAGGATATAAGCTTAGAGATTCTTGGGTCTACCATGGGGAGGAAGCCCATCTAACCAGAAGGCTAACCCAAATAAAAGCAGAGCTAAGAGGGGAGGAGGGAAAGAGACCTAGTTCTGATGACAGCAATAAAGCCCCTGGATCCACCTAGGTTTGAAAATGACGACCACTAGACTTTTAAATTATGTAAGGCCATAAATTTCCCATTCCTCATCAATCCAGTTTGAGTTGAATTTCTGGAGAGTCCTTCCAGTTATCTTAGGGTCTCATTCCATCGGGGCTCATCAGTGTCGGTGCAGACACCAGTGGAGACTGCATCAAACTGCGGCTTACTGCAGCGGGGGCTTCCTCAGGAGCTGTTTGACATGCTCTGCCTGGTGCACTTCCAGGAAAGGCTTTTCTTCCTGTGAGAAGGGAGAGAGTATGCTTTGGCTCACACAGTCCCGTGAGGGTTTTGGTCTCTGATGGGTTATTACCACAGAGGGCAGGGATTTGAGTAAAACTGGCTCTTTTGGATTCAGCCACTACCAGACACCTGCCATTTAATGAAGAGAAGAGCAGGGTCCAGGGTCCTGTCTACCAAACACTTGCTTTCATGAAACGCCACAGGTCTGGCCTCCCTGACTTTTACTTACTGATTGCACCAGCCATTGTTCTGTGAAATCTTTTTTCTATTTGAGATTTGGTGATGTCCCACCATAGTTCAAAACATGGCTTCGGAAATGAAGCACCCCAAATCCCAGTGTTTTTACTTCTTATGAATAGGAGGAGCTCCTTTTGTTTACTTCTTATTTTGCTGTATTAAAAAAAAAAAAACTTTGATAGTATGCTTTAAACTATTTTCTGCAAGTGCAGTGAGCTTCCTACAGTCATCTACTCGGCTACACACACTGAATATGTACATTTTACATGCTATGAGGTGGATCCTATATACTGCAGATGTTAGGTAGAGTACAAAAGATCTGCTTAGAATCCTGACTGGCGAGTGATGTCAACAAGGCCACGCTGATACACCAATTTTGACAAATACCCACAGATGAGACTAACTTTGTGGGAGCCCAAGAGTGTACCTGGGAGGTTCCAGAACCCCAGTCAAGCAAAAACTCTGAGAATAGATGCATTGAAGAGGATAAGAAGAACAATTTCACTTTATAATGACACCCATCCTCCAAAGTGGAACAGCTCAGTGCATGGAGACCCCCTTGGCCTGCAAAGTCTCCCATGAGGGACAGTGAGGGTAAAGGTGTACAGTTTTTCTATGCAAGTAAATTGTTATCAACTTAAAATAGACTGTTATAACAATAAGATGTTTTATGTAAGCCTCATAGTAATCACAAAGAAAAAATGTTTTATACAAACAAAAAGATAAAGAAAAAGGAATCAAAGCATACCATTGCAAAAATACATCACATCACAAAGAAAGCAAGAAAGGAAGAATTACAAAACAGTCAGAAAATGAACAAAAAGGCAATTTTAAGTCCTTACATATCCATTTCTTTAAATGTAAATGGATTAAATTCTCCAATCAAAAGACATAGAGTTGCTGAATGGATTTTAAAACACTCATACAAGTAAGGCTACCTATAGAGTAGTCTTTAGTTTTATGGATACACATGGGCTGAGAGTAAAGGGATTTGGAAAATATATTCCATACAAATGGTAACCAAAATATAGCAGGGGTGGCTCATATTTATATGAGATGAAATGGACTTTAAGTCAAAAACTGTCATGAGACAGAAAGAAAAAAATCATTATGTAATGATAAAGGGGTCTATTCCTTAAGAGACTATAACAATTGTAAATATATATGCACCCAACATCAGACCACCTAAATATATAAAGTAATTATTAACAAAACTGAAGGGATAAATATACAGCAACACAATAATAGTAGGGAACTACAACACCACACTTTACAATACTATAAATCAAATAGACCAAATAAACATATACAGAATATTCCATCCAACAGCAGCAGAATATATATTCTTCTTAAGAGTACAGGGATCATTCTCTGGGAGAGATCACAAAACAAGTCTTAAATTTAAGTACCAAGTATCTTTTCTGACCACAATGGCATAAAGCTAGATACCAATAACAGGAAGAAAACTGGAAAACTCACAAATATGTGGAAGTTAATACACTTCTGAACAACCAATGCATCAAAGAAAAAAATCAAAAGGGAAATAAAATATATCTTAAAACAAATGAAAATGGAAATACAACAGACCAAAATATGGAATGCAGCAAAAGCAGTTCTGAGAAATTTATAGCAGTAAATGTCTAAATTAACAAAAAAGAAAGCTCTCGAATAAGCAACCTAAATTTATACCTCAAGGAATGAGACAAAGAACAATGGTTAAGAAAGTCAACAACCAAACTGTCTGGGTTCCTGTTCTGGCTCTGTTGCAGGTTAGGGACGTGACCTTGGGCAATACAACTCACCTCTCTGGGTCCAAGTCACCTACTACAGAATGGGAGGAGTGATAATAGTATCTACTACACGAACTGTTGTGAGGACCAACCCTGTCAGGACACGTACAGTGCTTACACTCAGTACTCACCATCTGGAGCTCCCAGCCCAGGTGCACCCTCAGAGACTTGACAAACATGTGTAGGAATCGGCCCAGCAGGAAGGACAGGCACAGCAGTGAGGGCCAGTAGAACATGACGGTCTCGTATCTCCCCAAAAACTGAAACAGAAGCAGACCACTGGATCTAGATGGGTCAGGGCCAGGAGCTGTGGATGGGAAACTGCCTGCCCCAGGTGCTCCCACCAAGGCCCACTCTCTCAGAGCTTGGACCCCTGCTTCCCCACCCCCATATCTTTGGAGTAAGCAGTGGATTTGGAGTCCAGCAATCTTGGATGTGAGTTCAGGACCCCATTTTATTTTATACAATTGGTTTTCATGGCTTTTTTCTGATTAGGTATTAAATGCTTCTTTCGGAAAACACACAAGAGAAAGGGATAGGAGAGAGGAGGGAGGGAGAGACATCTTGCTCCTTTTTCTGGGGCGTAGGGCTAAACAAATGAACCCGTTTGTATCAGTTCTGAGAAGAACAATGCGTGGAAAAGCTGGAAGGAGTTCATCTAGTCCAAGTCTCCCACCAACACAGAAACTAGAGCCACATGAAGGAGTGGAAAGAAATGAGCTCTGGAATCAGCCAGAACCTGCAACTTCTTAAGAGTTACTTACATCCTTGGGCCTCAATTTCCATACCTATAAAAAAGGTTTGCCAAGAGCTTCCCCACCTTGAGGGGCTGCTGTGAGCATTCACCTAGAGAACATCTGTCTGTGATTAGCACCTTGGTGAACATAAGATACTATACAATGGAAGAAGCATCATGAACAGCTCCAACTCCCTTTTGTACCCAGGAGGAAGCTGAGACCCACAGAGTGGCATAGGCCTGTCCAAGGCCACACAGCGAGTTGGCCACGGTGAAAGGAATGAATACCCTAAACATAGCTCAGTGGGGACTCACCGGCCCATGGGGACACTGTGTGATGTGAAGAATGGTGACGGCAAACCTGCAGGAGAGAAGCAGGGCTTGGGGTACTCCCAGCACAGCCCCTATGACAAGAGCCAGGATCCCACCAGCCTGGAGTTGCCTCCTTGAGAGGCTGGTTCCCAGGCCTCCATGTATACCCCACCCAGATCAGGCGCCCCGCTTGCGCCTAAGTGCCTGCAACAAAATTATTTTAATGTCCTCAATTCAGACACAATCTCAGAATCCATAGAGGCAAAGCAGGAAGACCCTGAGTGATCTCATCCTCCCCCCCTCGTCACTCAGGTGGGGAGGCTGATGCCCAGAGATCGGAAGAGATTTGTCCAGAGTCACACCAGAGCCAGGACCAAGACCCAGATCTCCTGACTCGGGGCTGAGGCTCTGTCTGCCTGGACATGGCCTTGTCTGGTACCCCCATCCGGGGAATAAGCCTCAAGGCTTTCCCCCTGCTGAACACACATTCCTGGTCATGTTCAGGCTCGGGTCATACTTCCATGGTGTCCAAGTGGCTGCGTGATTCCTGCCACCCAGCCCTCTCCTGGTCAGAAAGTCTGTCAGAGGCTAGGACATTACTCCACATCTAACACGAATACCCTCTCTATTAACTTTTTCAAACCAAGCCACTTACACACTTGGGAATTGCAGCCACTGGTGTGCTAGGTACGTGTCAGCCCCTGCATGGCTCACACACTGGGCCTGGAACCCCTTCCCAGACAATGCTGGGGGGAAGCAGGCCCCATAAAAGAGATGTGGGCAAGGATATGAACCTATCAGACTAGAGAGTGGACCTGTCCATGGGATTATCCAGGCAGCAAGAATTCCCGGGGCCAGGCCCATGCTGGTCTGTGCTGAGGGCACAGTGCTCAGCAAAACGCCCAGAGGCTGACAGTCACAAAGGATGAGCACCCATCTATCACTGGGCCAGGTGGGGGGAGATAACCCTCACGGGGAGAGCAACATATAGACAAAGCGGCCAGAACACGTGATCACGAGGGTTTGTCTTGTTTTCCAGTCTGTTCTCTGGCTCGTGTGGGGATAGCACACTTGCTGAATGAATAGGAGGAAGGATGAAGGAAGGCAGGAGTTCTGTATGAATTGTGCATGTGCCAGAGACTAGTCTGAAGGCGGGGAGAGGCAGGAGAGAGACGGAGACACATGCACTTCCTCCTGGCTCCAGGGAAGCCACACAGCGCTGGGAAGCAGCATCCACACGGGACTCAGGCTGTCAGCGGTGGGACCCCTGGCAGTTTACAGAAATGAATTTTTGTACATCTCTGACTACTGGGACTATTCAAAACATGAATGGCCTCTTGTGCAGCAGACAGAATGCTGGCCTGACCTTCTGAAGCCTCAAGTGCTGTCCCAAAGAGGGGCCACAGCGGGACCATGGACCAGTCATTCCGCGTGCCCTGGGCCTAAGTTCTGAGCGAAGGTGCCCTCCCAGGAGGGCTCTCAGGTCACCTCCAGCCCTTTGTCCAAAGTTCAGCAATGGCGAAAGGAATTGTGGGAGGGCAGGCGGGCAGGTGGGCAGGCGGGCAGGCAGAGTCTGTCTTACCAGATCAGAGAGTAGCTGAAGCCCAGGATGGAGCTGATGAGCTGGAACTCCGATGAGAGGCAGGCAAAGAAGGGGAAGTGAGACAGGCCGACTTCAATGCCTCCAACCAGAAGCACAAAGGCTGGGAGAGACAGGGTCAGAGATGCTGTGAGTGCCTTGTCTCATGGGCTCGGGGGAGCCCAGGGACGCCCTGGGGCTTTGTGCTGGCTGGCAGTCATGGACCTCAGGACTCAAGCCCCAGCTTAGCACAAGGAGGAATGCAGGAATGTCTTTCATTCATTCATGCAACAGACCCTTCCTGGTACCCCTTCCATGCCAGGCACTGGGTTAACTATTGAAATGAAGAAGACTTGCTCCCTACCCTTCAGTAGCTCCCAATATAATGGGTGGAAACAGACCACATAAATGAACAAACAAGAATCACTGAGAGAAATCTGGTTGAAAGTTGTCATACTAGGGATGGTGAATCTGTAGATTAAAGTTGCTACTTCAGGGAGAGCGTGAGGCACGGAGAATGAAGAGGCCCCGGACCAATGGCCAAAGAAGACCTGCTTTTTGAGGAAGTGTCTGAGAGACTGTTGATATCGGGAAGGCAGCCATGGCTATGACTCAGGAGAGATTGTTAAGGGCGGTTGGGTGGTGGTGAACCTTCTGAGCCTTTGTTCAACTGAGCCTAAAGAACCTCTGACTCTAAGTGGGAGGAAGCCCCCCGAGACAAGCTTTGGGACTCTGTGGGCTAGGCACTGATGTTTGAAGAACACCGAGTTCACAAGGCTTACCCCTCAACCCAGGGAACCCCTGCAGGGCTGTCTCTGACAGCAAGCATTTCCATGGTTAAATTCCTAGCAGCTATGAGGCAGCCCCGGTACCTTGGGCCCACTGCGGGACCTGCAGGGGCTGGTAGCCTTCTGAGAACAAGAACATGACCTTATTGGCTGTGGCCCCGAAGGCGATTCCATAGGACCATCGGTTACTAAAAGTGCCCAGGAAGTCCAGAGGTCTGTGAACGAGAGAAACACTTCATGAGGCCAGAAGGTGGCTCTGAGACATCCCACGTGTCATCTCCAAAGTACCAATCCCACCCTGAGGATGAATTGCTGGGGCGTGAACTGTTCATTTCAACTGACATCTTCCTAGGCCTCTGTGCCGATCCCGGGGCTAGGCATGGGTTCAGGGTACGGAAGTAAGAAAGACAAAATGCTTTCCCTTGAGGTGCTCCGAGTCTAGGAGGACATAAGCAAGGACACCAGTAGCCATGAAAACAAGCAAAATGGATGAGTTTAATCCGTGAGAGACACAGGTAGCGTGACTTCAGAGACCTGAACAAGGAGTACGTCCCAGACAGGCGTGGGAGAGCCTGCCCTGTACGAAGCCAAGGTCTATGAAAGTTCTTCTTTCCAATATCCCTGGGAAGCCCTGGGGATCACTGGCTGTGCTGGTTCCACGTGGTCACACCTTCCTGGCCACAGCTGATTGGACTATGGGTGACCTCCTGATTTTAGATGGGCCAAGAAGATGTCTGGTTTTATAGTTCAGATTTGTGGCCCTGAGGACATGAGCCAATGAGCTGTTAATATTCTGTTCTAGACAGTCATGCCGAGGTGGGATGAGAATCATGCTACAGGCAAGCTGAGGTTTTAGGGAAGCAGACAAACTGCCAGGTGGCAGAGAGGAAAATGGTAAAACCGTGCTGAGGGCGCCCCAGTGACACAAAGAGGCAGAGACAGAAGAAGTCTCCCAGAGATGCCATCTCGAGTTCCAGTCCCCAGGAGTCCCGCCTCTCAGTTCCTGTGGGATCTCTGTAACTGTATAAAAAATCCTCCTTTCCTTTGATGTAAATAAGCTTTCCTGGCTACCTATTTCCTCTGCTCAGTTGAGATCTGTCTACGTCAGAACAAGCGAGTGCATCTGGAAACAAGGGGAAAGGCTTTCCCAGCAGGGGCCGTTTGAAGCAGGCCTCAGTGACAGCTCAGGCTGGGGTTAGGAGCAACCTCACCTTCCTGAGCCATCTGCCTCTCTCCCGTCACCCTCAAGGATCAGCTCAAGGAGCACCTCTTCTTCAAAGCTCCCTGACCACCTACTCCCAGCCAGGCACCCCTAGCTGCTGCCTCGTCAGCATCCCCTCGGTACGAAGCTCATGTCCGTGTTTCCCGTAACCCCTTATGTTATCACTCGCTCTGTAAACCATAAACTCCTCTGGGGTGCGGACCTAGCACAGGACCTTGAAAAGAGTAGGTGCTCCCTACACGTTCATGGACACCCACTTTGCTCAACTGAGTTGGAGTCTGACGCTCACCTGTAGTCTTAGGTGCTCAGTAAGACTGTCTCCCTGTCTTTAAAGCAGAGATGGACCCCCCTGCGAGGCGGTATCCCAGTGACATCTGGACAGCACGTGAAGAGCTGCTTTATGAACTGGAGTGCCACACACCTGCGAGGGCTGGTCAATGAGTGAAGACAGGGAGCCCAAACTACGCGGGAAATCAGAGATTTTGATGGGAAAGTGGCCGTGGAGTAAGTAAACTGTACCACGATCGATTTCATTCAAAGCTGTTCAACACAGTCCATACAGAGCTCCTACTTCTTAAAAGAGTCCTGCACCAGGCCCTGCCTGCCGAATGTTCGGGGCAGTCTGAAGAGCATCTTTACCCACCAGCCTCAGTCTTCCTCTGTGCCCCAACCCATGTGGCTCAGACCTGGCACCCTGGGATGAGCTGACTCCTCCCGCAGGTGTGTCCAGAACGAGTCTGCCACCCTGTGCTGGCACCCAGGGCCCTTGGACACTGGGCTGGGTTTCTCTCACCCTGAAGCCCAGGACACCTGTAGCCTCCATCCTGACATCTTGGCCTCCTCTCCCTTCTCCAGAGGCCGAAGCTGAGGTCTCAGCATATCCACGTGCTTGAGCCTGCTTAGGTTATGACACTGGGGCAATCAGAGCAGATATCACCCAGACCGGGGTTAAATCTCTTGTCGCTCATTAGCTGTGTGGCCTTGGGGAAGTCATGTAACCTCTCTGAGCCTGTTTGCTCATCCACCACCTGAGGATGACAACTTTTACCATGACAGGCTGGCAAGAGGGCTCATCGAAGTAATGTAAGCAAAGCAAACAGTTCTGTACCTGGGTCATATTCAGTGTGTGATAAATAGTAACTGCTTTATTATAATTATTAGAAAGATTAGTACATGTTAATGATAATGATGAAATGAATGAACAATTGGATCTTAAGGGAAAATGTGGCGATGGGTGCAGAGACTCCGAATGGCAGAGCTAGAAAGGCCCTGGAAGCTCCCTGGTCCAGTGGGCTCTCCTGGTGGAAGACACATGGTGTCATCGCAAGAGGGCTCGCTGCCATCAGGGTCGGGGAACTCTCCCCCTCTGCTTCCTGATGTAGAAATAGTCTTGACTGTAGGAAGGCCTTTGCCACAGTGATCCGAGCCTCCTTGAGATGTTTTAAGCACATCCGGGCAGCCTTGGGTGCCGAGGGTGCAATGGCTTGGAAGCCAATTCTGAACTCTCAAAGCGTGGTTTGGGTCGGGGCAGGGAGGGGCAGCGGGGGGTGGGGGAGGTCACTGGGAGTGTCCTGGCCTGAAGGTGCCAGACCCAAGCCCCAGGTGCCCCGAGCTGCAGTGACCAGCCCTGGCTCAACTCACATGACAATTCCAAGGCGGTTCTCCAGGAGGAGAGAAGTGTCGTCTCTCTGTCTACAGTGCTCCCATCTTTGGAGAAAGGACAAGACCAAAATGATGCAAAGCTACAGGAGGGAAAGATGAAAGGGTCAGGGGGGTATCGGTCCTCAGCATGGCCTTGCTCTCCGCTCAGAAGGAGAGCCCGTGGGCGAGCAGAGCGCCCAGCAGGTGCTCAGACGCCAGAGGCACAGAGCGGGCCGTGCGCACCTGGAACATCCTGAATGTTCTGTAATAAGCTTTCCTTTGGATTGCCCTGAACAGATGTGAGTTCAAACCTAGTCTCTCCCACCTACTGGCTGGGAGGGAGACTAAACTTCTCTCTGTCTCAGTTTCCCCATCTGTAATAGGGGATAACGGCAAGGGATAAAATCCTTTTTTGTTTTTTTTTTCCTGTGGAATTTAGTCATTTTTCTCACATGAGACCCTTTTCTGCCCCCTGCCCCTTCACTAGAAACTTCTTGAGATTTGTCTACACCTGCTGACTCCATTTTTTAACCTCTCACTTGCTCTTCAACCCCCTATGCTGGCTTCTACCCCCATCACTCACTCCATGGAAACAGCTCTTGGCAAGTCACTTATTATCATCTTGTTGCTCCATCCGATGTAAACTTGAAGCGCAAATCTGGCTTGACCTTCACAGCATTCCTTGGTGTTGACCACCTCCTCTCTCTCTTAGAAACACTCTTCCCTAGCCATTCATACCTTTCTGGGTCTTCCCCATTACTGCGCTGGCTCCTTCGTTAGATCATTCTTTCTCCAACCGTGAGATGTGGAGTTCCTCCACGTCAGTCCACTCTTACTGCCCGGTCCTTTGTTCCTCAGCAGTCTCATCCATGCCCATGCTTTCGATGGCCACCAATATGCAGAACACTCACAAACTTGACCTTTAGCCCAAACCTCGTCCTTGAGCTCCATAACTGTCCATCCAGCTACATATCCAACTGGCACAGTTTTTTTGATGTGTTAAAAGCTTTTTGAAGTATGTCTTAAATGAAACTCATGATCTCCCTCCTCGCCCCTTTCCTTCATCCACCCAAACCTGGATCTCTTTTAATTTTCCTTAACTAGAAAATGGCAGATACCAAATGAACATCATCCTTAACATCTCCCTCTCTTAACTTCTCTATCCAACCCATGATCAAATCCTACTGTTTGTACTCCCACACGTCTTGAGCTAACCACCACCACCTAGGATGAGCTAAAACTGCCTCTCACCTGGACCCCTACAACCATCTCCTGACTGGTCTTCCTGCCTCCTCTCTTGCCTGCTTCTAACCTGATCCCAACACTGCAACAAGAGGATCATTTCAAAACAAATCTGATCACACCACCCTCATGCTGGAAACACTCCAACTACTTTCCACTGTACTCAGAATAAAGACAGAACTTTGCACAGAGCCCCACAGTGCTCCTCCTGGCCTGGCCCTGCCCACCTCCCTGGATAGCTCCACCTCAATTCATTCTGGCCACACCCCCTCTCAGTTTCTCACACTCTCCAACCTCCCCACCCCCCACAGCCTTTGCACATGCTCTTCCCTCTGTCTGAAATGCTCTCTATTGCATCTTCCAACGGAACTTAGCTCTGTCATTGCTTCCCCTAAAAGCCCATATTCCTCACTCGAGGGCCTTAAAAACCTTCTTCTGCCTGCGTTTTTAGTGCATAACGTAGGAGAGTAAGTCAAAGAAATTTAGCTGATGTCTCTCTGCTCACCTATTCAGGCCCCTTTGGGAGCCCTTGTGCAGGGGCAGCCCAGTTCCCATTCCCTCCCCTCCTCAGCCTCCCTGCCTTTACTCACTGACGGGATGAGGGAGTAATGGAGGAAGAGTTCCATGTCCACCGAGCCGGCACAGGTGCCATTTAGCTGCCTTGTCCTGGAAAATAGCCGAAAACCACATTCACATCATCAGTCATGGCTGCAGTCGTTGACCATCACTGTCAGGAGTTTGGCTTGTAGCCCACTAAGATCATCTGCTCTGTTTAAATTTTGCTTCCTCAGAGCCAGTCCTGCTCATGTGTGATGTACCTTCCCTATGTGGATTAATCTTCTGAGTTCTTTCTCCAGCCTGATTATCTATCCAACCGCCCTGCTAACTGGATCCTACTCCTTCCTTTCTTGAGGACACACAGGGACAGGTTCAGGTTCTGTGGGGCCCAAAGCTTATATAATTTGGACATCCTTTTCAAATAAAACTACAGAAATATCTTGCTTTTTTCATATTTTAAGGAAAACATATCACCATGTCAATACTTAACTGAGGGGTCTCCCACCCTCCCAGAGCCTTAATGGTCCTGTGCAACTCAGGTGCCCTGACACAAGTTTCAGTAACTTTGCAGTTGAACTTGGTTTTCCATAACCAGAGGTCGAGACGCATCAGCTCGCTCCTGATCCACGGCTGGTCCCTTGGGACGGGACAGCAGTTATCTGGACTCTAGAGCATGGACTTCATCCTCTGCAGGCGTCACAGTCTGCAGGATAGGGCTGTTGGGTCTCCCGTCTGAAACACGAGACAGCAGTCTGTGACCTCTCTTTAAAGGGACCGCCCTCCTGGGACTCTCACCACACTTGTTCTCACTGCTCTGACTCCCACTACATCGCCTGCACGTGCTCTCACACCTCCAGCCTTCGCTCACTCTGCCCGGACCCCAGCGGCACCCCCCTAGCCATCTCCTGTGCTTTCTTCCCTGGCCAGCTCCTACTTTTCCCGTGTAAGTCTCAGGAAGAGCACTCTGCTGGGGAGCCCATGAGCACGACACATCCCCCCCCAATTTTTTAAAACTGTGGTGCTCCCCAGTTTTGTTTCATGGGTCTGAAACATCCTAGAAGTGGAAGGGGGAGGGGGAGTTTAAGCTGTCAGCAATGTGATAGAACTATAAAATCAGACTCCGGCTTTCAGGAGGTCACCTGAGCACATACGTCAGTCTCCCTATCCCATACAAAACCATCAGATGTGATTTGTTAAAAAGAAAGAAATACAGCCATATTTGAAAGTAAGAAGGAAATCGATCAGGGACATAGTGACTACTAGATGACCCTGAACAACAGAGAGAGATTGGGGCCAGATCAAAGAGAAGAAGCATCAGCCAGTGTGGTGCACACTGTGGAACCACTTGAGAAGTGCCCTACACCCAGAGTGCAGGGGGCTGCAGCGGGACAGGCTGCTGACCACAGAATGACGAGTTCGGTTTCTCAGGTACCCAAGTGTCCTCCACCTCTGCAGACCAGCCCGGAGGTGGTGTTTCTATCTCCAGAGGCGGTATATATGGGTCACTCAGAGAGAGGCAGTTTCCAGATCATAGGTGGCAGCTAGGAGAGCCCAGAAGCTCCAGTTTCTAGAAGGCCAGCACCTGAGGTATCCCATCTAAGGGCCCCACCCCACTGCACTGAAAAGGAAAAACTCCATTATGAGGATGAGCACACAACCAAAAACCATCAAACATTTGAGGAAAGATTACACCACAGAAGGGAGCCAGAAATTCAACAGAGAGAGGAATTTACTGCTGAGAAAATAAAGTTAATACAGAATAGAGGAAATTCTCTGTAAGAGTAAATCTAGCCCTGGCCAGTTGCTCAGTGGTTAGAGCGTTGGTCCACGGACCAGGGAGACCTGGGTTCGGTTCTGCTAAGGGCATGTACCTTGGTTGCAGTTTGTCCCCGGCCCCAGTTGGGGTCGTGTGGGTGGCGACCAGTCAATGTGTCTCTCTCACATCGATGTTTCTCTCTCTCTCTTTCTCCGTCTCTCCCTCCTGCTCTATCTGAAGATAAATGCAAAAAAAAAAAAGAGTAAATCTAGGAAGAAGTAGAGGGTCGAAAAAGCAACAGCAAGCAAAGAAAGAAATCAGCAAAAGTCACTGTCAATACTGAGCACAGAATTTAAATATATATTTATATATAATAAATGTATCACGTAAATTCACATTTATATAAATTATATAATAAATAATATAAATATCTGTTTTAGATCCTCACCAAAGGATATTTTCCCATTTATCTTCAGATTGGGTGGGGGGGGGGGGGCGCAGGGAGAGAGAGAGAAACATTGATGTGAGAGAGACACATTGACTGGTTGCCTGCTGAATGAGCCCAACCAGGGCCAGAGACCAAACCACAACCAAGGTACATGCCCTTGACCAGAATCAAACTCAAGACTCTTTGGTCTGCAGGCCGACACTCTAACCGCTGAGCCAAACTGGCCAGGGCAATAATATAAACATTTAAATAGAAATAGAAATATTTATATTGTTTATAATATAAATAAATACATACATGTGAATTTATTATATAAATTTATATATCATATATACATATATATACATATATCTATATATACATATATATGAGTGTAAATGAGTTTCCTTTCCATTACTGATTAAATGAAGAAATTAAGTTCAGTCTGATCCCATTTTTGCTTAAAGCCATGTGAGTTATAAACACACTTGCTTAAAACTACGTAGGTTTTAAGCAAATATATATATATATATATATATATATATATACACACATATATATATGTATATATATATACAATTTTTAGAAGCACAAGTACTTGAAAGACCCTCTCTGAAACAAGTACTGGAGGAAATTTTTAATTAATAAGAAAACAAAACCAGATGGAGAAGAATTTAAAAACAATCGTGAACAGAGCAATTAGTAAAATATATTGTTAAATACCTAGATAAGTAATTATGGTGAAACAGAATGTGTGAAATGCCAGTTTGGAGGTGACCTACCAGAGGACACCCCGCACGGGAAGAGGGAGAGGTGGGCCCAATTGGGGGGGCAGAGGGAAGCAAGACAAGGACCAAGTCCTCGCCGTGTTCAGCAGGGTGACGCAGAAACCTGTTCTTTCTTTCTGGGCTTTGTAAGAAAAATGTAAGTCTAAATGTGGATGTGGAAATCCACAGTTAACCACCATAAGAATATAAACAGAATGTAAACTAGTATATTAAAAAGTGTAAAGAGTTGCTTCAACAAAATACGGAAGAGAAGAACGAAAGAAGGGTGGAAAGAGAAGCATCACAAGAATGAAACGCCCAACGAATAAGCCGGGAACAAAGGAATACACATACTCAGTACGATCTTAAAATTTCAAATATTAATAAGAGTAGAAATTAAGATGAAATGCTGTCTAAGCTATTAAATTGGGAATTATTGAAATTACTACCCAGCACGACTGAAGGTTAAGACAAGTTGGTATTCATTTACTGATTGTCAGAGTGTAAACTGAGGAATAATTTTACAATATATATACCAAGAACTTTAAAAATATATCAATTCCATTTCCAGGAATTCTACTTCTAAAAATATATAAGTTAAGGAAGTCAGAGAGGTATGTGAAGATATGTAATGCTAAGATTCTCTCTCTCAGTCTCTTCCTCATATGTGTATGTAACATTTTAAATGTAATATATGTTCATTGTAAAACATTCCAAATATTTACAAATGTATAAAGCAGTAAAGTCCTTTCTCCTTCCACGATTAGAACCTTCATAGTTTTAAGCAAGTGTGTTTATAACTCACGTGGCTTCAAGCAAAAATGGGATCAGACTGAACTTAATTTCTCCACTTAATCAGTAAAGGAAAGGAAACTCATTCAAAAAGGCAAAGGATTTCTCATGTCAGCATATACAGACCCACTGGACTTTTTCGGATGGGCGACCCTGCATACAGATCTGTTGCTGAGACTGTCTCCTGCTTGGCGGGCTGAGCCCAAGTTAGTCTGGTAGCAGCTGGGAACAGGCGAGCTCAGGGCAGGGGGTGGAGCCGTGCCCCTGGGCCACGCCCCTGCGCCAGCAGCCACTGTGGTGAGCAGATGAAACATGCTCTGGAGTCAGCCCGAGTTAGACAGCCACTGACACCACTTTCTTGGTCTCTGAGACCCACACCGCGCCCTGGTGGTCCAGGGTTGGAGGGCAGGTCTGTGGAAGGGTCGACAACACCTGCCAGGCAGCAGCAACCCAGCGCCCCCCAATGTAGAAGGTGCACTTTCCTGTGGTGATGGCTCAGACATGTGTTTACGATATGCTGGTAAGTGGACAGAAATGATAAAACAATATGATCCCAGGCTGTGAACAGTGGTGAAACTAGAGGCATTTTACTTTCTCCCTGAAAACAGCCTCAGTGACCAGTGAGCGTTGATCTTCTTTCCCCAGCCCTACCTGCTTTTGAATAGCTCTGACCAAAGAAAAGGGTTTTCCTTTTGTTGGGCTGAAACAGGACGCTCACTGGCTGTTTCTACCTCTTCAGACCCCTGACCCCGTTTGCTCCTCTGCCCCTGGAGTGTGTGGGGTCAGCCGTTCTCCAGGCTGAGTACCCCTCCCCAGCCTCGATCAAGCGCATAGACTGGGCAGCTGGCCTGGCCTCCAGCTAGGTGTGGGTTGTCAGGGGCTCCCCTACTCTGGTGCCCCTGACCACACAGTGGACTGAAGTCCTTCACCTGGTTAACCAGTGGCCGGAGCAGCGCCCACACCTGGTCCCGCGACCAGTCTCCCACTTCCACGCTGGCAGGGTGGCCCACGCACGGCACCCTTGCCCAGAATGGCCCCACTGCCCTCCCGAGCCGCCTCAGAGGAGTCTGAGGCCCTCGTGAAAAGAGGCCCAGCCAGGAAAACAGCTGAGTCCACGCAGCCTGCTGCTACACGCCGTGGTTCCTTAGGCTCAGGGCACTCGTGGGTCTCAGTTTAGTCACTTGCGAATTTAGAAGGCTGGACTGCTTGGGACTTAGCCCACTGCTTAGAAATATCTTGTTATAAGCCTGTGTCCCCCTGGACGGGGAGCTTCCTGGGGTATTCATCCCCACGCCCAGCTCCAGGCTCAACAGATGGCAATAATGTCCGGTACTCACTAGTGTTCCCTAAAAGGATGGGTGGAAAGCTAACATTTGTCAAGGGCCTACAGTGCATTGAGCTATCCTTTAAGGGTTATACCTCTATTAACTAAGTTCATCCTCACAGCAGCCCTGTGAGAGAGGTACTATTATCATCCCATTTCACAGCTGAGGGAACTAAGGGACCAAAAGATCAGGCTGACCCAGCTCGCGCGTGGGGGAGCCAGGACTTGAACTCTGGCAACGTGGGTGATCATATTAAGTCTTTCCTAACTGTCACATTCGATGACCCTTCAACATAATGTTCTGAGCTACGGCCAGGCAGTCTGAGCTCTCTTGGAACAAAAACACGAGACTCGCAGGGACTTGTGAGGATTTAAGAGTAAATTTGTGTGCCGGGTCTTTGGTGCATAGCATAGGAATTCCACAGGGAAAGTAAACTGCCTTTCCCCAGTGAAGCCAGGATGAAATGACAGGCTGTCTGGCGGAGGGGGACCCCGCAGGCTGGGGTGTCGACAGAACAAGGCTGCCGTGCGTTGACGATGGGGGGAGCTGGGTGACAGGAATACGGGTGTTCTTTACACGGGTCTCTCTTCCTTTGTATAAACGTGCATACTTTCACTGAAAACAAAGTTTACGGTTTCCTTAATAAAATAAAATTAAATCCATGACTATCATAAAACCCACCTAGGCCGCCTGCCACCCTGCTGCTGACGGTCTCTTTGGTTTTCTTCCCGGCTCCTCCCTCGCCCTCAGGCCTGCCTCTGACAGCTTGGAGACTCGTCTGCGTCTGTCTGTCTGCGCTCTCTCTAATTGCATGTTGGTTTGTCTCCATCTGTCACTTTCTGTGACTCTGAGAATCAGGGGAAAGACACACATATTCCCCGTTTTTATTCCATTTCCTTCCAGAGACTCTCTTTTCTCTGTGGGTCCAGATCTCTGTTTTCTTCTTTGCCTCGACCTCTCCCATTCATTTTGACCTTGCTGCGCAGCTAGGAAAGGTCAGCTCTGGGTCAGCACCCTCCTCTAGAAGGGGTATAGGGGTGTTTGCATGCCTGTGTGGATCCGCGGATCTGCCTGGAGGAAAGAGCCTAGGATTCAGAGGCAGAGACCTTGAGACCTTGGGTAAATCCTTTCTCCTCCTGAAGCCTTGGTGGCCTCGTCTGTAGGAAGGGTGTGATGCCACTACCCTGGATCGTTAGGGAACGGGCAGGGACAGTGCTTTGCTAACGGAGAAGCACCGTGCGTGCTGGCTCTCGGGCCTGCTTCCACCTTCCCTTCAACTACCTGCCACGCACACTACTTCACAAGGGGGAGCGAGGACTCCAAGCAGTAGCCTGGCCCCCAGAAGACCACGGGGCGCTCTCCTGAGATGGCACTGGCATTATCAAGAGACTCAGGAACTGCTGTACCACGGAGCTGGACACCCTGGGTGCCCTGGCTCCACTGGGGACTAGCTGGCTAGCCATCTCAGAGACAGACCAGCTCGGCCAGGTGGGGACAGGGCTCCGCCCTGGGCCACCGGATCTCCAGGCTACGTGGCAGGCACCGCGGGAAGAACAGGGCTTCGCCCTTTGCACAGCAGTCTCCTTGCCCAGGTCTCGCAGGAGCATGGAGGGAGGTTCAGAGAGAGGCTGCCCCTGGCCCGCAGCGGGGCTCACACAAAGGCACTAAGCTCTGAGGATCAGAGATGAGGTATTCGCTGCCTTGGTGTCTGGCCTGTCTTCATTCCATTCCCTCCCGGCCTCCCTGCTTCCTCCTCTGTGCCTACATCTCTGACTACTCCCCGGTGCCTTGACCTGCTCCTTCCCGCCGAGGTTACTCACAGCAAGGCATGGTCAGCCCCAGGTGAGCGCCTTCCTTCCAGGGTGCGCGTGGGTGCTTCCACACCCCCGAACAGTTCAGAGAGAGCTACGTGGGAAAAATGGTGATTGAAGAGGACAAAAGCCCACTTTTCTACTCCCTACCATGCTTCGTTGTCCAATAAAGCAACATTTGTTTTTATTTTATTTTCACTTAATAAGATAACAATAATTGCTATCATTTATTGAAGGCTTGCCACGTGTTGGGCATTGAACGGAGGTCTTTATAGTTATTATCTCAGTCTGTTCACAGTTTAGGCAGCACAGACTGTTCCCATTTCATGGATGAGAAAACGGAGGCTTAGAGAGAAGTAAAGTCACTCAGCTGGAGAGAAGCAGAGCTAGAATTGGAACCTTGTTGTATTTTCTACACAGGAAACATTCACACACAAACGTTTCATTAGGACATTGAAAAAGGTTCTATGTCCGTGGTCCTTTGAGAAGACAATGACCCCTACTCTTCACTGGTCAGACAAATCCAAACAATGAGCTCAGGCCCGAGTCCTGCCCTGGGAGAGGCCCCGACCAGCTGGCCCACGTCCAGGGGATGAGGGTGACGGAGAGGAGGCCCCGGGAGGGATGCACGGAGGCCTTGGGTGAATGGTGTCGACTTCAAATGAATGTCAGGGCCCCAGAGGCCACAACCGGCACCACAGGTGGGCCAAGTTCTTTGGGTCCAGCCCACACTTTTCTTCTGCGTCCGGACCATGAAGCCAATTGCCTGCCTCCTTCCGTCTCCTTTTGGCTGTCCCATGGCACTCCAGTCCAACATGTCCCACCTGAACACCCCCCAACCTGCCCTTCCTGTGGGGGTCCTCACTTCAGGAATAGCACCATCACCCACCTTTAGTCTAAGCCAAAGGCCCGGAGTCACCCTCAACTCCTTCCTCTCCAAGTCCTGCCCACATCAAGCCCAGTCAAACCTCACCAATCACCACCAAATTCAGACCCACCTCGATCCCAACAGCCCCCAGCTTAGCCCAGGCCAGTGTCCTCTTCACCTGGGCTTCACCGCAGCCTCCTGCCAGGTGTCCTACTTCCAGCATCGTCCCCCTCAATCCATTCTGCACCCTGGGACCGCCTTCCTAAAGTCCGCACCCACCACATCACTGCCCTGGTCCCGCTCAGCCCAAGGAGCCAGCTGGAGAGAGAGGAGGAAGAGACCGGTCCCCTCAGGCTTTCCAGTCCATGTCCCCACCCACCCAGCTGACTCCCTGCTCTGTCCACCTGCCCTCCAGCCAACCTCTGGTCTGTCCCAGGCACATGTCCTTGCCCACGCAGCTCTCAGGCTGCCTCCCTCTTGCCCTGTGCCTGGGACTCCAGGGATCTCCTTCTCCCAGTGACCGTCACGACGCCTGTCCGTGTCCTCACGACTCCTTTTCTCCCTTTGCCTTCCACAGCACCCCGACGGGCTAAACAGGTACACTGTAACCCCGAGAGCGCAGGCTCTGTTTCCTGTGGATTTGGAGCAGTCTTTTCGGTTTTGAGCTTGGACATTGAAATGTTTGAGGGAGAACTCTTCACCCCTGATATCTGGGCAGGACTTTACAGCTCTCAAAGTCTATTCACATTCCTGTTCTCATATGATCTCCACAGAACTGCGGGCCAGGGAGGACAGGGTCACTACTCCTGATTTACAGAGGAGAAAACGGAGGCCTTGAGATTTGCCAGAAATGGCACAGCCAGGATTCAAACCCGGGTCCTCTAACCCCGCGCCTGGGCTCTTCCCACTCCTCTCTGCGGGTCCAAACTGAAGACGAACGGAAATCTGCTCCCGCGCCCTGGAACCCTGCCCACGGTTCCTTCCTCCATGCCAGCCTGCCTTCAGAGGAGCTAAACCAGGCCTTTCTCCAGACTCTCCTGAGCCACAACACGGAGGAGACAGCGGCCAGAACACGCGCGGCCCAGCCTGACTGGTCGTCACCTTGTCTCGAAAAGAACTCACCTCTCATCCGAGGACGTCATCTTGGTGGGAAACACGGCCCGCAGCCCCGGTGAGCGATCTGCTTCTCTAGGTTATTCTCTGAGCTTCTCCAGCCTCTTGGTTATGATTGCTTCTGATCTGGTGCTCTGCCCAGGTCACTTCACAACATGCAAAAAACTCACGGCAAAGGCAAACATCCAGTTAAATATTTACCAGAGAAATCGAAGCAAGCGGGCGACCTTCTTCCTTGTTTCAGAACACTGCTGGCTCCTCTCCTGCTCGTCCTCCTCTCCTGCTCGTCCTCCTCTCCCACCCTGCAAGAGCAAGACCCTCCCTCCTACTTCCCCTCCTGGGCTCTGCCCCTTCTGGGCCCCTGCTATAAACACTGCCCCTGAGCTAGCGGAACTTTGCCCAGCTGCGGAGGCCCCTTAGCTAGCTGTAAAATTATTACCGACGGTCAAGTAGGATTGTGCCTCAAGGAATAAACAAGGAAACTGGAATCACCGGCTTCAGGAGTCTCCTTGGAAACAAGGCTGCCCATGTGCGGGGAGAAGGCGACAGACACAAGTTCAAAAATGAACTCCATAGATGTGGTGGAGAATGTGTTACGGTTTCCCGATTACCAGAATTGCCCATGGGTTCCAAGTGCCCACCCTGTTTCCCAGTGATCTTCTGGAATGGAATGGCAACTAGACCCCAGGTGTCCCTGTTCGCTGCACCCAGCAGCTCCTAGGCCAGTTATCACCCACAAGTTGTCTGTGGCTCCTCCCTTTCTTTCATTTATGCCTCCTGATGGTTCTTGTCCATCCATTTGTGTCGGAGTGCTCAGGGTGTGGGTGTGTCTTGTTTACTTCTGAGTTTTCTTTCTGCCCGTGTGGAGTTGGTGTTCAGAATAGTGGAGCCTGGGTCCCTGAATCAACACTGCAGAAGACTAGGGATAACTGTTTGAGAATATATGAATAAGCAAATAAACTTGTACTCTGTTAGAGCCATTATACACTTTAGATTTGGCTATAGGAGCTAGTCCTTATCCTAATCAATACACCATGTTTTCCATTCACACTGCTTCTGCCCCAGATCCACCTCCTGCCTGGACTACCGTGAGCGCTCTCTGATGGCCCTGCAGCCTCCGGGCCCTCGGATCAGTGCATATCTGCATCTCCCTGGAGCGCAGCTCAGACCTGTCGTGCCCCTGCCGAGCCTCGTCCCATGCTCCGCACTCCCTACCCTAGCACTCCAACCGAGCCTTCCAGCAAGGTGCTTCAACCCTCTTTTCCAGCCTAATCTCCTCTGGTCTCCTGCACACATCTACAGGTTTCTTTTGTTTTGTTTTTTTATCCTCACCCGAGGACATTTTTCCATTTTTTGTTCAGGTAGAGTGGGAGGGAGAGAGAGGAACAGAGAAAGAGAGAGAGGAACAGAGAGAGAGAGAGAGAAACATCAACGTGAAAGGAACACATCGAGTGGCTGCCACCCGCACAACCGACCAGGGTCGGGGACAAACTGCAACCGAGGTACATGCCCTTAGCGGAAACCGAACCCGGGTCTCTTAGGACCACAGGCCGACGCTCTAACCACTGAACCAAACCGGCCAGGGCCATCTACAGGTTTTGTAAAGCTGCGTATTCATCCTTAAACACAGCCTTCCATGCTACTCTGGATCTTTAGGGAGCAAGGAACAGAGATCCACTCAAGTTACCTTGAGTTAAAGGGGCTTCCTATTACTCCCCGGCAAAGCTGGGACCCAACGGGAAAGGTGCTGGAAACTGAGGCCACTCTTGGGACTGGTCCCTCCCCTCTCAGGGCCAACGGGTTTCTTCCTCTTGTCTCTCTCCCTCTTGGCATTTGTGCTTCAACCTATTCTCTCTGTGGCCCAGCCTCTTTGCTTCCTTATGATTTCCACTCTCCCGTGGCTTCAACTTACCACTGCCCTGATTCTAGTTCAGGGCCTCCTTTCGATGGCTGCCCCCACATGCACTGACTCCTTTCCAGGGTTTGCCATTCTAGCTGCCAAGAGAAAAGACCCGCCCCAGTTTGTCTTTTTCCCCAAGTAGGACACAGGCTATTCTATGCCTTTCTTTCTTTGGCTCAATCACATACCCCTTATATGAGCTTTCCCTAGGGCTGTCATAACAAAATGTCACACACTGGGTGGCTTAAACAACATTATTTCACAGTCCAAATTCAAGGTGTCGGCCGGTTTGATTTCTCCCAAGGCCTCTTTCCGTGGCTGGTGGAAGGCTGCCTCTCGCCGTGGCCTCTGTGCACGTGTGCCCTGGTGTCTCTGTGTCCTAACCTCCTCCTCCTGTTCTTCTTCTTCTTCTTTCTTTTTGCTTTATTGATGTTAGAGAGAGAGGGAGAGAGAGATAGAAACATCGATGAGAGAGAACATTGAATGGCTGCCTCCTACATGTCCCCCACTGGGGATTGGGCCCACAATCTGGGCATGTGCCCTGACCAGGAATCGAACTGGTGACCTCTTGGTGCCTGGGTCAGTGCTCAACCACTGAGCCCCACCAGCCAGGCAACTAACCTCCTCTTCAAAGGCCACCAGTCAAATTGGATTATGGCCCATCCTAATGGCCTCATTCTAACTTAACTACCTCCTTAAAGGCCCTATCTCCAAATACAGTCCCATTCTAAGGTACTAGGGTTAGGGCTTCAATATATGAATTGGGGGGAACAACATTCAGTCCATAGCACTCGGTCTAAGCAGCCCCGGTGGAGCGGGAACGTGTCATGGAGGCAGTGAGCAGGCACCGTAACTGACAAATGCAGGCCATTGGTGTTTGCCCACCGTGATCCCTTTAGTCCCACCTAGGACACAGCCTCCACTCCTGCTCCCCGCCACCATTTTTGTCCTTTAAGTCCTACCTAGAGTGTAATATCTGACACAGAGTGTCTCCCCATCACCAGTATATAATCTCATTTCTCTTGGCTTGGTCTACATCTCTTTTACGGCATATATTTAGGTCTTCTTTATTTGTCCATTTAACACATATTTATGGAGAAGTAGTCTGGTGCAGTGGTTCAGAGCCTGGACCTGGGGGCCAGCTCCACAATTTATTAGTTATGTCACTTTGGGCAAGGTATGTGGTTAACCTCTCTGATCCTTGGTTTTATCTGAGATATGTTACACCAACCTCGTGGACATGTGAGGTGGAGTGACCTCATACACACAGAACGTTCAGGAGCATGCCGGACACACAGTACGTGCTCAGTGCGCATGCGCTGTTACTGGGCGCCTGTCCTCTGCCAGGTACTGACCGGCATGAGACTACACAGTCACCTCACAGTTCATCATGTCCAGGTCTAGCTCCTCTGCTCGATCACAGGCTTAGAAGCCATGACTAGATCTGATTCAGCATGATGTCAGGGACACAAGGGAGGCCCCATAAATGCTGGTTCTCAAAACTGAAAAAAAGGGAAGAAAAAATGAGAAATATAAAGATCGAGTACAACATAACTCTTCCTGGATGCCTAGAAACAAGAAACGCTGTGACTGTTTTCTCTGGGACCAGGCCCTCTCCTTGCCTGGAGGCAGCAGTTCTTGGAGCATCCACGCCACATGCGTCATGGAAAACTTGCAACGTGCTTCCTCCTCCAGGCGCACGAGATGCTAACTCTTCTGGGAGGGCCCCTCTGCCAGCTACTTCCTGGCTCCACTGCCCAGGCTTCAAACAGATATTCTAAACTCTGGAATTATTATGGTGGCTTTCCTCACAATTCCACATTCCTCTCCTCACACCATTAAGGAAGAGTCCTTTTGAATTGCCACTGACCACCTGTGGAGGTTGGGGAGGCAGCCACCTTCAAGTGGGAGAAACACTAAGACACTTGTTATAAAATGCTTCCAACTCAGCAACATTTCATTCAGAGTAATAAGGACCCATTACTAAGGGGCTACCATGCTCCAGACATGACCCCTTTTGAACCTGTGTGATAGATTGCATGTTCCCTCTCTCATACTTTCTCAGTTTAGTCTTGAATCCAAACGTAGAACTTAACATGGATCTGGAGAATATGCCAACGTTTGGTTTCTCTCTCCCATTCTAACCTACATCTAACAAGCATTTGTGAACACTGCTTCTACTAGCCAACATGCATGCATCCTTTTTGAAGCTTTGGGGCATTTGAATTCTTTTGCTGAATTTGTCCAGGTTATTGATAAACAAAACAAAACAAAACTGAATAAAACAGAGCCCTATAGCACTCCACCAGAGACCTCTTTCCAGGGGCATGCGATGCTGCTGCATCAATTGGCAGAGTGAGGAAGGAGATGACTGAGTGCACCGGAACCCAGGTTAGGAAGGGTTCCTGTGCTCAGCCCCATGTTCCGCAGGGTTCAGAGTTCCGGTGACGTGACAGAGGAGATGTGGCAGTTCATCACAAAGGCTGTGCTTGTCCCCCAGTGCTGAGCGCTTATCACAGGACAGCCTCTGTTTGTTCTACAGACACATGACTTAATCATTAACTCAGAAACAAAAGCACCCGGACATAGGGAAGACCTAGTACAATTTCTCTGTGAAGCAATATCGGTGGCTTTCTGGAGTGGGTATGACCCCTGACTAAGAACATTTTTTCTCTCTTTGAAAACTAATCTATATTCCTATCCTGTCCCTTCTCTGTCACAAACTGGGCTGGCTCCTCCTTCTGGCAAAAAAAAAAAAAGACTGGGCATTCAGTGACCTCTGTGACATGACCCCAAGTTTTCTTCCCAGACTAGACTTAACTCTGGATAAGTCCACGGGAAAGCTGGACTAACCTCTCAGGGGCCGCCCACCTGCCTGCCCCCACTCATGTCACAAGTATTTATGAAGTATCCATGTGCCAAGAAGTATGCTAGTCCCTGAGGATGGACACTCTAGGGACACAGTGTGCCCTCTTCCCAGGTTGGCCAAGGCCCTGGCTTAAGCTCAGTGTGCTCCCTAGGGAGGGTTTTGGTGCTTTTAAATTTATCACTGATGGAATACAGAGAACGAAGAGACTACTGCACCAGATGGTAGGCTGGACAAATTGTTGAGCCACCTCAACAATTTGGGGCTGCACAGGGACAGACAGGAGCAGAAAGTCAGACCCTGCAGAGGTCATTTCTAGAGCACTAGAAGGGGGGCCCATTTAAACTGAAGGCCAACCAAATTGAGGCTGGAGTGATTATTTGTATGCATTTCTCTTCTCTTCTCTGGACCAAGAGCACTTTATCCCAGCACTTTGCTCATCTGAATTATTAAAAAATATTTATCGAACTAATCAATGAGGAACGTCATTTCTAGATCTGTAATCCCTGTGTTGTCCACAAGGTGGCGACTTGCATAGATGGTCACAACGCAAACCTTGCATTTGGGTGGAAGCCCTGAGAAAAGATGCTGAAGGGAAGCATGGAGAACCAAGACAGACTTTCTGCAGACTCGTCCTCTGCCCCGCCCTGCTCCCCGTGGGAATATGTGCTATCCTCTTCCCCTCATTTAAAGTATCTGTCTGTCAGACAGTAATGCAGGCCTGAGCTACCAGCACCAAACCTGGATTCCACCATATCCAGCAGCCCAAGCAAGGCCAGTGGTGCGGGCTTCCTGTCCTCTCCAGCCTCACCTCCTGCCTCCCAAGCTCTCACACCCCCGTGCAGCTCTGCAACTGGGCTGAGCTTTCTCTTCGCTCCAGACTGTACCATGTTCTCTCTTGCCTTCTCTCTCTGCCCTCCTTCCAGATAACACCTACTGTCTCCCCAAGACTCAAGTTAGAAAGCACCTTTTCCAGAAAGCTTCCTTAACCCTTGCTAGACAATAGATGGGCCTCAACTCCCTCCCCACTGAGAGAATCCACTCTCACTTTTTCTCATGATTCTGTGGGCTCACAAGTGTTGCCCACAGTGTTAACTGGCTCTCTGGGAACCAGAGATAGGGGCTTTGGGGCAGTTTTTTAAAAGGAAATGGATACCAATCACCTTCAAAGCTTTGGAAGGTTTTCTTCACCCAGATACTACAGACTTAGGGTTGGAAAACTAGTCTTCTGCTCATTTTCTTAAAGAGTCATGCTTACATAATGCTCTCCCTACTTAAAAGGCACACAAATCATGTGTAAATGTGCCTCTGCAATTGTGTATCCCAACCTGTGTGAAGCACATATTAATTTCATAATAATGATACCCTTTAGTAGGTCAACGTTTGCATAATTAAGCAGGCAAATCATTCCTGTATACATTTATTTGCTCATCATGACCATATTTTGCACAACCCTGGTCTCAGGGTCAGACACTGTACCATGAGAATGGTGGCTTACCCAATCCCTGATTCTTAGAGCCCCTCCATACTCCTTGTCAAGACTCATCCTTGAACTTCCCCATTGACAGGGAGCTCACTACCTCTGGAAGAGTCCATTCTCTTTTTGGACAGCCATGACCATTTGAAAGTTTGAACTTATTGGGAAGGATGTCCCTGAAAAACAGTATGGAGTTTATCTCTCTTGTTTTCAAGTCTTGCTTTGTTCATTTAACATTATAGGTGTTTCCTTCACATCATTAAACCATCTTGAATTTCTTCACATATATACAACTACATATTTACAAATATGCCATCATATGTGACATGCAATTTATAATTGCTACTTCACTAAACAATACAGTACCAACATCTTTTTGTTTCAGTTAACTTATATCCCCTTCCTCATTTTCAATGCCCACCTAATCCTCTATTGCTGAATATACCAACACTCAGTTAATCATTGCATACCAGTGAGCATTTAGATTATTTCCAATTTTTTGCTGTAGTGATTAACTCCAGAATGAAATCTTCAAACATAGTGATATTTCCTTAGGAGAGATTTATAGAAGGGCACAGAGAATCAAGGAGCGTAAGTACTTCATTATTATTATTATTTTTATCTTCACCCGAGGACATTTTTGCATTTATTTTCCGATAGAGCAGGAGGGAGAGAGAAAGGAAGAAAGAGAAACATTGATGTGAGAGAGACACATCAACTGGTTGCCACCCACACAACCCCAACTGGGGCTGGGGACAAACTGCAACCGAGGTACGTGCCTTTAGCGGGAACCAAACCTGGGACTCTCTGGTCTGTGGGCCGACACTCTAACCACTGAGCTAAACTGGCCAGGGCGAGGAGTGTAAGTACTTTAAAGGGACACTCCTGGTCAAGTCAGCGGCCTGTGGATGAAACCAATTGTTAATAAACACTAATAGCCATGTTGAGTGCAATGCTGATATTATTATACTTAGTCCTCATCACCACCTACCTCTACACCATGAAGCTTGACCATGCCCATCCTTTGTATGTGCCTGTAAGGGAAGAACTAGGGCAGACCAACTAGCTGGCCCTGATCTGACCACCACATAAAGTGGCCTCTGCCGGGGCTCCTTTTGGGGATATGAGCATCCCCTGAAAAGACTGCAAACTGGGAAGGACCTGGGCTTAAAACTCAAAATGGACACCACCCAAGAGTGCTGTAGCTGGTCTTCCAAGACTCCAGGAGGCTTTCTCCATCTCTAGGGGCTAAGAAAAAGAAAGAAAAGAACACAGGACAAATCAGGGCTAGGGGGTGAAGGCAAGAAAAGCCACCCATGAAGCCTGGTCAGCAAATCCCTGCCTTTGCCCATTGTCTTCACTTGGCCACACATCAAATTCCAGCAATAACGACTCCCTTGCGTTCCTTGTCTGGGTCCTCTGCCAGGACTGGTGTACAGAACCTGGCTCTGAGCAGGCATGGGGACCGCATGAATAAATAAGTGACAGCAAGGACCCGTTCCACCGCCTTTCCTACATGAACTCCCCACTCCACAGATATCCTAACACTTTTGCGCCAAGACATTCAACATAGCATTATTCTAGTAACAAAAGGGCCAAAAACAACTGGTTGAATAACTGCAGTTTTTGTACACTGTGCAAAGTTTAAAAGTCCAAAGTCAATCCAAAATAGATCACCTTACCTCATTAGTATCCAAGTCACTCCTGCATGACTTTATGTAGCATTAAGCGGGGGACAGCTAATGAAACAATGCTCCCCTGATTGTACAACAGGCCCGATTTCAGAGATGATAAGAGGTGGGGAAACTGTGGGAAATTCCTTAAGTGGAAAAACCAAGCACAGAATAACGTCCAGGACATGCTACTAGGTGTGTGTGTGTGTGTGTGTGTGTGTGTGTGTGTTTAAAGAGAGGAGCTATATAATCATACGTGCTTTTATCAGCCTGCAAAATTCCTAGGAAGATACACCAACAACCTGATGAGAGTGCCCTCTTGAGGCTGGGCTGGAGCACTGGGACACAGGGTGGAAGGGAAACCCTCTGTACACCGTTACACCCATTTGTGAACTCTGAAATTTTAAACCCTATATTTCTTTCTGAAAATAAAACTTTGAAAACTACAAAATTCAAAATAAAACGGCGTATCCTTCCAAGAGGATTAAGGGGCATAATATTTGGAGCCAGCCTTGGATCTGAAGACCATATATGCAATACTGACTCTATTGTAGCGACTTCCGCCAAGTTCCAGCTCCGGACTGCGCCTCAGTATCCCCAGGAGCGCCTGGGTGTCAGACAGCTGGTGTCGGGACATCGCTCCAGCTCCGAACTGGGGTGGCGGGGAGCCCACCCCGCCGCACTGGTCCCGGGCCGGCAGCCGTCTGCGGGCACCCCGCGGTGCAGCCCCGGCCAATCAGCGGCCGCGGGGCGGGTTGGGTGGCGGCGCCGCGCGCGCGGAGCGGAGAGCAGAGCAGAGGCGCTTCTGCCGTCCCAGAGCCCACGATGCCACGCTCCGCTGTGCTCTTCCCGCTGCTGCTTCTGCTGCTGCCGCCGCTGGCCTCGAGCCTTGGGCTCCTCGGCGCGGGCGGCCGGCGCCCCGAGTGCAGTCCGTGCCGGCCGGAGCGCTGTCCAGAGCCCGCGCGCTGCCCCGCGCCCGGGATCCCCGCGCGCGACGAGTGCGGCTGCTGCGCGCGCTGCCTGGGTGCCGAGGGCGCGAGCTGCGGGGGCCGAGCTGGCGCGCGCTGCGGCCCGGAGCTGGTGTGCGCGAGCCGCGCCGCGGGGGTGGCGCCCGAAGGCACCGGGCTCTGCGTGTGCGCGCAGCGCGGCGCCGTCTGCGGCTCCGACGGCCGCTCTTACCCCAGCGTCTGCGCACTGCGCCTGCGCGCCCGGCACGCGCCCCGTGGGCAACCGGGCCACCTGCACAAGGTGCGCGACGGCCCCTGCGAATTTGGTGAGTCCGGCTTCCGCCCTGCTGTACTGAGGCGCGAGAAAGAGAGACCCTAACACTCTGGGGTGTGGGGCCAACGATGCCCCTCCCCACCATCCTGCACAATGGACAGTGCTGCCTAAGCCTCGCTTTTCCCTTAGGGAATGGTGTTTCTTATCTGGTAGGGTGCTCAAGGAGACTGGGGCAGGAACTCACACCCTGCACCAAGCTCATGGCATGTTTTCCTCCACAAGACTGGTAGTTTGGGAGTGGGGGGTCCTCACTGGGTCCAAGTCCCAGGAGTGGGTTGTTTGGATGGAGAGGGAGGGAACGTGAAGATGCCAGAGGAGGAGCAGAAGGAGGACTTCCAGACCAGGACTCGGGAGTTACAGCCGAGCACCAGGGCTCGGGCCCACTTAGGACAGGTAAGACCTTTGGAGACCTTGGCTCTGAAAGATTATAGTGCCTTCAGGAGTAGACCCAGGTTTTGTAGGACCAAGAATTATACAATTTGGAGGGACCCACTTTAAAGGAATCGAAGGTTAATCATTGCTTGGGATGTAGAAACTTAAACTTCGTTAACATCACAGTAAAGTAATCTATGGATGTTATTGCTGCCCACCCTCTAGATGTAATTTTTTAAAAAATCAAACAAAAATAAACCAAAACATTAGTAAAGGGATGCCCAAAACCTAATGCTGGCCCATTAGGGTTTGGAACACTGCCTCTCTCTACACCACCTAGACGGGGCAGTGGATCATCTAGGGTGAGTCCCAAGGAGTCCAGCTTGGGGTTCTGGCCCATGCCTAGAGACCAAGTCCAGACCTAAATGCCTAAGTCAGTGTAATGACTTCAGCTCCAACAAGGAAACCGTGAGGGTGGGGGAGAGCCTTAACAGACATTGGGAAGTTTCTATTATTATTTCCCCCAAGCATTCCAAGTAGATGCTTGTCCAGGAGAACCATGTTGTTGGAGACGAGGCAGGAAGGCTCCCATCCCAGAAACATGGAAACAGTGTGCAGTCGGTTGAGGAGACTGAGGCCTCCCTGGAGCACAGGAAAGTCGCCACTGGCTAGTCCTCGTTGGAGCTCCAATGGAGGAGAGAGCTGCCTGGCACTTTCCATGCTGCTGGATCCCTGAGTGACCTTGGGCTGGTCCCTTCCCCTCTCTGGGCCTTGTCAGCCCCTGTGTAGTCACAGTTAAGGTCCCTTTGTTTCTGCCCTGTGGCACTTTAACAGTCCTGTCTCATTCCTTCTTCTAGTTTCTGCCACTCGTTTTTACAACCTGCTTTCCTCAGCAGTTAATTCGCGGGCAGTTCTCTTTGTCTCCAGACAGGTGACGCTTTCAGTCCACATGCAGGAGACATAAATGCTGACCAGGTCCCCAGAAACTGCTGGTGTAGATGGTCTCAGATGAGTTTTCCCTGGAGTGGTGTTCTGTTCCCGAGAGAGAGAGAGAGATGCCTCGAAAATACTTGAGATATTTAGACCAAATCTGCTATTAGGGGGAGGAGACTGAGATGGGGGGAGGGGGGCAGGCAGGAGACTGGCCAAGGTGACCAGTAAAGCCTGAACAGCTCCCAGGTCTCCTACACCTGTTCTGTGCTCTTTCAGGACAGGACTTGATAGTGTTAAGTCAGGCAGCTGGTGGTTGCCATGGTTACCAGAGTGAGGCCAGATGGCAGATGGAAACCCCATATCCTTAATTCATTGAAAATTACCAAATGACAAGTAAATGTGACAGCCCCTCCACTCTGATCTATGGCCCTGAGGCACACCTCAGGCACGGGCCCCGGGCGTAAAGATGTTCATGGAGCCAAATGGAGGCAATACAGAAGCTGCTTTTAATGATCCTATTAGTGACAGGCATCAAGCCTCCCCGGAATTTACTTCTGCTTCCCCACCAGCAGTTGTCATCCTCTACAGACTGGTTACTGTTTTCCAGTCGCTTTTCGTCCTGTAATGGCTGTGTGGCCCTGTCCCTGTGTCCTGGTGAAGCATGAAGGTGTGGACAGGGGGATCTTTCCTAGCTAGCGACTAAGGCAAAGGGGCAGCACACTGCTGCCCTAAAGCCGTCCTCTGTTCAGAGGACGCAGCAGGAGCACTTTTTAACAATGCCCTTGGGGACGCTGGTTGAAGGGAAGCGGACTGAGTCACAGTGCAGCTGTTCTGCCTCCATGTGGGCAAAGCCACCCCTCCTCAGCTCCTCACCTACTCCTTCTCTCTGCTCCTGACAAACAGAGGGAGGCCTCTGTAAATGCACATTAAGTCTGCACAGTGTGGGAGGTGTTCTTACACGTGCCTCTCAGGAGCATTTGGAAACAGCGTTCGGGCTTAAACGCTCCCCTTCCCTACTATGCTCTGAAATGCCCCAAAATGCCTAATGAGGGTAATCCTCTGATCAACACATTTATTAAAGACCCACTATGTTCCCACATAGGAATAATTCTTTACTTTTGGAAATCTCATCTGCATCCCATCTTCTTACTCAGTTTTTACAACTAGCCTGGCCAGATGTCACTCCCATTTAATAGAAGGGAAAACTGAGGTTTGCAGGAGGGAAATCCCTGGAGCCACCGGGCTAGCTCCCAGCTGAGGTGAGGCTCTTTTCAGGTGGGGCCATGCATCTACAGCTCGCTGGCAGCCTGATTAGGAAGGTGCCACAGACTGGCTGCTCTTGAGTCTTGAGGGTTTCTCAGTCTGGGTCTACCTCCTGTTTTCCCCCCAAGGCTTGTTGCTGGTTCCTCTGTTTGGCCCCGGGTGATGGCTCCTGAGAGGAACAGGGGTAGCTTCACAAAAGGGGAAGCATATGAGAGGAGCCTTGAAGGATGGGTAGAAAGTAGGAAAGTCCTGGGCTAAGGGACGGGGGAGGGCAGGAGACAGCATGAAGAAGGCGTGGAGCTAGGAGGTCCTGTGGGGAGTGTGAACAGTGGGCCTGCTGGCCAGCCACCCAGTGGGGTGGTTGGGGAAGGAGGTGAGGCCCAGAGCAGTCTAGGACAGGCTCACCGCAAGCCTTAAGTGCCAGGCTGAGGGGTGAAGCGTCGTTCTGTTTCTCACCTGTAAGGCGGCATGGCATTGTGTTGCTATTGCTATCATTGCTTTGAAGGCTGTGTTGTTCCCTGTATCACTCTGGCCATTTTGAATGCTGAATTAGACAGGAACAGGGCCCGCGCCAGTGCCCACCAGGACGCTGAGTCCCCGAAGCCTCAGCGAGCTCTTAAGGTCCTGAATCTTGGAACATGTACCTCGGTTGGAATTCTAGCTGCACTTAGAAATCTGTTTTTTCGAGGCATGTGTTACCAGGTAACCAGGAGAGGCAGCGAATGCCACTTTGTGAGGGACAAAGAAGGGGGGCCTCATGCTCAAAAGCCTTTCATGCTGAGGGAGGGGTTTGAGGCACAGGCTGCAGGGAGCAGGATTAGGCTGCTTCTCATTTTACATCGTAAGGTGATTATTAGCATAAATTATCAGAGCTGTTCAGTGCATTGATCATTAAACTCTGGTGGTGTGCTTTTTCCTACAGGCAGATGGGGTCCTGGGGGATGACTTTTGATATTCTTTCTTTCCTTAGCACTATTAACTTTAAAGAAATCTCACAGGCATTTGGGAAGAGCTTTCATTCCGGTGATCAAGGACACAGCTGACAGGATGGGGGTCAGACACCACACACTATAATGATAGTATGGATCCCTTTCTTTTGTACAGATGCGCACACTTACTAATGCGGTCACATTCCTCTCTGCCTTCACCTTCGGGAGGAGGGCCGAAGTCATCATCTTCATTTGCAGACAAGGAGGAAATAGTTAGCAACTGCCCAGCTCCTACAGATGGTGACTTGGTACCGTTTTGCCTGCCCACAGTGCTGCCTTTGTTGGGACATACCTGGGTGACTATTTCCGGTTACCTGATGGGTAGGTTTGTGCTGTTGCAGCATTTCCAGGGCCGTTGCTGGTATGAACAGAAGGAAACAAGTATCGAATAAGGAAGGGCTGGAAAGACAAAGCGGGCACGTTCAGACTGGGCCCACCAGGCACGGTCCTCCCTCTGGAAAGCCACCTGACTTGTCAACGGCAGGTAGAAAGGAAAGTCCGGCTCGTCCAGCAGTGTGGCAGCTCTGGCAGCCGCAAGGCTTTGCCCCGGCTCATCCGAGGAAGGGCGTGGCCTCTGGCGCCTCCGGGTAGGGTCCACCGAGAGGCCTGCTCACCAGACACCAACAGAGACATCTTTGAAAGACCACCCTTGGGGGAGCACGACCTGCCAAGTCCTCAGGTCCCTCCATGGAAGCCTTTACAGTTTGCAAGGGGTCTTGTAACTGTTCCTCACAACAGCACATGGGGAAGGGAGGGGAAAGGAGGGACAATGGACTCCCATGCCCATTTAATGTGTTTTTTTGTTTTTTTTCTTTATTGATGTTAGAGAGGGAGGGAGAGAGAGACACAAACATCGATGAGAGAGAACATCGATTGGCTGCCTCCTGCTTGCCCCACACTGGGGATTGGGCCCACAACCTGGGCATGTTCCCTGCCCAGGAATTGAACTGGCAACTTCTTGGTGCATGGGTTGATGCTCAACCACTGAACCACACTGGCCGGCCTCCCATGCCCATTTTAAAGAAGAAACTGAGGCCAAGTCATAGCACGGGGGTGTGGCAGAGCCAGGATTTGAACCTGGGTTCCTCCGGCCTGAGGCAGCCATGATGTTGAGCATCCCAGTGCCACACTCAGACGAGCCCTTGAGAACAGTAGGACTGGGAATGCCCGCTAGTGTTTAGGGCACATCACCCATTTCATGTGTATCTTCACAAGAGCTGTTGCCTTGGAGTGATGCCCGGATGGTTTCACTTCTGGGTGGGAAAGAGTCAGCACAGCAGTGTATCCTTAGGCCTGTTGGCCAGGGTGGCCCTTGGCTGGTGCCTGGGAGCTCGGATTTCAGGAGCGTTTCCACCATGCCCAGAACTGATAATGGTGGCTAACTGCCTAAAATGAACCAAGGACAGCTGCACACCTGCTTGCTTTCTGGGAGCCTGGACGTTCGGGGTGTAGCAGCCAGAGAGAGCCTAGGCGACTGGCCCCAACAAGAACCCTCAGGTACTGAGTGCCTGGTGCGCTTCCCTGGTAGATGACATTTTGCATGTTGTCACGGTTTGTTGCTGGGGATTAAGTGTGTGCTGTGTGACTCACTGGAAGAGCTCATGGCCGCTGCACCTGGTTTCCCCATCTGAGCCCCGTGTGCCTTTTCCCTTTGCTGGTTTGCTGTGTCTCCTTTCGCTGTAATAAACCATGGCTGTGAGTAAAGCTATGCTGAGTCCTATGGTCCTCCGAGCAAATCATTGAACCTAGGGGTTGTCTTGGGGACCCCCAACACAGCCCCTAAGGAATTTTCTTATACCAGAATGGCATCTATACAGAATCACAAATGTTTCACTTTAAAAATCAGTGTGGAGCCCGGGCCAGTTTTCTCAGTGGTTAGAGCATTGGCCCTCAGACCAATGAGTCGTGGATTTGATTCCAGTTAAGGGTATGTACCTTGGTTGCAGTTCGTCCCCAGCCTTGGATGGGTCACCACATCGATGTTTCTCTCTCTCTCTCCCTCCTTCTCACTCTATCTGATGATAAATAGAAAAAATGTCCTCGAGTGAGGATTGAAAAATCAGTGTGGAGTTAGTGGACTCAGGCTGCCTGGGTTTGAGTCCCTGTTCCTCCAGACACGTCACCTTTGTGAGCCTTGGTTTTCTCGTTTGTACAGTGGAGACAAATGCAGGGCTGGTGGGGGGATGAAAGGATGTGCATGGACGTGTCCTGTAAGGAGAGGGCACAAGGGTGTGGACAGAGCGTGGAGCCAGCCCCCTGGGCTCAGAGCCTCCTCCACCACTTAAGGCTGGGCCACCCTGGCTGGCTAGCTTCCCAGGGGGCAGCTGGTGAGATTGCTGGGAAGATCAAATGGGTTACTAATCCCTGTGAGCAGAGAGTGCCTAGCGCACAGCCAGCCCTCAGTGTTAGCCCCCAGCATGACTACATTACTCGATGATGATGATGATGACTGCTTGTAAAGAGCTCTTATGGATAAAAATATTTTCAATTAAAAATCAGACAGGTTAACATGAAACAGATTACTATGACACAGAGACACAGGGAAAATTTTCGAGATAACTGAACTGCTCTCCGTCTTGGTTATGGCGGTGGTTACTTGACTGTACACATTTGTCCAAACCGAGACCTGCATGCCAGAGAATGAATGCGCTGTGTGTAAATTTAAAAATAAAGATTTGGATGTCACTTTACCATCAAAAGCTCTTTTGTAAAAGAAATGGTCTTTTCTGCCGTGAAATGGGGCAAAGACAGCGTCTGCCAGACAACCTTTCCTAATCGCAGTTATTGAGAGGGAGGGAGAGGGACGTGCAGGCAGAGGAGCATGAACTGTGATTTACTGGTTTACTCGTTTAGGCCTGAAAGGGATTGATGAAATCTCATTTAAAATTTATAACTTTACATGAGCAAAAGTAAAACACGTTGATTGAGTGTCCCTTTGGAATCCATTGAGGGCTTTGGAGTAAGTCGTGGTTCTGATGGTGCCCACAGTGAGCCCTTCGAGGACCCTTGTGGGCTCCGGGCGAGGCCACGCTGGCAGGAGGACATGAATAAATCAGACTCCCTTTGTCCTGTGTGCAGATGGGGCTCCTGCCAGAGAGCAGGGGTGTCGTGGTTCTTTGTTGCTGCCGGGCAGGGGCTGGGGTGCACGGGCAGTGTTAGAAGCCTAGGACCTTGGTTCCCTGGGTGGATGTTGGTTCTACTCTGGGAGGTGGATGGGGGTGTGGTGCGCGGGGGTGTGGTGTGGGGGGTGTGGTGCGGGGGGTGTGATGCGGGGGGTGTGGTGCGCGGGGGTGTGGTGCGCGGGGGTGTGGTGCGGGGGGTGTGGTGCGCGGGGGTGTGGTGCGGGGGGTGTGGTGCGCGGGGGTGTGGTGCGGGGGGTGTGGTGCGCGGGGGTGTGATGCGGGGGATGTGGTGCGCGGGGGTGTGGTGCAGGGGGTGTGGTGCGCGGGGGTGTGGTGCGGGGGTGTGGCGCGGGGGGTGTGGCGCGCGGGGGTGTGGTGCGCGGGGGTGTGGTGAGATGGGTGTCACTGAAGGAGTGAGCAGACCAGGCTGAGGGGAGAAGCCTGTGGGGGAGAACTCCGTGTCGTATTCAACTCACTGGAGGCCCTTGGGGCGCCCAGGGGCTGGGGGCTTCGGAGGGCAGCCTGGGGTACACAGGTGGGAGTTACAGGGTGGTGGGTTTTAGCTCCAGTGAGGACAAGCTTTCTTACCAGCAGAGCCCTCCTAGGATGGAAGGGCCTGGCTCTACAGGTCGTGAGTGCTCTGTTACTAGAGGCATGCAAGTGGAGGTTAGATGAGCACGTGGCATCTGGTCAGGCACAGGATCTCGGGGAGTTAAGCCCCTCTAGTTTGAGATTCTATGGAACTAAGACAGTTTCCCAGAGTTTTCTTGGCACCAGCTTGACAGGATCTGCTTCCAGTCTATCTGAAGGAGCCAGCTGGGTCTCATTGCTTGTCCTTTCACTCCCGCCCCTCTCCCCTTTCCTCCCACCTCGGCCTCCTTCCCTTTGTTCTCCTTTTCCTCTCCAAGGCTGGCTTGTCCAGCTGTCCTCGAGTCACCAGGAAAGCCCCAGCAGTCCATACACTGCAGTTGGATGGCGTGAGAGTGAGTGTGTTTGCTCTTTATTTGTCATCTGTTTACCAGACCTGCCCCGGCCCCCCACTTGCATGTCATGTTAAACCATCACTTTCATATTCATCACATGGTAAGATCAGCTCAGCAACCCCAGGTCGCAGGGGGTGTTATCCGCATCTAACAGATAAGCAAAACCGAGCAGAGCATTTCCCACCAGGGACCGCATTTCACCTTGCCCACGACACTGTGGGGCCAGATGCAAGGGTGGGCAAGCTTGCCGTCTTGTGCAGGTGAGACCAGGTAGAAGCACCTGGACCGAAACGCAGGCTATGATTCAGCAGGTCAAAGAGGTGCAGACCCCTGGTCCTGGACTAGAACACACACCCTCTCGCCCTCCACGATGAGAGCCACCCCCTCTGGAGCTAGGGGGTGCATTCCATGCAGAGGCAGGTTCATTGAGGGGCTGATGGAACGCCTGAAGGCCAAGGCCAATGGATTTGATTTTTTTAGTCCCAGTGTGAGCAGCGCAGATGCCAGGCACGGAGAGGAGGGTAGAGTGTGGAGTATCAGCTAAGAATTTCTAACTCAGATGCCCACATTGGTCCCATTCAGCAAACCCATACCCTCCCTCTCCTCTCTAACACGTTCTGGCAGCCTAGATGCACATCGCCTGATTCCCAATCTCCGCACAGCTTCCAGGCCAGCAGTTTTGCCACTGGGGATGGGGAGGTGTGTGGGATGGGGGAGGCCCAGCATGGGGTCTGTGAGTCTGTGATATGCAAATCCGCATTTTGAATGGACCGCGGGGGTCTCAGCTCCAGGGAAGATGCAGCTGTCCTATGTGGCATTATTCTTTGAAATGCCCTCCACGTTGAAGGAGAAAAGCCCATCTGTTAGAAGACTCTGCTGTTGGTGAAGTGACACCAGCCCCTCCCGGAACCCAACGCCCTGTTGTGTAGTTGAGCCAAAAGCAGATGGCAGCTGGGGCCCTGGGAGGGAGTGTGGGGAGCCGGGAGCCCTGCCACAGACATGCTGGTGACTTCAGGAAGTTGCCTTTTCTCTCTGGATCCGCTTTCCTGTGGGTGGAACAAAGGTGGTGAGTGAGGAGTTACGCGGGCATCTTGTCAGGTCGAAGGCAGACTCGCTTCCACGATTCCTTCCCTAAGAGTTGTTCTTTGTGTGTGGAGAGCTTTTGTCTGGCGCTGTTCTCCTCATGGGAGCTGGCCGGCAGGCTTGCTGTAGGCAGGGACTTCTAGAAGGAGGGTCCCTGGGACCTGCAGGGTACAGGTTGTGTTCCTGTGTCTTCTTCCAGCTCCTGTGGTCATCATTCCACCCCGAAGTGTTCACAACGTCACTGGGGCACAGGTGTACCTGTTATGTGAGGTGAGGGCTGTGCCTCCCCCTGTCGTCACGTGGAGGAAGGTATTTATATCCAAGAACTCGTGTGTGTGTGTGTGTGTGTGTGTGTGTGAGAGAGAGAGAGAGAGAGAGAGAGAAGTGTAAATTTCTTTTTCCTTGATGTGTGTTTGTGTACATATCTTTGTTTTCAATCCTCACCTGAGGACATTTTTCTATTTATCTTCAGATAGAGTGGGAGGGAGGGAAAGAAAGAGAGAGAGAGAGACATTGACTGGTTGCCTCCTGCACAACTCCAACTGGGGCCAGGGATGAACCACAACTGAGGTACATGCCCTTGAGTGGAATCGAATTCACAACTCATTGGTACGCAGGCTGACACTCTAAGCACTGAGCAAAACCAGCCAGGGCCGTGTGTGTGTATGTGTATCTTTACATGTGGATCAGAGGATTTAAAAGGATATCTTATGGCCCTGGCCGGTTTGGCCCAGCGGTTAGAGCGTTGGCCTGGGGTCCAGAGAGACCCGGGTTCCCTTCCTGCTAAGGGCACGTACCTCAGTTGCAGTTTGTCCCCAGCCCTGGTTGGGCCGTGCAGGTGGCAGCCACTCTATGTATTTCTTTCATGTTGATGTTTCTCTCCTTCTCTCTCCTCCTCTCTCTCTCCCTCCTGCTCTATCTGAATAAAAAATGGAAAAATGTCCTTGGGTGAGGATAAAAAAAGGATATCTTCTGTACCATTCCTCTGCCTCCAGGTTGATGCCTCAGAACGTTTACCCTAAAACTCTCCCCAGAGAAGGGCAGTTGCTATCTTTCCTGTGGCATTTTCTCTCTTGGACACTTAGCTGTCCAGAAAGTTCTGGTGTTTATCTAGCCTAGATCAGCTGGAATGATGTAAGAGAGTACTTTACTGGATTTGGGTTTTAGAAAGACTTGGCTGGTGGCAAACAACCTAATCCTATTTCAAAGCAAGGTCTTCCTGCAGATCAGTGTTTGAGACTAGCCTGGTTCGCAGCATAGGTGTCCCTTGTCCCAACAGCCTGAGAAGGGCCATGGCATTCTGAACCGCTTCTGCGAGATGCTGGTGGTGTCCACATCTTTGCTGTCCGTCGGGGAGTGCTGCTGTACGTACACCTGGGTTTTTCAGTGACTGACATTTTATTAGGAATACGAGCTTCTAGGGTTTTGGCCTTCAAGTCAGTGGGAAGATGAAGACAGTCAGGATGTTTGTGGGGTGATCGTTCCCAGTGGTTTTTCTAAACCACTCCTGGTTTCCCTGTCCTCTTCAGGTTACACAGTCTCCTGAGGGCACCCAGGTGCTGGAAGACCTGCCTGGGGGACACGTCAATATCGCTGTCCAGGTGCGAGGGGGTCCTTCTGACCATGAGGCCACAGCCTGGATTTTGGTGAGTAGCTCATTTGTTTAGGATTGCTGGCTACTATTGACTGGCCCTTACAAAGCACCCTTTATATTTCCGGAACATGTGACACGTTTCACAGCTGTTCTTAGCCATTTCTCATTGGGCCCCGTGAGAACGGCGAGGGAGGCAGGGAGGTAGAGTAACCCTGCGAGCACACGCTCCTCAGTGGTGGGCAGAGCTAGGGCCCTGGAAGGAGGTGGCCTTCCTAGTCCCCGGAGCCTGTGGATACTCTGTTACATGGCTAGAGCGGAGTAAGGTTGCCGATGGAATTAAGGTTCCTGTCAGCTGACGTTAATAAGGAAGTTACCCCAGATTATCTGGGTGGCCCCAGTGAAATCACAGGAGTCCTTTCAATGTGGAAGAGGGAGGCGGGAGAGGGAGAGCCGGAGCGATGGCGTGTGAGAGAGACATGACCCGCCATTGCTGGCTTTGAGGACGGAGGAAAGGGGCCACGAGAAAGGACTGCCGGCAGCCTGTAGACTGGAAAGGCAAGAAACAGATGTTCCCCTAGGCCTAGGGCCCGGGGCCTCTAGAAAGAAGTCAGCCCTGCGTCACCTCGATTGCCTGTAGCCCTCTGAGTCCCATTCAGACTCCCGGCCTCAGGAAGTGTAGATAATAGGTTTGTGTTACTTTATGCCATTAGGTGTGTGGTAAGTTGTTACAGCAGCCGTAGGAAACTAATACACTTGCTTGAGGCCACAAGGCTGATAAGGAGGGAAGACAGCACTTTTACATCCTCACCTGGCTCTTGATGCCACTGCAGCGGTTTTGCGAAGATGAGGGAATGCCATGTGTTTGAAGGAAGTGAGTGACAAGACAGGAGTCCATGTTGGTCAAGTCGCTCTACCTCTGAGCTTCAGTGTGCACGGTTGTAAAATCAGGGCTTTGGACTGGACGGCGTCCAAGGGCCAAGTGATTCTAACAGTCTGTGACTTACATGTGAGTCTCCTGTAACATGAGGATAACGATGCTCCCCCTTCACTCATGATCGGTGTGAGTTCAAAACAAGATGGTGCGTGTAAATCCTCCCATCTGTAGAGTGACTCGCAGTTCATGGAGGTTGTTCCAACAGGAGAAAGCAAGAGAGGAGAGAGCCGCTGCGGGTCTGCCCTCCGGGCGTGTCTTCCCCACTGTGTCTAGAGGTTCTGTGACTCTTCTGCACCAGCTCAGAAGCTCAGAATGCCATTGAGTCCATGTTTTTTTCAAATCTGAGCCTCGGTATCCACAACTGTAAAAAGGGCTTTAGGCTGGACAGCATCCAAGGGCCCTGTGACCCTGACATTCCCACACTTTACTGCAAGAAAGTGGGGAGGAACTGGTTTTCTCTGGTGTGCACTTGTGAAGGCTTCTCCTTCGGGAACCCTTGTGGGCCATTCCTTGGGCAGTGGATTTTTGTTCTTTTAATTTGCAGTACTTTCCTTATAATCGATCCCCTTCAATAAGAGGACCAGGGAGCTTGCAGTAGAAGGCAGGAATGCAGAGCAAACATTAAAATGAGAACCACAGTAAAGGGTCCTGAGAAAGAAATTGAAATTCTTCTTTGGCAGCTAAGGCAAGAAGAGAAGTAGAGTGAGTTCTACATATTTTGAAAAGGAATAAGTGCTCAGAGGTACCACCAAGACTAAATAAGGAAGTGGTTTTACTGTGCCATGTAGATCAACCCTCTGAGGAAGGAAGACGAGGGAGTGTATCAGTGCCACTCGGCCAATGCGGTGGGGGAGGCCCAGTCCCACAGCAAGGTGACGGTCAGCCATCTGAGTCCGGACGAAGCCCCTCGCTTCCCAGCTCTGGGTGACCGCATGTGAAGGAGTGAGTACGCCGTCTAAGTCATTCTGGTATTTACACACCTGTGTCACAAGACATTGAGATAGGTTATAAGATGTGTAATAAAAAAGAGGAAAAACACATAAATCAAGGAAACTAGAAAGATACAAAATGAGAAGGAAAATATTGCAATTAGCAGGTCGTATGTCTCGTATGTTCTACACGCCCATCCCTCTGGGCTTCCCACCGACCATGCAAATGGAGCTGTGGACGTTACAGGCGGGCGTGGTTTCTGTTTCTGAGGCTGAGCAGAATATTTCCTGAGGACCCTCCTAGAGAGAGCAGACACAGTCCTTGTGGCAGCACCCGTGTGTAAGCATACCTGCAGAGAAGCCAACGTGAGCCTCATTGTCTGGGTCCAGGCTCCTCCACCTGCCACCTCCAGGCCCCGCCTCCCTGTCCTCGACCTGTGCCTCTTAGCAGCACACCTGCAGAGGATCCGCATCTCCCTGGGCCAGGTGGGCCTAAGTCCTCAGTCACCTGGGTGAGAGCTGGGGTTGTAGCTGTCCCCTGCGATAGGCGGACTGTGAACTTGGGGAATGAATCCCTATTAGTCAGCTTTTGCTGCTTAACAACCCCCAAATCTCGCCAGTTCACGGCCACCAACATGGATCTCTTAATCACATTCCATGTCAAAGCAGCAGGTCGGCCGTGGCCCCACTCCACGAGTCTTCTTATGTAGGGACCCAGCTGGAGGAGCAGCCCTGGTGTGGAAAATGTCCACTGTTGTGGCAGAGGGGACGAGCAAGGGGCCAAGCTGAGCACACAATCTCTTTTAAAGTTTCTGCTCTGATACAGCATTTGTCACACCCGCTAAAGTCCATTAGTCAAAGCAAGTCACATGGCCACAGCCAGCTTCAGACGGGTGGGGGACGTCTGCTCCTCCCCCAGGAGGCCAAGGGCAGGGAGGCATGATCTGCAGGATTGGAGGAACAGTGCACAGGCACCGTAAAAAATAAAGACAAGTTTGATAGTTTATGAAAAGCAGAAGGATTTGCTGTGGTTGTAATGCATATTATTCCATATTTAGCCACTGTTGTTATACACTGTACGTGTACAAGACCTCACGCAGGTCTGTAGGGCATGCACAGAAACCCGAAAAGTGGATGTCATTGAACTACAAGAAGTGTGATTCCCCCGCCTTCCATTTAGCACCTGTGGTTAACTGTGCCCAGCAGGCTCTGCACTTATAATTCTCTTCCCTTTTCTTCCAGGGTCTTAGAAACATCGATCACAGTATGACAGGAAGGTCAAGTCATGGATTGTTTTACTTTGTGACAAATTGGAAAAACCGTGTTTGTGGATGACCCCTTTTGTATGTTTTTCAAAATGAGATGCAAACTAGATTCATATGTAGATGTAGTTTTTAGCAGGGCAAACACGGGGAAAACAGACTGCATGTGGGTTTTTTTAGACCTTTGAAATGAATTGCTGTGAGAGCATTCTTTTTTTAACTACTCCTTCCTGGGGAAGATCATGTATGTCCTGGTGTATTAGTAACTCTAAAGGGCTGGCTGGGGCACGTGTCAGCCGTGAATCTTTACTTCATTTGTCAGAGACTGATAGGTGGTGCTCTGTGACTTGTGCGTGTTGTAGAGGGAAGGAGGAGGGTCCCGCTGTCCTCAGCCTGACCTCCAACTTGCTGTGTGACCTGGACAGGTCCCTTCCCTCTCTGGGCCTTCGTCTCTTCATCTGTGAATGTGGCGTTTGGACTGTTACCTGTGTCCCTTCGAGCCCTGCCACCCTAGAGTATGATGGCTCTAGGGAAAAAATACGGGAAGTGTGGCCTTAGCATTCTTTTTTAAGTGGTATTTCCTCAAAAACGAATGCTACTGCCTCCCACTAGGGTGTGGACACAGCTGTAGCTCTTCTGTCCCTGCTGTTTTCCCATTTTAAAGAAACACTACCAGACTCAGGGGCCCCATGCTGGGCATATGGGGACCAAGATGCCCACTTGTTAACAAATGTAGCATTCCCAAACCAGGAGGGCAATGGACATCAAACTGTGAAAATGGGGTCAGATGCTCTTTTTGGGCTGTGGAATTAGAGTGTAATAGAATACGTTTTACTTAGAGATGGTTTAACCTCACCCAGGAATGGAGCTTTCTTTCTTTCTTTTTTTTTAATGAAGAAAGAAAGAAGGAGAATATTTAATATATGGGGAAAAAAATAGATATCCTAGGCAATTAAAATTTTTTTAATTGGGATCTCACATATGGACAGTACTTCAAGTTCACTTCCCAACTCCAGGATAGCAGGCAGGGTGAGGATTAATGTCCCTGCCCCTCACAGATGAAGAAACTAGATTCTGAGGGTAAGGCAGGTGCCCGAGGTCTGAAGGCCTCTGGGAAGGACCAGAACTCAGGGGCCCGGCCCTCCTCGGCACTCCATTCCCTCCGTGGTGCTGCTTCTCAGGACGATCTCATAACTAGGTCAAAAGAGGGGGATTTTTATCCAGGTCCATCTCAACTTTCTTTTTTTTTCCCCCATTTTTTGTTTTAATCCTCATCCGAGGCTATTTTTTTTTCTTTTTGTACTTATCTTCAGATAGAGTGGGAGGGAGGGAGGGAGAGGAAGAAAGAAGGAAAGAGAGAGAAACATGGATGTGAGAGGGACACATTGACTGGTTGCCTCCCCCATGACCTCGACCAGGGCCGGGGACTGAACCACAACCAAGGCACTGTCCCTTGACCGGAATTGAACCCGCGACTCTTCGGTCCACAGGCTGATGCTCTAACCACTGAGTCAAACTGGCCAGGGCAGGTCTGTCTCAACTTTCAAAGTACAACCTCACGCTGCCCACAGTGGGCATGACATTTTGGGGTCCTTTCTGGAATTGTATTTTCTGCCTTTAAAGCTGGCCATTCCACATCTGAAATATTGGGGTGGCATCGCCCTGACACAGCAGGAGACTGGCCGGGGAATCCAGAAACACGAGCCCTCTGGGACCTCACTCCTGGCTCGCTGTGTGACCCTGAGCAGGACCCCTTCACTTTCTGCACCTCAGTCTCCTCATTTGAATAAGAAGGGAATGAAACTAGATGGGTGGCTTTCAAACTTTAAAATAAGGGAACCCCTTCTTTGAATACAATTAGAATCGAAACTGATCATACTGCAAGCTCTCCTTGTCGGTTGGAGGTTGGGACTGCTGGGGAACCTGCTCACATCCCCTCCCTACTCAGCACCTCCTACCTCTCTGTCACCCACCCCACGCCTTAACCATACCTGTATCTGAGGTCAGCAGTTAATTCCTCTGTGATCTGAATGGGTGATAAGACTCAGAAAGAATAGAGATGCTGAGGCCCTGGAGAAAGTAGCAGAACAGCATGCATCTGCGAGTAAGCACACTTAACAAAATCAGTTGAATCCCCTCAAATTTGCCTGATCAGAATAGGACAGCTGGGTATAGACCCAGAGAGCAGGGTGGGCGGAGCCCCAGGATGACAGAGCTGAGCATGAAGACTGCATGAGGCTGGGTTTAGCATCATAATTTTGTGCAAAAATAATGATAATAAATGTTACACTGTCCGAAATTTTCACCAAAACCAAAAAGATAGATGAGATGGTTGTCCCAACCTAATGACTTTTCACTGGTGAGAGCCCAAGACCTCTGCGGAGGCTGAAGAATGTGCGCTGTGGCAGTTATAATTTGGAAGCATGATCCCCCAGAGCATGTGTTTTCTACCCTATTTTCATAGATGTGATGATGTCACATGACCCCTGCACCCTGAGAATAAATGTTTTTAAGGACAGTCTTTGTGGTCTCTTTGTCCTTGGACTGCTGCTGTGGGTGGTCCAGGTCCCACTGATACTTCATCACCCGACGCATCTTGCCCATATCCTTCTCACCTCTCACCTGGGCTGCAGTCACAGCCCACCTGGTCACCTTGCTTGCAGTTATTAACCAGTCCGAATCGTCCACTGCCGGCCAGATTCTTCCAGCTCCCCTGAACTTGGGTCTCCCACTATGTAAACATTCTCGTATTTAATTCACTCACTGAGATCTGCCCTGTCTTCCACATGCACACGGAGTAGCTTTCTCCAGAGGCCAGGAGGAGGCAGACACTGACCAGGGGAAGGTGGGTGGGACCTGGACCCTGCACTCAGGGAGACTAGAGCGGGGATGAGTGGGAGGAGGTGGAGTCCTGCCAGGAAGCACAAGATGTCTGCTCTGTGATCAGAGCAGGGAATATCAGGGAGGATGTCCTGGAAGAGAGGAGGCATCTGAGCTGCGGACTAGAGGGTATGGGAATTCCTGGCCAGGGAAAGGGCACGTGAGAGGAGCAGGGCAGGGAAGTCCAGGGTGGTTTGTGAGCTGGGACACGTGACCAATGCCTGCTGGGAGCTGTAGAGGCAAGTGGGGGTGGGGCTTTAGGCCACACCCCTAGATGCCCCCAGAGGAGGCTGGCCTTGGGGCTGTAAGTAGTAGGCAGCCTGACTCAGTCTATTGTCAACTAAATTATCACTGGGCTTGAGGAGATAACTTGGAAGCCAGTGTCCAATTCCAAATGTACCCACTTCCCACCTTAAATTAAAAAGTCTGATTTTTAGTCAAAACGAATTTTTTCCGTCAGGTTTCATGGTGAATTGAATCGTATGTTTTTAAAAACATTGCCCTCCCCTCTCCCCCAGGGATGGACGAAGGTAGTAAAATGAATAAGAATGAGCCAATCAATCGACAGTGAACAGGCGCCTCTAATGGATTTCCTCACTTCCAGCCTTCGCCAGGGCTGCGAACATTAAATCAGAGAAAGATTAGTATGTGATATTTTAATTAATTAAGGGAAACTAAAGTGCCCTGGAGTCTGCAGCTCAATAATGAATTCAGAAGTCGGGAACCTATCACCCAGGGCTGGATTGGACACCGGTACGTGCGCTCACTTGGCTCAGTGGGGCTGAAGTCTCCTTCCCGGAATGTGAGCTCCTCTTGTCCGGACTGCCTCTGAGTTCAGCCTCCACCGAACCCGGGGCTGAGAAGTGT